GGTCCGGATTTCTCACAAACAGCCTATAGATCGAGACTGTATTCAGAAATCCTGACTGACTCTTTCGATAAAAAGTACTATAGTCGATGATAGCATGAGAGGGCAGGGGGACTTTCAGTTGTCCCGCCTCCAGCGAAATTCGTGAGCGTAAGCCAAAACGATATACTACAGCTCCCTCATAGGGACAGATCGTTTTTCTCCTCTCCTACGGCATCCGTAAAGAAAACTCCGCAGCTGCGCATGCGCACCGCCAGCCTTGTCTGCATTGTTAGAGGTCTTATGGCGGTTCACGGAGCGCTATCGGAGTGCTTAGCGGGCTGCGGAAACGGTCTACTACAACTATATGTACTATAGTCAATGACAAGTGAAGAACGAAGTGGAAGCTCCTCCCACCCCTTTCCACTTCAGCGCAGCGAGCGGTGGAGAGGAGGTTGCCTCCTCTCCAGCGGTCGCTCTGCATGTTAAAGTGGAAAGAGATGGGAGGAGCTTCCACTGGCGAAGGTAACGCCAGGCGAAGAGAAAAAGGGTGAGCACTAAGGAGGTGGGATGGAAGAGGAGGGCAATGGAGGGCGAGGGGAGAAAGAGAGAGGAACGTTAGAGAGGAGAGGAGGTTCTACCCTCGCCCGGCGTTGCCTTTGCCTGTACTGCGCGCAACTAGTGACGCAAGGTGCAAGTACCGTCAAGTCTCCCCGCCCTCCACCCCTCGCTCCTGTCGTCTGCTAGCGCGCGGCCCGTCGTGTTCTTCCGGACTCGCCCACCATGCTAGGCAGTGTACGAAATCTTACGACTTACTCCGGCGGTTCATGTCACGTGACAGTTCGGATAGCACAACGTTGGACGCGGGTGGGTTTTCGAACGCCGAGGTTACAAACCGTTACTCGAGGGTGATCGGTCGAGTCAAATGCGCCATGTTCTTCCTAACCGGAAACGTCACATCGCACACATTTGAACACCAAGTAAAAGGAGGAGAGGGAAGCTGCTTTTGTAAGAATTTTGAGTGACAGGTTAATCTTCTATGATCTTCTGGGAGGAGAATCGCGACGCCTGTGCTTATACGGGAGGCACAAAGGAGGATCCTGATAAGAGGGGAGCTGCTTCTTCCCCTCTTGTCTGGAGGGCAACGGAAATGACATCCTGTGCAAGCCACATCAGGCAAAGCGTTCATCCAGGGACCTTAGGGTATCCGACAGAGACGCCCCACCGCCGTCCTCACCCTGTCAGAGACCGTGGTTTGTTTATTATATTCCTCGAACGACAACCTTCGACGTGCTCGACGAAAACCCGCAAACCACGAGTGCTGCGAGTGCATCGAGCTCTCTTTGCGCTTTACACATCAGTTGTTGCGTCGTCCATAGTATGGGACTTGATTACCAATACACGAATAACAACTATGATTGAGCCCGCCTCGTCAGCACGTCCGCTATTAACCGGTCGTTTCCCGAAGCGTCAAGCGAAGCGTTGCGGAGCTGACGCAGGACGGCGCTCCAACTCATCCCATTCAGCCCACCGCCTCTGCCGTGTATCCACGCTTGAATGAAATGAGAAGGACACATTTCTCAGCCGCGTCTCAAGTTCGTGGTTAGCGAGGGATCATTAAAGCGCCATTTCATGCATTATAGAATAAGCACATAGGAATTTTTCCTAGTCCAGGCGTTTCTAACAAAGACTGTGGACTGGATTGCATGCAAAAAGCGCCACGCTTGAGTGTAACGAAAAGCCGTTACATAGAAGCCAAGGCAACATAGGACACGTAGCCCAGGCGATGCATAAGCATGCAAAGCCCGTGTATACGAAACGGCGTGCCAAGAAACGACAACCACGCAGAATGAAGAGAAGTCTGTTTCACCCTGTACGATAGTCAGCCAATCCAAACGCGCAACGGTATCACGTGCCCACGCGCGCTACGCGTCTCGAAGGCTGCGTGACGCCCTTCGATGAGTCGGTGTCGAAAGTGCCGCGTAGAATCACGATCGTGCACGTAGAAACGGCAGGGAATTCAAATAAGGCTGCCCACCGTTCGCTGGATGTTCGCAGGCTCTCAAAATTATTGGCGTTGTGCCAAACTGTCCTCGCTTCTTTTTTCTTCTGAACTTGTTTGAACAGACTTGTTGACACATCGAGAAGTATTTGTCGCTTATCTCTCTACTCGGCTGGTTTCCCAACTCGCGTAACACGAAAAACACGCCGCCAGCCCCACCTGCGCACACGGCGATTTTCGGAACCGAACCTGCAAAACAAACCGTGTTTCAAGAATCGTCCGTCGTCTGTATTACGGGCGTCGTCTGCTCCCAGTGTCGTCTGCTTCAGCGGTTAGCCGCGATCAGCTATGCCTGCATGCGCTTGCACGCTTCAGCGAGGGCACGCTGCAGGCACTTCCCGTACCAGCGCGTAACCAGCGTAACGCTTGACTTGTGACGTCGCGGTCAGCCCAAGGACACGGGGAATACCCTCTCGTGCCCGTACTCGGCGGCGTGAGCTGTATGCCGAGTTCGACGCTTCCCGCGAACACACTTCCTTTTTAGAGTGCCTGGATTTGACAGAGGAACCAACTCAAGCCAGATTGGTCAGAAATGCGCATGCGTCGTCGCGTGGCGAGTTGCAAATGCAGCCCACAAACCACGTGATTGAGCACTCTGAAATCGAGGCACGCTCGTTTCCTTCCAGGATGCCCTCCGTCTCTCCTCCGTGTATGACACGAAGACTCCGTGTTTGCGTCTGACGTCTTGGGCGTATACACTGTCACAGATGACTAACATATGATGGCGTATCGTACAGTCACCTAGAACAGGAAAGACTCATTCCACGAGGCAGTTTTAGGCGACTGGGTAGGATTCGCTTTGGATAGGCTCGTATTTTTTTAATATTTTTTTTATTAGAAACCGAGCGAGCTGGTAAGGTTGGTATGCTCACGAAAGAATAAACAAATAAGACGGGGAGCACAGGACACGACATCTTTCATGAAAGAAGTCGTGTTCTGTGCGTGCCCTTAGCCGAAATGCGCTTTGCACCGCCGCATAAACTGCCTCAGCAAATCGGTCTTTCATTCTGTGGGAAACTGTACATTTTAGAATGTGTTTTTTTTTTATTGTACTTATTTGGAGTTTATTAAATGCATTATGAAGTTTTTCGTGCCGGCATAGCTTCTTAAACCAGGGGCTCGACATTCGCAGGGCGCGCCGGTTGGCCTTCGGCATCAAAAGCGTGGCGTCAACGTCGCGAAAGTCCGTAAACTTCTCCCCCAACCACGGTGTGCCCCCAACCTTGTTTTTCACCAATCTAGGGCCCCAGTGCTGTAAAATAATGGTGCGAACCATTATTCGCTCCGCTAAAATGAAAAGAGATAAACCCCCTGTTTGGGCCCCTGTAGGGTATGCAGTATTTTACCATTCACCCGGCAGTATTGTAACTAAAGAAGTATTTCCACGTGATACGATACTCGCTTTCCTAATCACCTCTTCAGAGAATATTTTTTCTTGAATTTTGAATTGAGATGTTTAATTGAAAAAATATTTTACAACCCCCCAAAACACTCAATTTATTCAAGTTCCCTTAATTACAATTCCGAAAGGTATTGTCCTATGAGGTGACGCAGACGAATAAAAAAGGGCATCCCAACGTCAATTATTACGAACGCACTATTTCCATGACGTCACGGAAACGGACGAGCTTCCGCCAGCACCTTTTCTTCAGGTATCGCAGGTAAGGTACGGGCTTCGAGCACGGGAATTTCTGTTAAAGCAAGAAGACAAATGAACAGCACACTCGCACTATTACCATGGCTTTCCCGGTGATTGTGGCAAAGCGCGAGTACCCTCAAAAGATCCGATGATAAACATGCAGTGGACGGTAGATTTTGCAACGCTACTCTTTTGGCAAACGCTCGGCGAGAAATCATGCTCTGCTTGTCTAATGATACAAGGCGACACACGTCCTCTAGATGACTTGCGGCGCTTTTATTGGCTCATTTCCACCGAGTTTGCACAACTCCGCCAAAGAATAGCGAACAGCGGTAGGCTGTTCGGATTTTGCGGGCAAGGGAAAAAAAAGGTAAAAGCTGCACGTGACTCACCATAATTTATCGCTTTTAAAATTCCAAGTGAAAGAGAGTGTGATAGGGGAATGATACTTGAGCGACTGACGTCAGGTCAGACTGCTTATTATTCGGCTTTATCACGAACTAAAATTAAACGGATATACTGGTAATGAACGACGTTGACAGTTCGATGAATCAAAATCTTTCGCTAGAAAATGTGGTTTTTTTTTTTTTTTTTTTTTATTCAAAAACACGAGAAGCGGAATTCAAAATGGCGCGCTCGCGATGCTATTCGTCTGCTCGACTTCTTTGCAGTTTCGATTACGGACGTTCAATTTTTCTTTTTTTCGTTTTGTTATTAGGTTTTGCCGGCGCCAGGCCATTTTGGAGATTAGGTACACCGAGTGTTTTACGAAATGCGGGAAATACCAACAATCGTTCTAATTTTAGGACATCGAACGACCACCAGCCGCCCAGCAGTCTGCTACGCGCGTAGCTGCGCGCGGCGAACGTCATCGACCAATAACGGGTCAACGCGCTGCGGCGCGCTCGAAAGCGTTGGGACGTACTGCCGCATTCAAAGCCAGGAGGAACCCTTCTAAATATGTGCTTCGAAGACGAAAGCACGACTTCAGAGGGGGTGCACAGACTTCCTCCTAGTAGTTCGATGAAACAAAAGTGCGCCTTCTTTTCTTTTTATTATTATTATTATTGTTTAACAAGAACTTTACCGCCGCCACAGGTCTAGAGCCAGCGAGCAAGCGAAGCAGTTCCGAGGTCACATAAAAAATAAATAAAAAAAAACGAACAAAAGCGGGACAAACGAAAATAAAAAATAAATAAATAAATAAAGCAGGCCAGAAGCCGCAGCCCCGCAGCCACGACAACATCGGCTTCCGTTTTATGGCACGTGATCCAAAGCGAGCGTTGCGATTGGTCGTGGCGTCGCTAGCGCCGCTCTGATTGGTGGTGCGTCCTTTTCTTTTCGTCTGGCTCGTCTGCCTCTCCGTGGGATTTCCCCATTCAAGCCTGGGAGCGTTCCTCTTTGCGAGAAAGAATATGCTTCCCTTCAAATTAAAAGCTTCTACACGACGTGGTGGCGGACACGGTGGATATGCGTGTGCCTTTCTAGCGGCGGTGCCATTTCGGGATCAAACGTGGGTGTAACGGCCGCGGATCGCCTTCGAGACGTCGGTAAAGGTGAGGCGCTTTTCGAACCCCACGGGTCGTGGGGTACCCCCCCGCTCCGTCCGATGGCTCCGCGAAAAAATAGTGTTAGGCCTAACCGTGCCCCCGATTCCTCACGCCCTTCGAAAAGGGTGGGCGTGTGTGTGTGTCTTCTGTCGCGATCAAGCAGCGTGGCGTCGCTCGGTTTCACTATGATCGGTTGATGGTTTTCTCCGCGCATTGCTGTCCGGCATCGGAGACTTCCGGACAGTGTCCATTCACCTCGGGCAGTGCCTGTCCGACTCGACCTCGTTTTTCGACTTTTGCTGTCGGCGACAGAAGCGTCAGCTGAAAAAGTGGTGTCACAAATGTACGCATACTTCTCGCTCGAGTACGTTAGCTGTATTTGAAAGTGAGCTAGCGTGGATCGGCGTGCGACATCGGAATCCTCCAACCAGTGAATGCTCTGTTCGAATCGTTCGGTGAATAACTTTTCAGAACTACAGTTGGTTCTCTTTTTCGCACACCTTCCACGGTGAAACAGACAACAAAAAGAAAAATGCACGAGGCGGGTATGTAACCCGAGGGAGGATGTAGCGGCTCAGCGATGGCTTTCACTTCGAACGCACGGCTGTGATCAGACTTTGTGTGTGTGTGTTTTGGGGGGGAAAAAGGGGGGGGGGGGGGGGGGGGGGGGGGGGTACTAGAGAGATGTAAAAAAAATACAAAAAAAAACGAGGGTCAGTTGTTCGCGTGAAGCGGCAAAATGCGTTGGCGTCTGCGTCCGCGACGGCGCTTACATAAGAAAGAAGCGAACGAAAAAAATTACGTGACTAAGTTCGACTTCCTTCGAGTTTGGGGAAATACCCTCATCCGAGTACACTCAAAGAGAGAGATCCCATACGGGCGGAAGGGCAGCAGAAGGAAAAAGAAAAAGAAAACTAGTATTTTTCGTTTGCCAAGATCGAGGGGATTTCCAGCTAACAGCATGCCACCGTCGCCTCTGCCAGCCCCCTGATCCCTATGCGGCGCCTTCGCGTGGACGCTTCTTACCCATGTCAGCCTTGAACTGCGTGCGTGAACGATACCGTACCCCCTACCCTGCTACTTGCATCCTACGAGAGGCGAGCGCAAAATGCATGCACAAAAATAAGACACAAGAAAAACAGCAATGCATTGCTCTGAAAAGTTCTGTGCTTCCCAAACTTCAGCAATCTGTTTTGATCCCCCGAGGCTTGCTGACGTAAAACTCCGGATCGGCACATGTAGCGGCCGGGTTGGCAAACAGCGTAGGACTGATGTAATCTCTATTTGTGGTATTGGTGGTGGGTTTGGCAAGGCTTTGGGCGTATAAATATGCCGACTTTTGAAGGGTCCCCTTCTGTGAACTGCTTGGATTGATTTGGAGAGGCTTGGCCGAGAGATCGGGCCAAGATTGGTGTAGCTTCTGTGCTGCCCTGGAGGCATTCCTAGCAGAAGGCGAACTAAAATAAATTATTGGGCGGTGTGGGCTGTTCCAAATGTTGCATGCCGTTCTCCTTGTTTGGGGTCATTGCAGCTTGGACTTGATTTCCTATATAAAGAGGTCGGTCATGCTTTGACTGCGTAAAATTGCAGCTTGCAGTGAAAGCAAAAAGTGTGCAGGAAGGAACAATGACCCTACGCTCCTCAGTTCTGTTGCTATTGCACAATAAAATCAAGTTCTTAACTAAAGATCGAGCAATGTTCAGGAGAGAAATTTGCCAAGGTTTTAGAATTAAAGAATGGCCTTCCTGAGACGAAGGTTGCTATCAAAAGTGTCATCTGAGTGATATCTGCATATTTGTGATGGCATGTTTAAATTTGGTGCACCATGTCAACCTACGTGACTTAAATGTGAAAAATCGCCTTTGCCATGTTTTTGTAAACCTGCGTGCAGTGGGTGTAGGTGTGGATTATGCGCAGGACGTGATTGCACTTGTCTGGTTCTCCGATAAGGGAGCACGCGGCATAATTTGCCATGTGCGTGACCTAAAGCGTTGCTGTGGTTGGCTTTCCACGTTTGGCCAAGCGATTCCTGTGACACCTTTAGTAATCCTGTTTTCATACAAGGAAATGAGAGTAATGTCAGAATGTCATTTTTCACGGTGACAGTTTAAGAATACGACTACAACAGTGATGTGATTGCTGCACCAAACTGTGCCAAGGGGCTAACCCTGATACAACCTGCTACATTATTCCAGAATATGGGTAATCTGCGCCAAGCCTGCGCCAAAGGACCAGTTTCAATCGCCTTTCAAAGCCGAAACTAAACCGAGTACCGTGAGCTAGGTGGCGCAAGCGGCCGCCCGACACAAAGTCAATCGTCCATCTGGTCTTGCATGGTTTTTCCCACCTTCTCTCGTTTCACACTCTCCTCCTCTTGTGGGTCTCGTCTCGGGTCTTTTTTAAATTTTTGTTAGGATAGATGCAAGCGTGTGCGGACAATCAGACGCTAGCGTGCCGGGTACCAGCCATTGTGAAAGTAAACCACATTTTTGTGTGGCAGGAGTTACTTTGTAATACTTAGATACTTTGTGAACTGAAGCATTCACTTCTGAAAGCAACGGCCGTGGGAAAATTATATTTGGTCCCTGCCTACCAGTCACCGTGGTTGCATGACGTCAGGTGTTGCCGTCCCCACGTCACTGCAGATATGGTGCTTTCTAAACTGAAACGTAAGGACTGCCACAAAGTCATCAACGTTCCTGTTCTTGTTAAAATCATATGCTACTACAAAAATCCTCTTTAACTCAAAGATTGCTGTGTCGAAGTATTGATTATCTAGGTTTCTCTCGGTAGGCTTTTTTTTTTTTTTTTGAGAGGTACCCTGGTACGTGAAAAGATTGCCGCGAAAGAAAAAAGAAGGGAGCTAAAGCAAAGAAGGCAATGGGTCTGCACGCTGAACTCTCACAACGTGCTTGTTTGTCTCGAGTTCAGTCGTTGCACAAAGCGCTCCAAGAAAATTTTGACCCTGACTCGCAATGTCTTGCATCGAATTGCTGTATGCTGTATGAGGGGTAGAAGAGAGAGGAGGTCCCATCAAAATGAAACATTTCGGAGGGGGGGGGGGCAGGGGCCGGGCCCCATGCCCCCCCCGGCTACATGCCTGTGTTCTGAGAACAAATGATGGTGATACATAGATTCTCCAGCAAACACTGTGCTAATAAGAAGCATTAACTCTTTCTTTTTTTAAATGTTTCAGCTTCCCTTTAAAAATGGCATAGTTCCCAGAATGTTCTGTAATCTAACAACAGGCAAAAAAGATATCTAATGCCAATCGTTACTTTAATAACATTAAAAACTGTTAAAAAAAATGCTAGTTTAGAAATGTCATTGTGTTGTTTCTAACTTTCCAACTCTCTTCCCTCACAGTCTTGATTAGGTGAGTCTCAAAAACTTGCAGAAATGGTCCTCAGAGCCAGCGAGAGCTTACGACTACCAGAGAGCAGGTCTTTTGCCATTCGAGACTGACTCATCGTCCCTTGTTGCCAGAACTAGATGAAACATCTCGGCGTAGTAGCAGTTTCCTGTTGGCAGCGATGTGGAATGATTTGTTTTGTGAAAAGTCTCCAGAAGCTCAGCCGGGAAGGCGCAAAGGAATGTTTTTTTCTACGCTAATCAAGTCTGCGACGTAACAACGTGCCGGAGGTCGGCACAGTCAACCGCCGGCCACCTCTGGCACATTTCTTGGCAGACGTCATCATTTTCGCGATGCGTTGTGCGAGTGCAATTAGCATCTTCTCGAGGTGATAGAGGCGGGGTTTCCCCCGACATGGAGGCTTCGGCAACAAAGGGTAACACATTACATGTGCACCATTCTGTTTTGAAGTCTTTGTTCTCGTCGCTTGTAGCGTTTCGTCCGGAAGGGCTTGTTTTGGTGGAAGAGACTTGGAATTCTGATCAATGTAGCGACCTGGACAGTTTGGCTTTCATCCCATGGATAGAAGACGTATGTTGAAGGGTGAGCGTTGTAAGCAGTTCTAGTAGTCCCAGCTTGGCCGCTTTAGCAATTTTTATAATTTTAACAAAGTATTTCGCATATCAAGTTTCCACCACTCCTTTTCCGGAAGGAGGTCGCTGGCAGGTTAAGCGAAGCGAAGCGTAACAATTTCCGAGCGTCTTGTCATTATTCCCCAGCCAATGAGATTGCAGCATTAGCCAACAGCGTAAACTTGACCATACCTTTCTGCATATATTGTTTCCTTTCTTTAAAAAACTTAGAAAGATTTGAAGCTCATTTTTATTCTGCATGGTTTCTAGGCCTTGGCAGGGCAGAGTTGCATTAACTCCAGGAACATATCTAAAGAATGAATCTTCACTTCTGCACCCTAAATAGACGTGACACAGTCTAGTGTTTTTCATGCGGTACCTGTCCATTTCCCAGCAGAGAACGAAAAGAAAAAAAAAAAAAAAAGAGCCAGAAAAGACTGCACCACGCACAGTTTTTCTCATGATACACTGCAAATGGCATGAGCTTGCGTGAGCAAGATGGGGCAGGTATGTTTACGAGTGGAGCTCCACGTTTTTTGTGGTTAATTTTGCTCGGACATTGGGAGGGGGGGAGGGGGGTTCTATTTTTTCTTTGCGTATTCGGCGTCTATTCTTAATGTTTGGACGAAAAATGGGTGTTTATTGGTACTTTCCAGCCTTCGAGAATCGTGCTCCTGACCCGAATACTTTGAAAACTATGCAAGATGCACTGCAAGTGCAGCTTACAATGCAGCTGCGAGCTTCGGTGCAAGCTGCATTTTGGGTTGAGACAAAACTAAATGGTTGATAAAGATTTCTTTCCCTGGAGCGCAAGCTTTCCCACACTTGTTGTTTTACTAGAAAGCTCCAATTCATTTTTTTTTTGGTTTTTTTTAATTTCTACGACACCTGCTCGATTTCAATGAAACCCGCTTTTGGTGTTAATCGGTGTACGCCGAAAACACTAGACTCTGGTTTGAGTGCTTGCCGTTTCGTTTGGAATTCCCCGCGTTCCACCTTAACGGGCTTGTCTTGGTGCGTAAGACGTTTGGGATGTTGTGCGACTGGGTCCTTCAGTATAGTTCACATTTTGCCGTCGTACGCTTCTGCACTGAGCTTGCGACCTTTCCTTATGTGATACATCAAAGCCTATCAAGTTCCAATTACGTGCATCTCAGTGACGTACGTGCCTGGACACGAGGTGGCACATTTTCCTATCGTGCAGAGACTACACTACTTACTGCTTGTCCGACCACAGCGAAGATGTGTTGCTTTGTAAAAGGTCAGGCATACTGTTGGCAGTATAGGTCAGATGTTTGTTCATTCAAATACTAATGTACGCGAAAACAAATGGCTATGAATCTGAAACCTTTTTTCCCGCCAAGATTCTTGAGTCTGGAGTAATCGACTTAAGATAAGTGGGAACATTTTTTGTCTTTTACTATTTTATTTTGGGTCTTGATATCTCTACATGTGATGAGCTTTTAGGCACTAAGTACATATCAGTGCTTTGGAAACCTTTCTTTTGCTTTGGCAATTTTCCTCCTGTTGTTGGAAGGTATATCTTTGTACCCGCACTCCCGACTTGATTCTTGTATCGCCCAACTTTTCAAGCGCATGATTAGGATTACCGCTTCATTTCTTTGAAGCTTTTTTTTCCTTGCAGCTATTGCTCAAAGACTTGTAAACTGACGATCAGAAACGAATCTTGTGAGCCTGGAGGCCATTTATTTCCGAAAGCAAAGCGTTAAAGAGAAAAAGGGTCTCCACAGTTTGCAAGACGTGCAAAACCGGTTTGAGTGAGTGACCATGTTCCCTTTGTCCTGTAGTTCGCTTTACCCGGTGGGTTTTTCAGTATTGGCTGAATATGCTTCACGCCATGCTGATGTTAAGATTATTTTAGGTGCTTCCTTTCTCTTCAAACACCCTTCAAACTAAAGGTTACAATTATGCATAGGTGTATTACTTTTTTTTTGGTGTGTTAAAAATACGACAAAATATTGCATGTTGCTATGTTTGTTGTAAGATGCGATGTTATATGACCATAAAATTCTCGGTTAAACGTTGTGGGTGACACTGCCAGCATCTGACCGACTACTTACGAGCTTGTCCCCCTCTCGATTGTGCTCCTCGTGGATGTTGAGAAGAACATTGTTAGGAAGTTATAATGTTCTTCTCAGCATCATAACATTGTTATGATTCTGAGAACATAGTTATGTTATGAGAAGAACAGTATTAGGAGAGGCAGCACAGCATAATTATTTGAGGCTACTCGTAACATCCTTCTGTGTTATTTCTTGCAGCGCGTTTCATTTCCAGATGGTCCCAAAGCTTCCGTTTACTTACACATTAAGCCTGGTTCACACACTCGAGGTTTGTTTCAACCGAATGCCTAGCAACCGGTTACAATTGAACAGAAGTGTGAGAACCAGCCCTTAAAGGCCGACGTACAACCTCGGTTTTCTGCAGGGAAGATAATCCACTTAGCGCTCCCCTCTCCTGAGCTGCGAGGAGAGCCAAGTTGGGGCTAGGTAAAAAGTGGAGAGAATATAGGAAAGGAGGGGGCCGGTAAAGATGGAAAGTGCGAAGTGTACGTCGGCCTTTAAGCCCCATTCGCGCATTTGCAAACAAAAAGTACTGCCCGAGACAAGATTTGTTTTTAAGCCTCGCACGCCGGTTTTGGACCTGCTTTGCAGCAGCACATCCAGTCCTAAGTCGTCGCAAGTGGCTTAAATGCCGGTCTCGTCTCAGCCGGTCCTGCTTGGTCGCAAGCGTGTGAACGGGCCTTTAGGGTGTGTACTAGATAGCAAACTTTATCCCACTTAAATCCTGCAATTCCTGAGAGCCCCCAGCATACGTGCAAGGGCGGCCCAATTCAGGAGGTTCGGTCGGGTTCCTCAACAGCTGACCGCAGTCTCCCCTCCCTCGCAGCGGGCAACTTCAGGATGAGTCGAAGGGGGCCCGGGGGGCCGCGGAAGGCCGGCGAGAGCCGCCCTGAACAGGGGGTCTCGTCGCCGCCCCCAACGCCGACCTCTTCGTCGTCGACCCGGTTCGAGGGCATGGACCGCAAGTCGCTCACGGACTCCGTCGAAGACCCCGGCTACATCTCGATGAGCGGCTCCATCGGTAAGTCTGCGGACCGGTCTCCCCTTGCGAGGGAAGAGATTGCGCGCGCCGGTGCAGAACGAGAAGTGCAGTGCTCGGAATGCATCTTTGACTCGTGACACTTCTCCGACGTCGTCGGGCAGAAATCGAGAGACCACTCCTTCGGATGCGTTCGTACACCGTAGCGAAACCGAAAGGCGCAAGGATACGAAAACGGACGGACTAACAGACCTTTTTTTGGCTGCAAATGTACCTTTCAGGAGGCAGCGCTAATATGTCGTACAAGAGAGTCTTCAAGCTCGCGTTTCTTCTTCGTGAGAACGGTCCTGTCAGATTGGTTTTACGAAAGCTATGGAGGTAGGAAGCTTCCGGAGGCCCCGAGGGCGACGAGAGAAACAGCCATTGGCGCCAAGTCGGCTCTCCTTTTCGTCTAATAGTGGCTCTCGGTTCCGGTCGTCCTCGGAGTCGTTTCTGCAGACGACAGGGGAACCCTCTCAATTTTCGGGGAATACTGGAGACTCGAGAATGTTTAGGAGTTTGCGAATAATTGGTACTGCATGCTCTGGCCGACTGGCGTTCCTAAGGGCCGAACGCAATTTTTCCGCAAGAAGGGTACGAACGCGAACACCGTGTTTCAAGCGTACCTGCAGGCACGCGCACGTGCACGTGTCTGCGGAAGTTTAGTTCAAGTCATTGTGTACATGCTTATGGCTGCGGTTTTGCTTGCCCTTTCGCAGAAACGTGGTATGGTTCCGTCGCTAAAAAGTAGCCAATTATTACCAATGTACGACGTGCGCGACCAGAAACATCGCTGCGGTCGGGTTTCCGAGATTGAAGAAACCGTCGCTACGACGTCTTAAAAAATATTAATCCTGCTTTCGTCTATAAAAATAACAGTAACGTCAGACTGTCCGTGTTAACTGTGTTGGTTTAAGAATGTGACAACTAAACTTTCACTGTACTTCTTACGCGCATCATTTAACTTTTTGGATGCAACTGATAAGTAGCCAGGATTACAACTCATAATGTCGTGGTGAGGCTAATCCCGGTAGGGATGCCACGCAGAGGAGCCATGAGGGGGCACCGCCGAAACATCTTGGGGTTAATTTTATCAGGAGCTTAGAGGATTGAAACGGCGATGTGGGCAAGCTGATTGATGACTGAGGAAATATTACATAAGGACAAGGACTAGGCAGAAAAAAGAATACAAGCAAACTGCTCGGCTCCTATACCTCCTTCCTTCTGTCCTTTGCGTTTTTGCACACTGTTTATATTTTATCAGCTCTGAAGGGCCGATTGAATAGCTCATAAGAGGTCAGAGTCTTAAATGACGCTCCATTGGTACGGCTACTGGCGGCTCGAAGCCCCCTTCTTTTTATTTCACATTAGTCGTGGGATTTTGGATGAATCGGCAGGAAAAACTAGCAGGTCGACAAATTTACATATGTAGGAGACAGTTGACACTCATGTCTGTTGTCTAGTTGGAGGAAGATTCTTCAATCTCTCTTGCTTGTTTTTATTCAGCTTCATTTGCGTCAGTCAGCTTCCTTTTGGCCCCTACCTGTGCCGCCGTAAAGATGAGCAGGATGTTGACCTTTGTTTGCCAACGCTCGTGCCATCCTCTGGTCTGGTTTGGGCCCAACCGGTTCACTTTCAGCTGCCGCAAGCTTCTGCACTGAGCTTGCGGCCTTTCCCTAAGTGATACATCGACATCTGTCGAGTCACGTGTGCACTTACCTTACCCGTTGGTATGTGCGGACACGAGACGGCACATTTCTGTAGACTGCAACAAAGTTGACGCCCTCGCAAATCGCCGGCTAGGTTCAAAATCTGCCTCTGAAGAATCGAGTGTCGATGCCGTGAAATGTACGTATTTACCCAGTTCATTCCCAGACTAGCTTTTCGCTGTCTTAACTGCGGGTTTTCATATCAACGAGGCAAAATTGTATGGGGACGGATCTGCCGCCAAATGATTCTTACTGACCAAACACAAGTCCCAGTTGAACGTTGACGCAGGACTCAATGTCCACTTGTGCCCCACGCTCGCTTCCAGTTGGTGACACAGAAATTCCAGCACTGGGACCTCGCTATCTACGAGGTGTGGACGCGACTGAAGGAAAGAGAGTGAGGGAATATTTTTGCGGGAAAGAGAAAAATCCAGATTTCTGGTCTGGTATATCTTGCTGGACTACCTTCCGTAAACATCTGGGTATCTACGAGTGCGTCGTCGGCGTCCCCGTTCATTTTTGCTTCGTGTTTTTTCGTCGGACAGCGACCGAGACCGACATCTCCAAGTCGACGTGCAGCATGATGGACTCGGGGCTGATTGAGGAGGAACCGCCCCAACCTAGCCACCGCCATCATCAGCAGCAGCAGGGCCACCCGAGCAGTTCCGAGGGCAAGGTGGCATCGTCCTCCAAGCTGGACAGCGGCTACATCGACGCAGAGCCACCCAGCTGGGAGTCGCGGCTGCTGCAGGCGCCCCTGACGCCCAGGGAGATCTATGCGCAGGACGACGACGGGGACACGTGAGTTGTTGTAGAGGGTCCTCTGGCGAGGCACCAATGCTGCGTCGTGCCTTGATGCGTTTCTGACAAAGTACGAACGAAGAGGCATTGCCTCGCCAGAGACGTCGAACGCCGTGTCACGCCTCGTCACGTTTCTGACGAGGCACGCGTGCCTCGCGAGTGGAATGCCATTTCATGCCTTCTTATGTTTCTGACAAAGCACGAATGCCTCGTCAGAAGTGTGGAATGCGTGGTCATGCCTCTGACCAGAGCCACTAAATAAGCTTCTCTTCAGAGTAAGAACAGTTCATAACATCTTGTTGCCTAAAACTATTGTTGGGAGTTATCCGAGGTTTTAGATCAATGGAAGAGCACTCGAGCCTCTCGTGGGAGAGAATGAATGTCTCACCCGGTAAAAACCCGAGCTTCTCTCTTATCTTTCTCTCCCTCGGCTACAGAGTATCCCTTATCTCTCTCTGGGCACTTCCAGTAGGGGCTTGTAATTCTGTTTGTGGACCCTTTCCAGCCGTGTAAGCAGAAGCCATTGTAGATAAGGGACTTTCTGCAGAAGCGCCTTTGGGGGGATTATCTCTCTTTGTTTCCAAGCTCCATTGTTCTTGCTTTTTTCATACTTATTTTTGAAGCATTTTTGCTTGCCGATGCACTTAAGCTGCCTATTGAGTGGGATAACAGACGCTAAATCGCTGGTTATTTTGGGGCACTTGCAAGACTCAAAAAGCAACTCCGCTTCATTTTTTTTTTTTAACAGTGCGGTTTTTTTTAGTATCAGTTTCAAATTGAGCTAGTTGAAAACAAAGTACTTGGGGCTAAACATGAGGAAGAGGGAGTACTTAGGCTTAAAGACTAAGAGGAATTGTAACCTAGTTGTTATTCAGCGGTGCGTTTGTCCCCTTCTATCCTTTGTGTTTGTGTTTATGTTCTAGCTAACACTCGTACCTCTTCATATCACTTGGGAAGACCAGAAGTCAAATATTACGACCCAGTTCTGTCCAAATGTTCCTTAAACGGTCCTGCAAACTTTGCAACTCGCCAGGTTGCTGAATCGGCTGACTCGAACGGTTGAGGCACAACCAATGGCGCAGTCAAGGCTACGGCGTCAGCGTAGCCAACATTGAGCTGAACGTCATCGACAGTGCCCCTTTTTGCTTGTTTTTACTTCTCCAAGAAAGTGTAACGGGCGACGTCAGCAGAATTTTCTCTCGGCGCTCAGCGGTGTCCACGTGATTGGCGCGCCTGCGCAGTGCACTTCTTGAAAGCCATCCCACTGTGGTCCCGCCGTTACCGCCGTCCCCCACGTCACAACCGCCGCCGTCGTCTCACCGTTGGTGATTGTCTCTTAGAGTTTCGTTCACAGCACAGTCACTACGTGCGCAGACTTATGCCGCAGTTGTGTAGACATCGTCAAACGTCGTAGACACCAAATTGTGGCGAAGAGTGCGGTGCGGACAACAGTTGTGCCTGGCACACGCCTGCCCCAATCCCGCCCGTTGTTGCGTGGAGGATCACGCGACATAGCATACCACGTGATAGCATTGTTCTTTGCGGCCCAAGGCCATTATTGCTGGACGGTGCCAGAGTTTCGGTTTCAATTTCTGCTCGTGTTTAAAATTTGATTTAACAACATATATCACATTTTCGCAAAGCAAATGACGTAGTGCCTTTTACTAGTGCTTTTAATGCAAGATCACTCATTTCCAAAAATCTGGATTGAGCGCAGTTTCCCTTTAAAGGATCACGGTCATACTCGTATCAGAGCAAAAGCTTTGCTTTGCTGTAGTTTTATTTGCATACCTTTCTATCGAGGCGTGGTTGTGATAAGAGTTATCTTTTGGTTTGGGGCCGAGCTTCTCGATGGTGCGTTTCCTGGAATCCCGCTAGCAATGCATTAAAAACTCACTCTCCCCCAATTTTTTTTTTTTTACTATTTTGTTTTAAATTTTGAGTATGAGGAGTTGCTTTGCGAACGTTATGGTGACCTGAGGAGGTATCTTGTTCAAAGGTTGGCGCTTGCACGTGTCTTGTCACTTTGTAGTTCGGTGCTGGGGAAGTTACACTTCCAAGTAATTAGGTTAGCGCTGCTTGAGCTGAGATGCGACTTAAAAAGGCACTGAAGTCGATTCTGAGATCGTCCTTTTGTGGTGACAACTCAACCCAGACGCTCTAAGCATTTCAACAAACCCGAAATTACAATCGTGCGTAGCTTGTTTCCTCGTTAAAAGCTTGTTAAATGATCGCGACCCTTCTTTTTTTGGAAAGAAATTCCTTCCGAGTGAAGTGGTCGACAAAAGGTGCTTGTCGGCGAGTTAAAAGCGATGGCTTCGACCCGCAAAGATAATAGCTGTCTTATCCGAATGCGTACCTATCAGACTCTCTTCAAAACGAGTTGTAACAAATTCATTCTGGAAAGTAAACATATTCGACAGATATCTGCCTGGTTGGGTGAGAGTTAAAGTCTGAAAATATATCTCCAACCAAAAAATGAAAAGCAACCCGACGTTTCAAAACCAACACGGTTTCTTCTTCAGGGGTGACTGAAGGCGCGCGGACACAGCAGCAGCTCTCAACCTCTTCGTCTTCAAAAAAGGAAAGAAAAGAAAGAAAGAGAAAAGAAAAAATTTTTTAAAAAGAGAAGTTAGGAAATCGGAAAAATTGTGAAATAACTTGTTAGTTATGAAGATGGTCATCTCTTCAGCTTTTCCGTCAGGTCACGGAGGCCATGTGCGTACACAGAGGGCAGAGCGCCCAGCGACCTGTTTAGGTTTTCTGGGGTGTGCTGGATGTGCCACGATTCCAAGAAAAGTCTTCTTCGAAAATTGGGCTCTGTGTCCACCACGTGCGCGTTCGCGAAGTCAATGCGATGGTCTAGGGTATCGCAATGTTCGGCGATGGCGCTGCGCTCACTGTCAAACTTCCGCACGTCGTTCTTGTGTTGGCGGATACGCTCGGGAAAGTTCTTCGTCTCGCCGATGTAGGTTGCAGGGCACTCTGCGCAAGGAATGGTGTAAACCACGCCCTGTGCTTTTTCCTTTGGTGGACGAAGAAGTTACAGCGCTTCGGAAACTTCGTGAAGATACGGAGATTGTGCTTCTGCCGGCTGACAAAGGGAAGTCGACCGTCGTCCTGGATCGGGAGGTATACGAGGAAAAGGTACGGGACCTTCTTGGAAGCCATGCTTACGTAAAGCTCAAGAAAGATCCGACGCCACAGGTTCAGAGGAACTTGAACAAAATCCTGGCAGAGATTTTCAAGAAATACCCTCAGTCAAAGAGCCTTTACTTGCAACTTATTTGCAGGAATGGCTCCGCTCCAGGTTTTTACGGCCTTCCAAAGATCCACAAGCCGAACGTGCCTCTACGACCTATTGTGGACTTTACAACGTCACCGCTTCGGGCACTATCCAGTTACCTTCACCGGACTTTGGCTCCCCTTGTCGGAAACACGTCGACCCATGTAGAAAATGCTGGCCACTTCGTGGAACGCGCCTCGCAATTACATCTCAGCGATGGTGACACCATGGTGTCTTTCGACGTGGTGTCCCTCTTCACCAGTGTCCCAGTTCCCCTTGCAGTTGCTGCAGCCCGCGAAGCCCTCGAAAAAGACAGCTCCTTGACCACAAGAACCAACCTCACTGTGGAAGAGCTGTGCCGTCTGCTCGAGTTTTGTCTTGGCAGCACATACTTCACCTTCAAAGGGGAGCTTTTCAAACAGGTCAGTGGCACTGCAATGGGTGCGGCCATCTCGGTCACAACGGCGAATCTCACGATGGAGGCAATCGAGCAAAAAGCGCTGAGGTCTTTTCCCAACAGCCCCAAAGTATTCATGCGCTATGTAGACGATTGCTTCTGCATTCTCAAGGAACGGGACGTGAATAATTTTCTGGCGCACCTCAACTCTATCGAGCCGGCCATTAAATTTACCGTAGAATATGAGACGGATGGCACCTTGCCGTTCCTTCATGTGCTGGTGAACCGACGAGGACAAGATCTGACGTTCGCGGTGTACCTAAAACCAACACACACCGGACGCTACCTTGATTTTGTCTCCAACCATCCAACGAGTCATAAGGCCTCAGTGGTTTCGACCCTGCTGCGTAGGGCAACGACTATCTGCTCGTCGGAAACCGATAGAAAGAAGGAGAAGAAGACCATAATTGAAGACCTAAAGAAAAATGGTTACTCTAACAGCTTTATTGAGCGCATCGCCCGACGGCAAGGTCTCGCCAGACAAAACCAGATGCCAGTAGAACGACAGCCCCATCGAGTCGCGCGCATAAGCGTTCCCTACGTAAAGGGAACCAGCGAAGCGCTCGCACGAGTACTGGGAAAGCAAGGTATTCTGGTGGCCCACAAGCCCACATCCACACTGGGAAGGTTTATGCCAAGACCGAAAGACCGTCCACCAAAGGAAAAAGCACAGGGCGTGGTTTACACCATTCCTTGCGCAGAGTGCCCTGCAACCTACATCGGCGAGACGAAGAACTTTCCCGAGCGTATCCGCCAACACAAGAACGACGTGCGGAAGTTTGACAGTGAGCGCAGCGCCATCGCCGAACATTGCGATACCCTAGACCATCGCATTGACTTCGCGAACGCGCACGTGGTGGACACAGAGCCCAATTTTCGAAGAAGACTTTTCTTGGAATCGTGGCACATCCAGCACACCCCAGAAAACCTAAACAGGTCGCTGGGCGCTCTGCCCTCTGTGTACGCACATGGCCTCCGTGACCTGACGGAAAAGCTGAAGAGATGACCATCTTCATAACTAACAAGTTATTTCACAATTTTTCCGATTTCCTAACTTCTCTTTTTAAAAAAATTTTTCTTTTCTCTTTCTTTCTTTTCTTTCCTTTTTTGAAGACGAAGAGGTTGAGAGCTGCTGCTGTGTCCGCGCGCCTTCAGTCACCCCTGAAGAAGAAACCGTGTTGGTTTTGAAACATCGGGTTGCTTTTCATTTTTTGGTTGGAGATATATTTTCAGACTTTAACAAATTCATTCTGAATCTCCGCATATTGTAGGGCTTTCATTGGTCCACACAATGTAATCAGCGAGAAAAAAAAGAGTTCATATGTTTTTCTGTTGCCCTGAGTTGAATATGCAGTTTTGTAATATAGGACATGGTATATGTGGAAACTAACACCTCTTGAACAATATGAGATCAAAAACAACCTTTTTCAAAAATGACTTCAGTGCCTCTTTAAGGCCCATTCATGCAGTACCATTTGTTTATGCTGCAATGTGTGACTAAAGCTTAAGCCTGCTTACGCTCCGAGTCTTTGGGATATGCATGCTCCACATGGGGGGGGGGGGGAGCATGACAACCAGTTCAAGGAGTGCATGCTCCACATGGAGGAACGCGAGAAAACGTAAACAAATTCTCCTGGGCGAATGGGCCTCAAGTTGCAAACGGTTATTTTGCTAGAAATGTTAAGTAGGGGGAGTGGCATAAACGGCAGGGCTGGTTGAAAAATGAGTTAGAATCGTCGATGCCTGCACGTAGGAGCGCAGATTTTCATAGAGACCTATTTGAATGGTGCTTGATACTTTGCACTCCCACGAAAAATGAGAACTACCATGTTCCTGACAACTTGAGTGACAGATGTCGAAACAGACTGCCGCGTGCCGAGACTCAATTTTGGAGCAGCTTTCGAGGGTGGCGCAACACGCCCCATCTGGAATGTGTAGAAATGCGTCACGACAGCGGTGGACATTCGAGCCGAAAGTAATCTCAGAGCAGTCTAACGTATCTCCAGCTACGCACGGACGGACAAAATTTTTAGATTAAAAGGGGTTCTGTTAAAAAGCATTTCATACCTTAGAAAAGCCTAATTTTATTGCACAAATGTTTCTGTTTCTTTTTTTTGTTTTGTTTTTGTTCTACTTTTATGGACTGTGTTTTGGTGGGAATTTGGGCAAGCCCCAGCACATTCCTTACGTCGGCCCTTGCGTCTGTTGCGCTCTGGGTCGTGGAGCGAGTGGTGAGGTTGTGTCTGTCTGCAGCCTCCTCCACATTGCGTGCATGGAGGGATGGAAGCAGCTCCTGTTCAAGCTCATCCAAAGCACCCCAAACCCAGACCTGCTGGATCTGAGGAACGACCTCGGACAGGTCAGTGACCTTTGCCCTCCTCTGCAAGCTCCCGGGCCACAACTCGCCTCGTTTTACAGCGGTAGCTGTTACGGGCTCTTCCACCGACTGTATTTTGACCGCGTGCGACTTCTCGTGACGAGACGCCGCGGAGGCGTCGCCTATCGGGTAGCCCCAGAGCACTTCGATCCGCGCACGTTTTCCGGCTTTTTACCTCTCGGTCTCTCTCCACAAGCTCAAAAGTAATTCCGACGACGTTATGAGCGATCGTTGCACAGATGTGGCATGTGGATTCGATAGACGGCGCCAATTTTTAATGCAAAAGCATTAATGCTCCACTACACAAAAATTTGGCGGCAGCGTGACCCAGCAATGGTACCAGAAATGGCACGGCGCAAAGAGTAGACACGTCAAAAATGCTCGGATTGACGTAAAATTTCTCGGGGAGATTTCTGTAAACGAAGTAAATGGATGGCTTTGAAAAGAAAATTTGGTACATTTTGGTCTGGGTGGGAGTTGAACCCTAGCATTTGGGGTGCGAGACGAGCACGCTTCCCCGACGCCACGGCGGCTCCACGGTTCTGGCTGACTAAAGGTGCGCCTAGTGCGTGCGTCATTACAATGCGGACAATGCATATGCAAACACATGTACCGAATCGGCAGAAAGAACTTTAATGCATGTTGACAACTTTGATCGAAAGCATTTCACCGAAGGGTCTATAATGCTCTCAATAAATGGTTGGCACGTGCATGCTTGTGTTCTCAAGCAGCGACGAGGACGGCGAGTGGAGAGGATCAACTTTTTTGCCTCCTCCTCGGAGCTTCAGAACGCGGCTTGCAAACCACGTGACTCGACGGGTTAGCCGGAAACACCCTCGGATCTGGGCACGCCGCCCGTCATAAGCGGACGGTTGCAGTTGATTCTATCGCGCCCAGACGTAAGTGCGGGGATCCAGCCTTGACGCCGGATTGTGTGCTCACGCGTGCCTTCCGTCTGTCCCCCAGACGGCCCTGCACGTGGCGTCACTGTGCGGCCGTTTCGACGAGGCCCGGTTCCTGCTGGTGGCCGGGGCCACGGTGGACGCGAGGGACCGGGCGGGCTGCACTCCGCTGCACGTGGCCTGCAAGAAAGGGGACCTCAGGGTCGCCTCAGACCTCCTCAGCCCCGTCACGCAGGTACGTCACCAGACGGTGGTGTCCAAACTGCTTCCCAACTTTGTTTGTCCGAGGACGGGTTTAGGCGCTCAACGGGCCGTTTTAAAAGTCCCGAAGCTCCTTCCGATTTTTGTTTTTTCTCTGCAAGGAAGAGACGCCATGTAGGCGCGGTTCAAACAGACTCAGAATCCGGGAGCCGGAACCCGTACTGACGTAATCACTTCCGGCCCCCATTACGGATCCAAGTCTTCGCGGTTTGGTTTGAACGGCGCGCTTCCCTCCTCGGCCTTCCTTGCCACCCACGTGAACGCCGGTGGCAAGGAGGGCGGAGGGGGGAAGCGCGCCGCACTGATTGGCCGCGGAGAAAACGGGGAAAGCTACGTCACGACACGGAAGTGAGAAAGTTGAAAATTTTTCAACTCTCGACTACGGGTGCCGGAAACTGTAATTACGTCGCCGCCCGTACGGAGGGAGCGTCAACATCACTACGGGTTCTGACACCCGTATCTGTATCACGGGCCTGTTTGAACCGCGCTTTACAGTCGAGGCCGGAGCACCCGTGACGTTGCCGCGGGAGGCGATCGAGCCGGTCCGGGCGCATTGGAATAGCGTCGATACAAAGGCGTCGCGCGTGAGCGTTTCGTCGGGAAAACAAGTTTTTGTTGATACCAGCATGTTTTGTTATCTGTCACGTAGTTTCGAAACGACGGATGTTCTAGGAAATAGATATTGTTGTGCAGGAGGTGATTGGGCACCTCGGAACAGCCGACGTGTAAGCATTGAGAGTGGATTTACATTCGTAGCTACAAGCTTTATAATGCAGATATGCTTTGTTCCCTAAAACGATAGTTACAGGCGGCAGTTATGCCGGAAAGGTGTGCACGGGCAAATTATTAGGGCCCAGAAACATTGAGGCCAAGTGCAAGTACAATCCGTCTACAACTATGCTTTGGGAAAGATGGGTTTGCTTCGATGCAACCCTGTTTAGTAATGTAAATATCACTCGGAAAGACTGACGTTTTATAAACAACGATTGTCACAAAATGGCACGACACCGAATGACTCAACATGGCAAAACAGTTTGTGGCAGCTATGTAACGCATACAGATCCAAATGCCCACGGAAAGTATTGCCAAAAGCAGTAACGTGTTGTTGAGGATTTATGTTTTTTTCGGGGTAAGACATCATGAAAGTTACTTTATTTGTGGGGAGAAAAATGACTACAAATAAAAGTAGGGAAGCATTATCTTTGAAAGAAATAATATCCTTCAATCTTCCACATTTATTTTTTAATTCATCGAAGTCAATTTTGGTAGTTAAATTAATTGCGGCTTCACTACTCGGACACTTATGAACGCTCATTATTTTTATCGCTTATCGCCCAACAACATATTTTCTTTAGTCCAATGGCTATCTTGTATTACTACCGGTACATCAACAGAACGGCAAAACCTTCCTAATCTAGCAGCTCTGACTAGAGACGGAATTCTCAATAAAGACAGAGGCACGGATGCGTGTTTCTATCGGGCAGTGTCCCGTGCGACAAAAACACGGCATGAAGAGTGTTTACTAGGGGTGTGCGAGTACCGAAATATTAGAATGCGAATCGGATAGCAAGTTCTCGAATAATTCAATTCGCGAATTGAATTCCTAGTATTTGGTCAGTCGAATATTCGGTGCAAGGCGCGCGGTCAACGGTTGACACAGAGCCAACTGACAAAAGACCCTTTTTTTTTCTCTCATTTGTAGCACATCCTGATGTTAGGCAGAACACGCAAGAAACTGATTTTGGTTTGACCTTTCCACTGCGATCTAGCGCACACACAGGCTAGAGATAAATGATGAATGCCACAAACCTCATAATCGCAGGTGTAATCACGATGGTGACACAGCCGAACAAACTTTGGGGATGCCAGAGTAAACAAGGCTGCACCGTGCCTTAATTTCTCTGCAAGTAAAAGCCCCTCCGTTTTGAATCTAAACGCCGTTCCAAAACACACTCCACGTGCTCCACGGAGATGGGCGACCGTAACATTGCAGTAAGGTCACGCTGACCATGCTGCGAAACGGCCGTAGTCGTGGTTTGAACGTCTCGACCTGGACAAACGCCGAAACGGAACGGAAATAGAACAACAGTAAACGGCCAGGGAGCAACTGATACCAGTGCGTCGCTTTCGCCTCCCCCTCGTGCTTCACATTGCAAACGAGGCACGTTTCGCATGGCAAACGAGGCACGCACTTGACGACACCAGGTGAGCATTCCTCTTTCATGCTCGTTTTCTCTGCGGGGGAACGCAGTCTGCAGGTTTTCTGGTCTTCGTCGGGAGCGACGTGACCGAGCAGACGAAAAGTGCCATCTGGAACCTTTTTGTAAGGAGCTCGTCCCAAGAAGTGACGTGGAAGAGCTGCGACGTGGAACTTCGGACCCCGTCTTCGGCCAACTTGAAGAAGAAACATTGTTTGTTGGAAGGAGTCGATGCAGGCTCGGGGGACGGAAATAAGCAACATAATTACCCGGATGCTGGCTCTCGACCTTCAGCCGTACGACATTGTTGAAAGTCGCGGATTCAGAGCGCCAATGAATCATGCGGAACCACCCTACCAGATTAGCCGCAGTACATTTTCGAGAACAATCGTCCCCGAGTTGTACTCGGACACTGCGTAGTCTGGGAAGGAGCAAATGCATGCGGACATCTTGGAATGCATACAATCAACCTCATTTACGAGGGACGCGTGAACCTCGAGAGCCAACCGGCGCTACATCAGCCTTGCCTGCCACTACCCGGCGTCTGGCTTCAAAATGAGAGCCTATGCACTTGCAAACCAGGTTGTGACCGAAAGCCACACCGCCTCCGATATCCCGGAGCACCCGCGGACTACGGTGGACGACCGGGACCTGCCACCGCAGGAGGCACCCATCTATGTCGCGACGGAGAACGCGCAAAATTTTTTGTGCGGCTTTAAGAAGCTTTTTATGTATCCTGATGCAGTGCGTGGGCCACATATTGCAGCTGACCTTGGAGGGTGCCAAGAAGAAGGCTGTGGAAGTCCCTACCGTTCTAAAATAATGCTGCGCCATTGCGGGCCACTACAAACACAGTGCCCGAACCACAATAAGACTGCGGAACTACCAGCGGCACGTGGAGCTCCCTCCCGTTAAAGCTCACATCCAGGACGGGGAAACTGCCGCTCGGACATTGCACATCAACAAAAAAAAAATTAGGGCCGCGTTTTACAGCGAACACGTGAGAACGGCAGGGCGTCTCTTTGGAAAGCCCAGCTTCCAGCACATGGTGCCTTCTGGCGTGCTCTGGCTGCACATGCACGCACGAGGTGCATGAGGTGCCCGAGTGTCATAGAAACTGGAAGCCTACACTCGACATCTGAGGCCACTCCACTACGATTCGTCCGCACTGGTGTTGTTCACGTCGTGATCGCTGCTACGTTCTCAAAGCGCGTTGTCTACATCGCCCCACGAAGTCATCTTCCGCGCTTGTTCGGCAATCGCGTCGCACGACCGATCGCGCACGTCTGTGATGTTTGTTGCAAGCCCAACCTCCAACTTCGGAAGGCATCTCAACCTGTTTGTGCCCGCTGAAGCCTCTTCGTTTGCTGTCGCAGTCGAGACCCTGCGCTGTCGCAGACGCCTCCGGACCACCACCCGCTCGGACAGGTCGAACTTGCATCCAGCAGCCTGGTTGTTTGTCACTTATGGATGAAGAACAGCCATAAACGAGCGCTGAAAACCTTAACTGCCGGATCACGTTTGCAATACGGGGAAACGTAGCCGGCACATTGGGATGATCTGGACACTCAATCGAACGACGCTCTACCGCGAATTGTGCGATAAACTGTGAAAAGAAGCGGTGTGGGCATTGAGGTTGCTCGGGAAGGACTTACATCGAGTACCGCCACTCTTGAGAGTGGGGCAGGCCGTCTCGGAAACCGAGCGCACAGAATGGCACAACGCTACAAGTACAGCCGGCTGAACTTGTAACAAGTCGAGGTGTTGATGGAATGCTTGGGTTCAATTACGAGTCGACCCTCCCCCCCACTTCAGATTTTCAAAAATTGAAAGATGGGCCGGCCTACATTTGTGTAAATACGGTAGATGGAACCGTGAATATGACGTGCTCTCTCGTCTTTTGCAGCTCATAGAAGCTGTCTGTCTCGAGCTTGCCACATCTGAGAGAGCGGTGCATGACCTTACACCTCAGAAGTGGAAAACGGTGGCTGGACTAGCAAAAACCTTGGAGCCGGTCGCGTCGGCAGCCAAAGATCAGAGTGATCAAAAACATGCGACATTGTCGTCGTGATCTCATTCCTTTATGGAACACGGGTGCTCTTGAAGGACTGCTTTGCAGCGTGCATGACGCGTTGGAGTTTGCTAAAAACATGCTGAAACGCACAATGTCAAGGCTTCCAGGACCCAGTAATCAAAAAGAACAGCATGCTATCGCAACCACACGTGACCCAAGGTTTGAGAGCACCTTTTGCACCGAAGCCGTCCAAAAAATGAGTCCCTTGGAGCTTGTGAGAAGTGAGCTGCGAGAATCCACCAAGGGTATTGGGTGACTGTGCCGATGCATCAACATCTGCCATCCACAAGGAAGGTGCTGGCAGTTTCTGGGACGACCTCGGAAAGCTGGCTACCGCATCTGCTAGGAAGGACTCCCGTGAAAGGGGTATCATGGAGGAATTTCAACTTTGCCCTCCAGAGCCCACCTGCAGTAAAAACAAAGATCCTCTTACATTCCGGAAAGAATGGCAGGCGCAACTTCCCTGGGCTGTGCAAGTTGGCCACAAGGTACCTGGCCATCCCGGCAGCAAGTGTACCAAGTGAGAAGCTGTTTTCCGTAGCTGGTAACATTGCGATGTCGCGGCCGGAAGAGTTGACACCGGATCACGGGCAGCAGCTGCTTTTCTCGGACAAGAATTTGTGAGCACTCGAGCTCACGTTAAATAAAATCGGTACTCGGTATTTGACTCAATGTTAGACTTTTACGGCGAAGCTGTTTATGGCTAGGGTTCCGTAGATTTCTCGTACGCTTGACGAAGAACTCGACACTCGGCACCGCCGCACGCCTTCCCTGTATAAAACATTTGAAGGAAATAACTAAAATAAAGCATTGATGAACGTGCGTGCAAGATGCCATTTGTTTTAGGCTTTTCCTTTAGAACAGTTACTGCTGCAGACGCTAGCACGTGGAACACCATTTTCTGCATTCTCCTTGATGCTTGGGTAATTTAGCAATAGGTGCAAACTTATACAAACGGGTGAACTTAAAATTAGGGGTGTGCGAATACTCAAATATATGAATTCAAATCGAATAGAAAGTTCCTGAATAATTCGATTCGCGAATCGAATTCCTAGTGTTCGGTCTTGCGACTCCAGCGAAATCGACACGGTGAGAAACTCGCGAGAGGAGGTCGTTTCAACTCTGTCGTCTGCTATCGCTGCTTGGTTTTTGCGGGCAGCATAGAAACAAACATTGTTTCTATTAATTATTTGTATGCTTCCGCCCTGTTATTCCTACGCACTGACTAAAAGAAGGTTTCTACCGTCGAAAAATTGCTTTGCGCTCACATGTAGTACCGATTTTATGCTGCAGTGCAAGAAATTTATGGTGGTCCGCGTGCTGAACGACAAAAACGACCTCCCTTCATCCGCCATTTTGCCTGACCAGCGCACCCCCTATTATTCGTTGGAGTCGTGAATATTCAATATATTCCCCAAAGACGCGCGGTCGGCGCGGAGCTGACGAAGAAGTTGTTTTTTTTTTCCCGATGCAAGCGCCATGATGATAGACAGACCATGCGAAAAACACCTCTTGGTCCTACCATTCCACAAAAATCGAACTCGCAGGTTAGAAAAAAGAAAAGTAACGAACGCCACAAACTTTATAGCACGTACATTTACTCACGATCGTGACACAATCTACCCTTGAATCACTACCAAAACATCCCGTTTGCACCGCCGCGCCATGCCTAATTCTTTCCACGAGTAAAGTCCCTCGTTTCAAATTGAAGCGCTGGTGCAAAACACACTTGGCCGCACTCACAGAAATCGGCGACTGCACGATCACAGGAAGAAAACCGCGTTAACCACGCCGATGAAACCAGCCAAGTTATCGTCGTCATTCTTTTGGAACCGCAAGCCGCAAATTGTGATTCGGAACAAAACTGAACGGAAAAATAGTGTGCCTAGATTTGCGAGGATTTTCAACCTTTCAATAGCCGCGTTTGAATTGCGAACTGCGAGAAGGTGACGAAAGCACGAAGCGCAAAAGCGTCGATCGGGCAGGCGGTGTCGCTCTTCCGTTTGCTTGCCTTCTTTCCACGCGACTACACAACAGATGCGCACTTAGGACCAATCTGCGCTGGAGCCGCCTCCGTGGTTTCAGTTTTGCTTGCTTCCTCTTTCAAATAAAGCCTCTCTAAAACAGGATAGATAGATGGAAAAATGGATGCATAGCGGCAGTTGGACGGTGCCTTGCGCCACCTAACCACTTTATTTTTTTTTTCTTACTTCAGATTATATAGTTTAAGCCTGTTTACTCAGATTTAACACCTATCTGTTTATTTATGTGAAATAAAATCCCAGGTGCCCTTTTTTTTCCTTAAAATGGAGACCAAATATATCACAAAATGCCCCTTTTTTGAGATATACAAATATTTTTAGAAAGTTGCGGTGCTAGATTGTGCTTTTAACAAAAAAAAAAAAAAAGGCACGCCTAGCAGTAGCTTTGCTTTTTTTGTGACGTTTAGGGTAAATAATGTTTGCGCCATAAAATTGGATCTTTAGTGCCCAACGTCCAACAGCAACTGCTTTTTTTTTTTTTTTTTCACCAGAACTTTTTACATTTTAACTTTTGTTTCGTACAAGATGCATATTCTGCACCTGGTACATACTCTGCACATATAATAATGTCATTCGCAGCACACTTTTGAAAATTCCTACAAATAAAATTACTATTCGATTCGATGTCCTGACTTTTTTTCTTGATTCGATTCGGTATTCGATTCGAAAACTACTATTCGGTATTCACACACCCCTACTTAAAATTGCACGTAACCACAATTTGAATACGGCACTACGACTACCACGGCGTCAGATAGCCAACTGGCCAGAAAGAAAAAAAGAGCAGAAAAGTGGAAAAATCCGAGGGAGAAGCCTAAGGAGAAGCCCAACCTCCAGGATTTCCTCCTCCTCCCCCTCCTGACGTTGGTGACGTCGTGCCTCCTGGCGCTACGGCCCTGAACCTAGGTACCTAGGTGGTGTTGGAGGAAGTTGAAGACGGAAGAAAGGGGGAGAGAGTAAGGGGGGCATCGGGGCGGCAGAAAGTGCATGTGTGACTTGACTGACCCCTTTATATGGAGCACGGGCATCTGTAGCGGGTTTCAGCATCTGTAGCTGCTTTTATCATCAGCAGCTGTAGCTGCTTTAATGCAGAAGTGCTTTCTTACCGAAGGTAACTCTGACTTAGCCTCGAAAAGTGAAGCGTGCCCTGGTTGAATAGAGTTGGCAAGCCGCCGAACCCCCGTGTCGCAAGCTCCGTCAGCCGCACAATGCAACTGTGAATGTAAAAAAGTAAAAGAAACAAAGAGAAGCGGCAAAGGGGGGTGACTTCGAGACACTCTGGGAAGACTTCACTAGCTGTGAAAGCTTCGAAAATAACGAGGAGGGAAAGAAAACTGTGCAAAAGGAGGATCTGGAGACACTATGCTTCCTTTCATAATTAGTATACAACACTGTCGAAGCTACCGGCGCGAGTGCGTGGCTTCATCCGCGGCTTTTTTGCACTAGAACGCGTTCAAATGATCCGCGAGATCAAACCCCATGCTCGCGCCAGCAGCTTTCGCAGCGTCGCGCACAAAGCATGAAACAGGCTATAGACGCGCCATTGCATCCGTGGAAGCCAGAGAGGCTGGTCCATCGCATTTTCGGAACATAATTCTACATGTGGTGGTTCGATCAATCGATCGAAGTAGAACCACAAATCTTCGTTCTCCCTTCCCATTTTCTCTCACCCAAATCTTTCGCTCCACTTGCTAACCGGATTGTGAAGGAGTTCTCTCCCTCCTTTCTCCTCTCTTTCCCGTTTTTGGCATGCATTTGTACGTCGGTGTACCGATACTGTTGATCCAACCACCTGCAGTTTTCGGAATTCTGTCTGCCTGGGCTACGAGCGGGAATCCCACGCTCGCCGCATGTTACCCGACTGACCCTTCCAACCTATTGCAACGAATGACTTCACACTTGGAGCACCGAAAACGAAGGTGCGGTAAACACACCAGTTGGTGACTCGTCCCAAGTGCCACACTGGAACTGTATCTCGCCGGAGCTGTGTCACGTCCGAGCTATGGTGCTCGGAACATGTCCCTAACCAGCGTTTTTAGCGCATCCTCAAACGTCGTCTCTCGATTGCCACCCGACGACGTCGTACAAGTGCCGCGCCGTCGCCGGCGCCTCTCGTGGCAGCGGTGCGGCAGCAGAGACAGATGCGAGCGGGGGCTCTTCAGCCTGAGACTTTACAGCAACTTGGGGAGTTGCGAAGTTCTTCTCTGCCGGAGCTTCTACGACCTAGCGCCAGGACGATGACGTCAGACAGCACGACGTGCCGGATCTCTGACTTCGGCCGTTGAACCGCTTTCAACGCACACGTGTAGGAGGCTAAACACGCCGGTCAAAAACTCATTCCAAGTGTCGTACCGGAACCGCGTTGTACCGAAGCGCACGTGTTGAAACAGTGCGTCGGGTCACGCCGACCTTGCGTTGCCGCGCGAAACGCGCCGTGCGACACAGCATCCAGGTAACCCCCTTGACGTTTTAGTGCGGGGGAGTCTCTGACGGCCCGCTCTGGGTGTGGGCGTCCTTCCCTCCCCCAGAAGGAGGTGGAGTTCCTGAAGCTGCGCTACCAGGTGGCCGTGGACAACGGGTCCCTGGACGTGGGGCGCCTGCTGCTGCAGCGGACGTACGCGGGGGACACGGCGCTCCACCTGGCGGTGCGCTCCGGCTCTAGGGCCCTGGTCGAGAAGCTGCTGCAAGAGCACACCGCAGACCCCAACGTTCGGGTGAGCCAGCTCGTCCTAGCATATTTGTGACTCCGGCAAAATGAACGGCACCTAGAGGGAAAACGCTCGACTGGCCAGAACAAGTCCCTTCGCGATGGCATGTCGTCGGCGGTTGACGCTGTAGCCACCAAAGTGGAGCGAGGGAAGTTGGGTTGGTTGTGTCCGCAGCAATGGAAACTGTACCAACAACGAAGCTGCTTGGTAATGGTTTCTAATATTAATTAAATATTTATAATTGTGTACCATTAACACTTTATTGACGGGATATACAAAAATTGCTTAAAACATTGATTTTTTTCAGATATAAATGTTTAACAAGGTCAAATATAAGAACAGAGCTGAATCTAAAAAAAGAAAAATTGTAAGTTAAATTTGTTAAGTCAGAGCTTTGAACACCAGGCAAAAGTCCGAAAGAAGCTTCCTTACATAACTATAAAATGCCAATAATATCTTCAAGACTTGTCATACTACTAGATTTTTAAAAAATGCAATAAAACTGAAACAACTAAACGTATGAAATTATTACGTGGTTTGTTGCCTGTGCGCAACGTTTGTCAATCAAGGGTTAATTATGTCGATCATATTGCCTTTCATAATTTCGCCTCTTCTATGCTCTGAATGGTTCTGCATTGCCTGCTATGTGCTATGAACGCTTTGTTTCCCTGACCTTGATTTCAACTGCTTTCTCAAGCATAACGCCCTCCGCACGAAATAACGGCACCACGGTCACCTGGGTGCAGGAGCACTACTGTGGCGCCACGCCCCTGCACCTGGCGTGCCGCCTGGAGCGTCCGGACCTGGCGGAGTGCCTGCTTGCCACGGGGCGGGTGCAGGTCAACGCGGAGGACTACGGGCGCCGCACCGCGCTGGGACGCGCCTGGGACGCCCACCGCAACTGCCCCAGCAGCAAGGCCCTGCTGCGGCTGGTGCTCTTGCTGCGGAAGCACGGCGGACGGCCCCTGCAGGACCCTGGTTCGGAGGACTCCGACTCCGAGGAGGACTCCCAAGAGGAGTCCGAAGAGGAGGAGGTGGGAGAGGGCTACCAGGTGAATCCGTCAACCAGCCTTCATTAACGTTCTTACGCCGGGCGTTCGGCATTTTATGAAGCCCGGACGAAAGCGTGGCCGCAGGGCTTGACGCTGGTCAGTCGACGGGTGGAAGAGACTCAGATTGGTTAACGGGGAGGTAATGTGACCAGAGGGGTAGGCGAGGACGAGCGCGAGAGTATGGAAGGCTCTGGAAGGTCACCAGGTTCATTGGCCCGACGAGCGGTAGTATCGCTTCATTCTAGCAGCAGCTAGCTAGTGTACACATGGTGTACAGATTATGCAATGTGACCGATGAAAAATTAACTACCGGGTTTATCAAATGATTAGTCAATTAAAAGGTAGCGATCAGTTGGATTAATTTTTTAATCTAACCACAGGTCCAATTAACATTTATTGTTTTACGAAAGCTGTGGTTTCTGCGAGATTACAGAAATGTGTGCGACCAGCGGTCGAACACAAGCCACAAACAACACTAAGATTATGGAAACATCCGACTTGATAATAATCGCTTTGTTGAATTTCCACGCACGTGAAACGATATAGCACAACCTTTAGTCCGAAGAAACGACAACAAAAACAAGCGTTCCATGAGGAGGGCTCAGCTCAGCCGGAAACGGGCTTGCGTCGTCCAGATCCATGCTTTTGAACGTTTCTAATTTTGGCCGCACGGTGGCAACACGGTTTGATCTTGAGGCGGCCAGACACCCTTGTGAACATTTTCATTGCACTCGGTTCTTTAGTTTATATATTCAAATTTTTTTGTACACCCAAATCGCGTAAAAAAAAAAATAAAGAAAAGATGTACGGGAAAACTTTTATACATCGGGTTTTTTTTTTTTTTTTTTTTCAAAATGTTTTTGTCTTGGGGAACGCCCATTTCTTTAGACTGGTGGCCCTGAGGGGTACCTGCCCCCTCAGTAAAGTGTCCTCCTAGTTTGAGCACTGCTTTAGAAGATCCGAGTCATTCATTCATGCATAGCTGCAAGCCAGGCGCTCGCTAGCATGCGTGTTGTTGCTTACTGGGCCTGTAGTCTCCTGTAGTGCTTTACTGCGTCGTTGCTGAGACTGGGAGGGGTTTGTACCCTTTCGGTCAAGCCAGATGACAGTTCCTCCAACACCCAAAAGTTTGACACCCCATTCTCCGTTTCTTCATGCAGGCACCCTAGTTTGTTTTTCCTTAAAAACAGAACTCTGGCTGCGTGATGTTACTGCTGGCACTTTGGCAACAAACTTTGAGTCATTCTTAAAAAGATCCATTTCCGGTTCCCTCTTTTCTCACTTATTTTTTTTTTTTCTTTTTGTGTGTGTTGGGGGGTGGGGGGGAGTGCTTTTCTTAAATTGGGTCGGCAGTCAAAATTATTTTACTATTTCGAGTTCATAGGTGCATTTACACCCGTGGACACTTGTGATGCAATTAGAATTTGTTTGTCGATTTGAGAATGTAGTAAAATTGGGTTTTGTTAAATCGAGTTGAAGTGTGCTTGTAGTACAGATACAGGTACTTGAGCTCCTCTAATAAAAAAAGATTTATGTTGCAGAGATTTTTTCTCAAAAGGAACTGATATCAATTGAGTGTTTCTTTTCCAGGCTTTACAGGTTTGTCTTAAAAAAAAGCGTGAACGCGGTCCCTGCAGGAGAGTTCTACGGCTAGAGGAACGTGATGTGGCGCAATAAGCGTCACGATAAGTCGGCTGATTAACTAAAATATGTTAACTTAAGTTAGCGGATATAAGCATACGCTTCGAAATAGGAACTGTCGATTTCAGAAGGAGTTGGGAAGCACGGGGGAGCGCGTAAGTTGCCATTCGAGCAGCAGGTGCGAGGCTACCGGTGCAATATCGCGTCCACGCGGTTTTTCCGTCTTTTCATTTGCTTTTCCTCACCGCCAGCTTCGTGCCTGTTGTACAAGCAGTCACTTTACCACGCTGCTGCGCTTCCCAGCCTTATAAAAATTTGCTATTTAGGGGTTTTCGAGGACGCTCAGCAAGTTCCCAATTGGAACCGTGCGTTTATATTAACTAATTCAAAAGTCGAGACTCAATCGCGACGATCATTGCCCCTATATTGTATCCTGGCCATACAGCTCGCCTGCACAGACCACATCAGTGTTGCTTTTGTGGCTTTTTTTTTCCGAACAAAGCTGCGAAGCCTAAAAAGGAGACACCCCGTGTATAGAGAGGTTCGCATATCGAAAAGCTGTGGCCGATCGAAATGCTGATTTTGCGTCGTTCTCCACTCTCCTTGCAGAACGAAGGGAACAGTTTGAGTTTGGGTCCTCTCACGCGCGGCACCTACCTGGTGAACGACGTCGGCTGCACGTAGGGGCGCAACCAGTTCCCCCCCCTCTCTTCTCAGTCATCACCGTTAGCCTCACCGTTGTTTGTTGTTGCGGACTTGTCTCGATCAGCCCCGTTTTATAATGAAAAGGAAAGTGTGTCTTTGTTCGATGCGGAACCGTTTCTCGCACCCTAGGGCCGCCTCTTCGTTTTCCCGTGGTTTGCATTAGGCGAGGCTCGAAGACTCGATGGTGGTGCCCACTTCCCACCGCCAAAGCGTCGAAAACAAATTTTTTTTATTTTTTCCAGGAGCGTTGATTTTTAGGAGTAAAATTAGTTGGATTGATAGGTGACGAATGCTGCCCTCCCGCAAATGGCAGACACGTGCGTAAACCGTTTTGTCGGATTAACAAAGGTGTCCTTAAATTTCGCTTCAATCAATTTGAGGGCATGAAAGCCACGGAAGCTTTTGTCGATCTGGCGAAGACAGCTTCGTTAAAAGGACCGAAGATTCGTGAAAATCGAGTCGTGCGGTCGCCGCATCTAGAAGATGGAAGAACACTCGTACCTTGCTCCGTCGCCGCTGTTCCCCGTATCTATGGGCAGCCGCGACCGGAGCATCTTTACCTGAGGAGTGGGAGACGTGTACATAGTAGTTATTTTCATAGTGCGCTTTAACTTTTTAAACTCGTACAACCTGTAGGACGGGAGAGATTGAGCACCTTTGGACCATGCTCGACCCTCCTGGAAGTTGCGTGTCGTCCTTCCCGCGGGCGTGAGATCGTTTCGTTGCAGTTGCACGCAACATTATTTATTGACAGCTTCGCAAAGCATGGTTCCGACCCCCTTTTTTTTTTTCTTTTTTGTCTGTCTGCCGTGGATTTCTTGTGCTCTTTCCTTTTTTTTTTTTTTTTTCGGGTTTGGCGACATTGACTGTCTCGTCCACTGCGCACTTACCGCCGACATGCTCATGAGGATAGGAAAAAGAGTTAATCATCCTTCGTGGGTGGATGTTCCCGTAGTAATAGCGCGGGCGAGCATTACTGCGTACAAAATGGTGCGCGGCATTTGTGCGAGGCAGACGTTGCCAGATCCTATCGGGCAAGGTTTGCGTCACTGAAAGATCTACGCATCGATTTTCTTTCTTTTAGCGACGTAGTGCTTAGAATGAACTCACAAAACACGACTTGTCGCGCGAGAAATTTCATCTCGCTGTCCCTTAAAATTAAGTACAGATCTGACGAAAACTTGGGGGGCATGTAGACTTGCGAAGCATCGAATAGCTACGGCAGTGGGACAAACACTCCGAAGCGAACGCTTATAAACTCTCGGCTAGAGAAGTTTGCTGTGTACATGCACCTGCTTTGCACCTCTACCCGGCAGACATATTTCATAATTTCGTTCGCTTACCTCGAAGCAGATTGTTTGCTGCGTATTTGGTTTGAATGCGGTGGCACCTGTTTGTAAAGGGTGAGGGCATGCCTATATTTCCGTGCGAGTGTGTTTTGCGTGTGCAAGCATATGTGGGATGGATGAATGCTGCACCCTTTCTGTTTGAGGCATGAAGATGTCGTAATCATCCTTCACTGATTGTTGCGTGCGAGGAATCCAGAGTTAGAAATGTAATCGGGACGCTAAAGAGAGCCTTAGGCTGTTCCTAAAACTGGCGCAAATTGACTGACCTGCGATCAAAGGGAGAATCCAAAAGCTAGGTTTGCGTCCACATGGTGCAATTGGCTCAAGTTTCGACGACATCTTTGGTTTGTCGACATTAATAATGTGAAAATTTACGAATCATTCGATGTATCACTTGCAAGTACAATGGTGGCCAAGGGTGACCTTTACGAGGCTACGTATGTTCCTCGCACGTCCCGCACTGTGGAGCGACGTTTTTTCTGGCATTGTGCAACTGTGTGGGGGTGTATGTTTGGGGCTTTTGTTTTTACTTTCCCGCATTGTTTCGTGAAACCGTGCCGCGTGGTGAAATCTTCGATGAAAAACGACCGAACGACACTGCCTGAGAATTCCTCGAAAAGGGAAGATGATCTAAAACCAGCCGAGACTGCCGAGAAGAAAATGTACATAGCTCGTATGAAAATCTTTTAACAACGTAAATTAAGAAAAAAAAAACACAAAAAAAACCCAGGATGAAATAAAAACTTCAGAAGTGGAAATGCGGGGAGGGGTGGGTGAAAACATGGGGAGAGTCTATATTGTATACATAAAAGCCCTAAAAACGTATAAAAAAAAAAAAGCTGTTATGTTCTGCGTGTTCAGCACTCGTTACGACAAAACAAACTGGTTTGGGTCCTCTTTAATGGGCGTCGGGGGCGAACTTAAGCAGACAAAAACGTGTTGCTTTGCGAAACTTATTTCTTTTTTTTTTTCTTTGATGCTGGTGTTCCCTGTTTGTGCTGATTCTGTCGGGAACTGTGCAGGTTTATACTTGTTTGTCGACAGTGTCCGAGGGCGCGATGTTTCATGACAAACCAGCGTTTTGTGTTCATAACCGAGATCTTGAAGGTTTTTACCAAAAAAAAAAAAGAAGAATGCCGTGTCAAGAAATTCTCCTCTGGCGTCCCGCAAGTCGGGGTCCGTAGGAATCTCTTGCGTCTCGTTTCGACGACGGAAGGCGGACGCTCGAACGCTTCCCTAGACTAGGGGGCACATTCGACCTCCGTGGCGTGTGCGCCGCATTTTCGTTGCGTAGCGCCCACCATTTGTGTAAATATGACGGGATGGCAAGGTTGAGAGCGCGCTTCATGGAAAGCTACGCTGTGCTTGGATTATCGGTGTTTTTAGTGTTTTCTTTACGTCTGTTGTTGGAGTTGTTTGCTCTCGACTGGCGGGACGGAACGGCGACCCGCATCTCGGTGGATTGTCTCGCAAAAAAGCTGGAGGGCGCCCCACCAAAATTTTGCTCGTTCGCCGTTGACAGCTACTCGCTGCCGTCACCCAGATTCGCTACGGATTCAGAGTCGTTCAAAACGGGTCAGTTTAGGGGCCGCCTCGGCAAAGAGTATGACATGGGAAAGGATTTGCAACGTAACCAGTGGCGTTTGTTTCGTCGTGCCGGTTTTCATCGCAGGCAAGAGTGGTTTCTTTGCTGGCACGGGGTATGGGTGGTCTCTCGGTACTGTGCAGTCCACTTGTAACGATAATGAAAAAAACCTCGAGAATTCAATCGTTATAACCGATTATGGTTGTATCTGGAGTAGAAACTGAGCTCTTGTAGTCTAGAAACTCTAAACACTGATCGTCATATCTAGTATCTTTAAAAGTGGATTGCGCTGTATTGCGTTTACCTTTGTCGTGCCCTAACCATGCATTTCATTGGCGACAGAAGGTTTAGTATTGCACGAAGCTAATTGGCAATTCAAACATACTTCTGTTTAAAACCAGGTGGAGCAATGCTGTTCTCTATGGGATAAAAGCTTTAGGAATCTTTTTGATGAACCTGTCTCCTCGAGAAAAGTGGTCGACCAAACTTCTTGCAAGACTGGTCGCAACGAAACTAGCTTTGGCAAAACTGGGAAATTGGTTCTGCCGAAACTGATCACAGCAGAAGCAGTTGCTTGAAGGTGACCGTAACGAAACCGATTCTGGTGAAACTAGATTCAACAAATTTTATGAAAGCGTAATGATGAAACAGATTTTTGTAAAATCAATTTGTGTCGAATCACGAGCCCTTGGTCATTTGGTCCTGCGACGGAATCTGCATGGACGAAACAATCGGACCTGATGCAACCGGCACGGCTGAGCTAGCTCTTTGTAAGTAGATCTACTGACATGGCTCTTGGTTGTCATTCATGTTGGGGCATGTTGCGTCTTTGGGAGGGGCATGTGGAAGGGTGTGTTCTGTACCATAGTTCCAATTGTTACATCTCGTGTCTGTACATATGAATGGCTTGGACGATGCATGGATGGATTCAACATTGTCTCGAAAGATCAAATGGTTTAGCGCGATGTACAAGGGGCACTTCATTGCTTGAGGACAGCAGAAGGCAAACAACCAAGCGGTACAAAACAAGCCCCGTTGTTCACATTGTTGTTGTAGATGCATATTTAAGTTTGTAGCGTCCCGACGACGCGAACCAATTTTCCTGTACATATTTTGTGGTGCGACCAGTGGCGTTAACGTTGTCTAGTGCTGTTCTTGGTATTCTCATTGATGTACACGTTGGCGTGGTTATGTTGTCGCAAAGATTGGATGTACGCGAAAAAGGTTTTGCTTTCGGTTTTGTAGAAGCACCTCTGTACATTGCATTGCCTATTAAATTGGAGATGAGCTCTGTGCATTCGGCTCCTGTTCCCTGTTTTGACTAAAGCAAAGGCGATATAGTGCGAGTGATAATTTTATCACCAAGTATCACGCGGTATTGCAGGAAGGCAAGTTGCCCATACCATATGGCATGGGCGACTTGCCTTCATTGTATGGGCGCTCATCCCACTAACCCTTTCTAGTGTGCGCCGTTTCTTCCGCCGCTTGGTGGCGGGTATGTCGACGGGTCTTTTCTTGTTTCCGTATTTTATCAACTGTATTTGTTTCTTTTCTGATCTAAAATACTGAACAAAAACTACTTTCATACATAATTGAAACGTTTCGCGACACCTATATTTTCTATCTCGACTAAAAAAAGAAACATATTTTAGCGGTTCTACTGGTCAGAACTTCTGACCAGTTGTAAGCCCAGGACCAAGGACTTCACATATCACGCGCTTTCGCCAACGCGGGTCGCCCTCGTAGGTGGAGGAAATTACCGCGTCGTCCGGTTAAAATATGACGCACTGACATTTAGGTACTCTCTCCGTGCCCGCTGGCTCGCCCGAACTCCAAGAGACGTGGAAACCGCAAAAAATGTAGACTCTTAAATACGAACCGACAGGAGTAGCCGACACTTTCCCAGACGTTTCTCCCCAGCAAAGCGCAACATTTTGCGCATTGTTTTGAAGGCGCTAGAGTATTTTCTGGGGGGATGAAACGCCGTCGCCAAGGAAAAACAGGAGGTGGCGAGCGCCTCTCCTAAATTTTATTTTCCCCAAACACAAGCTAGCCAGGAAAGATTTATGCGTGACTGCTGCAGCAGTAGCAACGTTACCTACTTAAAGGGGTTATGACACGAAAATTAAACGGATAGATTATTCTTGAAATAGAATGCCCATAGGCTAGTTAGTGTATACACCAAGTTACGTGATGTTTAGAGCTCTGGTAATTCCAATATTCAATTTACGAATTTTCATCTGGCGACCAGGCAACACTGCCCAAGTTAGTCACACCATGGTGTCCATACACCACGTGACCATGAACGCTCTCTCATTCTAGGCGCCCCCATGATCGCCCAAGCTCTACTCGCCGCGGAACGATCAAAACCGCTCACGCAACTCGGTAACCCGAAAGCTATTCTAGCTCTCGCTCCCGGCCCGTTGACATTCCACTCTGCATGCGCCTGCGAGATATTCCCGGACGACAGTGACCACGGCGAGTTCGTCCGTAACTCGCCGTCGCTGGAGCTGGTCGTCGGCGGGCCGTAGTCAAAATGAACAGCTTTCAACATCTCTTGATAGCAATCACTCTCATCGCTGCTGCGATCAATGTCGAACACTTTGACAAGGCGAGCGATGCCGTAGACGTAATCGTCACGGACCACATGCTTGAAACGCGGAAGGTAAACGAGGAAGGTGAGGCTCGACACGCCAAGAGTGCCAAGTGCGTGAGTGCTTGCAAGGAGACACCGCGGTGGAGGCTGGCTACGTAGCCGGCCTCCAGCTCCGCCCGGTCCGCCCTTCCGAGGGACCCGCTTATAAATCGATTTATCCACAAAACTACCGCGCCATTTAAAAAAATATTAGAGGGATTATAAGAACATACAATGGGTCCTAGCAGTATAGTTATCTCATATTTTGTTTTTGGCATGTCACAACTCCGCTTCATTTTTGATATTTAGAAAACTATGTAGCCCTCTTCAGTATCGTACAGGAAAACCCCATGTCAAATATTACGATCTAATTCCGCTTATATATTTAATAAACTGGCCAGCAAACCTTCAAGCGAGACAAGTCGTCGAAATCTGCCAACTCTAGCGTGCGGCGCGAGGCGCAATCATCAGCGCAGTCAATGCCACGGAGTTGGAGCAGCCGACACTGAGCCACTACGTCAGAGGCATGACTACGTCATTCTCACGTTTTGCTTGTTTTTACTTCCAAGAGCAAAATTGAACGATGACGTCATGAGTTTCTCCTCCCGGTGTTGGCTGACCGGGCGTTCACGTGGTCACCGTAACACGGATGCGCTAGTTTGCGCTGCCCTGCGCGCTTATCGGTCTGTTTCTCCGCTTCCCTTCTTTTTCGTCTTCTCCCCTTCCCCCTCTCCCCGGGTCATCACCGTCCACGCCATGCGAAGCGACCTGCCCCCGTCCAATATAAAAAAAAAAAAAGACCTGCCCGCATTGCGTGTCCTGTTTCTCGCTCCCTGCCGAACGTCACAAGACCACGTGGTTCGACGTGACGTAGCCATGACTGACGACCCGAGACCAATGTTGCCTGACGCAACCGAAGTTTCGGTTTCGTTATCAGCTGATGTTCAAATTAGGATTACACAAATATTCCACATTTCACGAATCCGAAGACGTAGAGTTGTTTAGTAGTGCTTTGTGAATTTGAATCACATATAAGCCTAAATTTTTTCGGAATTGAGCGGAGTTGCCCTTTAACGGGGGGTAGCGACCATCTTGTCATCGACATAACTCTCTCTCTCTCTCTGTTCCTCAGAAATCACATTATTGCAAATACATTCGTGACTATGCGAGGGCCGACTACGCGTCTATCAAGTCATGCCTCGAAGACTTACCAATCGTTCTCTGTTAATCTCGAGGAACGAACCTTCGATAAAAATTGGACGCTCTATAAAATTAATAGGGTTGTGCGAATAGTAGTTTGAATCGAATGGCGCTGCGTCGTTCATAGTTTTGGCGGTATAAAGAAAAGCAGGAAGACCCGTTCTTTCAACAGTGCAGAAGCTAGGAATGATGCAGTGCTATTCGATTCGAATCACTATTCGCACAACTCTAAAAAATAAGATAACCCACTTAGTTGAGCGCTTCATCCCACTGACCCTCACCATATCTGATAACTGTCACCCATGGTATAACAAAAACAGAGTAGTCATGCTAACAAGAAAAAGCGACTTTATAAACGAGCGAAGTCTGTCAACAATGGACCTTTTTCCAGTAAGCGTCTGCGCACGCGCACACCCTTTTCCCTTGACCTTGACCGCCCTTTCGCCATTCTTGGGGGGCACTGCTTTCTTGCGGCACTAATCTGTTTCCATGGGAGAAGGCGAGTCCGGTTGCCCTCCATTTGTAGTAGGCGGCGAAACCGTCATGAGGCGCTCCTTACTGGAAAAAGGTCAATTCAGCCTCGTGGGATATCCATATCATATGTGTGTGCTAGAACATACAAAACCGCCATTACTGATGCTAAAACCAAGTTTTATACTCACGACCTCCCCAACATTTTAACAAATAAACCCAAAAAGGTCTGGAAGGCGGTCAACCCAGCTCTGTCTCTTCCTTTGCAGTTCATAAACGACAACGGCGTCCCACTTTCAGACGAAGATAGCGCTCTTTACCTTAACAGTTTCTTCTCATCAATCTTTACTAAAGAAGACTTGCTAAACGTTCCCCACTCATACCCGTTATCTCACCTTCAGATGAGTCCTATCGTAATTGACCACGCAGGAGTATTGAAAGCAATAGACAACCTAAAGGTCTTCTCGAGCTCTGGAGACGACCAAATTAATTCGAAGGTATTAATAAACACTAAACACATTTCCTCTGTTTTTCTCTGACATATATTCTCACAACTGCTCACGCTTTCCATAGTTCCGCGTGACTGGAAAATAGCTAACGTAATACCTGTTCACAAAACTGGTGATTGCCAACTAATAAGTAATTGCCGTACCATCTCTCTCACCAGTGTTCTATCTAAGCTCATGGAGCATATACTTGACTCAAATATAATAAACTTTCTTGACTCTCGTAACCTTCTTTATGAACATGGGCACGGATTTCGTAACTCTTACTCGTGCGAAACCCAGCTAACCGCCTTCCTTACTGATATTTATTCAAGCTTCGATTCGAATATTCAGCTTCGATTCGTCCGGCAAGTGTGTAGCTTTTTTCTTTATTCAGATATTAGCCCGCAGTGCCCGAGGGCGTTACAGCAGGGGGGTTAAAATGTTGAAAAAAACACATCTTCATTCTCACTGCACACTTGCAGCTCCGACAGCCCATTCCACTCTCGTATCGTTTTAACAAAAACAGAGTTGGCGTACATGCTCGTCCTGGCGTGGTACTCTCTAATCTTGAAAGCATGATCGTTCCGTTTAACTGTTCCAGTTTTATTTTTAAATATCAAGAACAGAAACTTTAAACACAATTTTTTACGACGGGCTGAGAGAGGTTCCCAATTCAGTTCAGTCTTCATTTGAGTACAGCTGTCTCTCCGCCCGTACCACTGATCTCTATGACAATTTGAGATCAGTCTCTATATCTCTATGACATTGAGATCAGTGGCCCGTACCGTCCCAGAGCAAACCTAGCAGCTCTATTTTGTATTTTTTCAAGTTTGTCTATTCATGTCTTTTGTTCCGGGTCCCAGACGGCACAGGCATATTCTAAAACCAGCCTAACACATGTTAAATACGCGGTTTCTTTTAAGTTAGAGAGTGAACATTTTAGGCTTCGTTGAATAAAGTTCAGTGCCCTGCCAGCCTTTACAATCACGTCGTCCACCTGTGAATGGGCCTTTTCCGGGGTTTCCACGGCGCATGCGCGGCAGCAGCAGACGGGAGTCCGCCATTTTTGGTGGCGTGGTACGTCCGGCTCGGGGCTGTAGGAGGCAGCGGTGGTCGCGCGTTTTGAAGCTCTCCGGCAGGCCCTAGCGCTGTTTCGTTGTTGGCTACAGCAACGACAGCAAGCGTCGTCGCGGTTTAGGCTTCTTTGGGTTTCCTTCTACTAGCCTGCACTCGACGAAGCGGCAGCTCTGGATTCGGGCGATCCAGAGATGCAATGCGGACGGCTCGTAAAGGCAGCCTGCAAAGCGCTCCCGCGTTTGCAGTTGCCACTTCAAGGAAGGTTCATGTTTTTGTTACTTCATTTTTTATTTGTGTGTGAATACAAGTCTGCAGATTGGTTAGGTATGCTGTCGTGTCGCTTATGTGCCACGCAGAGCGAGGGCCTCGGAGTTGGCGTTTCTGTGATGGTGCGCTTCACTGACAGACTTTTTTTTACCAATGTGACGGTCTCGCGTTGCTACGCAAACTGCCTGTCTGCTTTTTGGTTGTTGGAAACAGTGAAATAATCCACAGTTTTCAAATATTTATAAATCATTGAGGTAAAGTGCTACACAGTTTGTTGCTTCGTGCACACCCAGAAAGTGAAATGGGAGCAGATCTATCGCTACCACGACTGCATCTGCTGTTCTTGAGGTTAGATAAAAAAGAGGTGAGGTATCGGGGTTTGGGGGGGGGGGGGGGGGGGACACTTTCTCTATAAGGCGCACTGCTGGGTATTCCCCTAGAGGGCAACCGTCAAAGTTATGCAAGATGTGAGGCAAGGCAGAACGGTAACATGCTATAGTGCGATACGCCATGGCCCTCCTAAAAGAGACTAGCGAGGAAGTTGAGCAGTTGTGAACTTGATAGTAAATGCGACAGAGGCTGAAGTATAAAGGCCTGTTCACACATACAGCGGAGCGCTAAGTTAGCGCTACGTGAGCGCTCCATGGAGCGCTCATGTGGCGCTTTCTAGCGCGTGACGTAGTTCTAACATAGCGCGCGATTAGCGCTTCTGTAACGAATTGCTAGCGCTCCAGTAGCGCCTTGTTAGCGCTCCTGTAGCGCCTTGTTAGCGCTTCAGTAGCGCCCTGTTAGCGCTTCTTGTACCGCGGTGCTGCGGATTAGCGCGTGCACTGCGGTTCCGGTTCCTGTGGTTGGGTGTGCATCAGCCACACCATGGCGGACATGTGGAATGCTGAAATATAAATGCGACAAAGGCTATAACATACGCAATTAGTGCATGTGTGTGTGCACGATTTAACGCCAGAAGAGCCGAGATACCGACGGGTACCCGGCGAACCTTGTTCCCAGGCTGAGGGACCGAGACACAGAGCTCTTTCGAAGGTGATTATTTTTAGAGCGCAGCTCTTAGGGGCCCGTTTCCGGCTTGAGCGGCGTCGCCGTCGCCGTCGGCGTAACCGCGCGGTGCATCATGGGAAATGTCCCATAATGCACCGCGCGAGCCCCCCACCGGGGTCACGTGACCCCCTCCTCGAGGTCACGTGACTCCCCTGAGGTCACGTGACCCCCTCCTCGAGGCCACGTGACCCCCCGAGGTCACGTGACCCCCGCCGATGTCGCGTGACCCCCCGATGACGTCATCGACACTGATGACGTCACGGGCATCCACATCATCATCACTGATGACGTCATCATCAGTGATGATGACGATGCGGATGCCGGTGACGTCATCAGTGATGATGACGATGACGATGTGAATGCCGGTGACGTCATCAGTGATGATAACGTCATCAATCATCAGTGACGATGACGATGTGGATGCCGGTGACGTCATCAGTGATGATGACGATGTGGATGCCGGTGACGTCATCAGTGATGATGACGATGACGATGCGGATGCCGGTGACGTCATCAGTGATGATGACGATGTGGATGCCGGTGACGTCATCAGTGATGATGACGATGAAAATGTGGATGCCGGTGACGTCATCAGTGATGATGACGATGTGGATGCCGGTGACGTTACCGACATCCGCATCGTCATCATCACTGATGACGTCATCAGTGACGTCACTGATGTCGTCACCGGCATCTGCATCGTCATCATCACTGATGACGTCGTCAGCGACGTCACTGATGACGTCACCGACATTCGCATCGTCATCATCACTGGTGAAGTCATCAGTGATGTCACTAATGACGTCATCGGTACCCGCATCGTCATCGTCACTGATGACATCATCAGTGACGTCAGTGATGACATCATCGGCATTGGGGGTCACGTGACCCCCAAGGTCACGTGACCCCCCAAGGTCACGTGACCCACCTGGTTAGTCTAACCCCCCTCACCCCACCGCCCTTCCCTCCTCCTCCTCAAGAGCTGCGCTCTAATTCGGCGTTACAGGGAGTTGTAAGCGGCTTTCACTTTTTAACTGCGTGTCTTTGAAACCAGCGTCACGCATATCGAATAGAAGCAATACCACCTAGAAGACAAGGCCTGCGCATGACGTTTCGTTAGTAGATCCCCGACCCGCCCCAAGCGGCAAACACCCCGAAGCTTGACGAGAGTATATATGGGCGATATGGGCCGCTTCAGAACTACGGCTGCGTTCCAAATCTTACCCAAATGGATCCGAGTCACTCCGACGGTTCGTGTCACGTGACAACACAGATATTGAAAAACGCTGGACGCGGGCAGGTTTTAGAACGCCAAGGTATAAACACCTCATCCTGGACTAAGATCGAGTAAATTTTGGAACACGGCCTACTACGTCGCATTCACTTGCGGCCACAGCTGCGTGCGCTGAGCGCTAGCTGATAGCGAGCTTGCAGGTCATTTGTAGCGTGCATACGAACACTCCCTCGGCCAGAAGTGCCGGCTAGCAGGCGCTCCTGGCTTTGGGACGAGCATTTCTCGAGCGCGCGCTCGTTCTGCCGAAGAACGCTTCAAAGCAGCCACCTCGAGCTCTCGTGCTTCTGGCATTGGCTGCGTTCTCTGTTTAGGAATGAACGGAGTATGAACAGCGCCCTCAAAAATGGCGTCCAGTGCCGGCGTCCAGTGCCAGCGTCCAGCTCCCAGCGGAGGGCTTTGCGGCCCTTCGCACAGCAGTAAGGCACTTTCACTCATGCATTTGACGCTCCACGTGAACGTCTAACTTCATCGTCACTCTCACTCGACATGAGCATCTGTTTCATTATCTGCTACACCGACCACTGAAGCAGTCAATGGAGCAGACGATGCTGCAGACGATGTAGCAGACGATGTTGCTCATCCGGGCTAGCTAGGGGGCGCTGAGGGGATCTACTAGTGATGACGTTTAGAGGAGGAAACGCGCAGGCCTTGTGTTCTAGGTGGTATTGATAGAAGGCGATGAGGTCGTACCCTATCAATTAGTCGCTCAGAGTCCATGAGTCTGGATCGTCTGCCCGACCCTTTGCTTGGAGAGCGGCTCTTTTACTTCCTCTTCTTTCAATGCCAAACACTAAACAACAACAGAATCGACGGGCACGCGCTGTTCCGCAGCAGTAAGCACGGTACAAGGAGCGTGAGAGCGCTAACAAAGCGCTTCTGTAGCGCTAACAAAGCGCTTCGGAAGCGCTAACAGAGCGCTTCTGAAGCGCTAACGGAGTGCTACATCACGCGCTAGGAAGCGCCACATGAGCGCTTCTTGGAGCGCTCACGTAGCGCTAGCTTACGCTCCGCTGTGTGTGAACCGGCCTTAATCCTGCTCCTGAATTGCGAGGGGGCCCCGTCGGAGCAAGTTTAAAGGTGTAGACGATACGGGGAAAGAGGGAGTGAGGAAAAGTGTTGAGCGCGAAGTGTAGGTCGGTTAACAAATAATAAAAGGTTAGGAAAGCTATGCATTTTAATAAAAAAAAAATGCATAGCTTTCCTAACCTTTTTTTTTTTTTTTTTTTTTATGCCCGCCGCAGTTCAGTTCTTCCCCCCTTTCTAAACCAACACCTGACCCCCCCTGCCCTCCTCCTCCTCCCTCCCTCAGGAAATTCCTGCATCCGACGATCCGACCCTGAGTACACTGTAATTTTGGGAAGCACTCTCGAAGCACGTGCTAATTTGGCGGGAAACTAGAGCAGCTAGCCTCGTTCTCGTCAGCCCCTTGCGCAACAACCGTCGCGTTTGAAAAGTACGTTTCTTCGGCTGTTTCGACCCTCTGCGTCTTGCAGTTAACTCGAAATAACCCGTCTGACCCGCCTTCTAATAACGCATAACTAAAGCATGACGTCATCGTCGAGGTTTTTTTGACTCTAGCGGCTCTAGCGTCGTTTGTGGCTACCGGAACAAACGAACGCACCTCACCGGCTTTGACATCTGCGCGGGCGCCTGGGAACGAGGATTTCCTTCTTCGGGTGTTGCGGAAAGTTGTTGGCCAGCCTCGTTTAGCGCTGCGTGTTTTTAGGTGTTGTTCGTCGGAGACGTTCGAGACCGCTGAAATGGCAGAAGATCTACCTTACAAGGCCGAGTACGCCAAGAGTGGACGTGCAGCTTGCAAAGGCTGCAAGGAAAAGATCGACAATGCAGAGCTGCGCCTCGCTGTCATGGTTCAGGTAGGTGCGCCCCGCGCTGTCGGCACAAAGCGGAATGGCGAGAGCCTTCGCCGCTGTTTTCACGCGTTCGCGCTGTAAACAGTACGAATCTAAGCTAAATGTTTTATGCATAAATCGTTACCCACAGAATGACTCGTAGTCGTCGAGAAAGCGCGCCCTCTTGCCTCTCGGTGTCGAATTTCTCTCGTTCAAATCTGCTCCGTTGGAACGCGGGTTTTGCGCACAGCACTAATCTCTTCGCTCCCGATTTGCGGACGCTAAACAGTGACATGTTTGTCCGCGATCTGTCTGTTTATGCATTAAAAACATAAAATGAGCACATCGTCAGATTTTGTGGTCTTCTGCATCTGCCGCCGGAAAAGAATAAATTCTTTTCCGGTTCCCGGACCTTGCATTGTATGCCACTACTGTATGCGGACGACCTCTTGCCAGGTGTGGGCCGTGGCTAAACCGGACCGGTGGCCTCCAGCCGCTGTTTGCCCGTATGGATCGACACCAACACGCTTTCCTTATTAAAGCAGTGAGCTGATGCTGCTCCATGCCGTCGGAGATCACGGCAGACTTGAAGAACGCAACAGATGTCAAGCAGGTCTGCGAGGAGGCAGTGCAGCCCCAAGCAACACATGTATCTGCTTGTTTTCGTTATTATTGTTAAATGGCCCTGCAAGAGCTTTTTTTTACTAGTTTTTAATTTGCACCGAACCTGAGTGCACTGAACGTAGTAACTTAATGCAACTTTATTTTACAAGTTATAGGCAAATTAAAATGACAAAAACAAGCAAAAAATAACCTCCTTCATGACATCCTTGGTTGCTTAAGTGGCCATAAACTAGATGTGGGGTAGTGAGCTCAGCGAGCGGTCACGGCGCGAGAGGGCACCACCAAGGCATGTTCTGGCTAGGCTGTATGAAGTGGGCAGCCAGAGCAGCTCGCATTGCATTTACTGCGCGATTAAACAGTGATTCAGCGTGACACTTCAATGGCCGCAAACGACAGCAAACACGGGGTAAAGATCAGTTCAGAGCGGGACCACCTCGCGCTGCCATACCGCCAAAAGGCCAAACTGCAAGCTAAAGCTGCTCGCCGAAGGCCTTGGGAACGCTCGGAACCGGTTGGATCCTCCAGTCCGTACGACTGCTGCGCCGCCGCAGACATCCGAGACATTTCTACGCTCGCCGCTCGTTGGCGCCTGATCCCACTACACCTTTCTAGTATGTGCCACCTTTTCCATTGCTTGGTGGCGGGTATGTCGACGGGTCATTACTTGCTTCCGTACTTTATAAACTTCATGTTTTCTTTTCTCATCTAAAAAAGTGAACAAAAGCTACTTTTATAAATAATTAAAAAGGTTCGCCCCGCTTATATTTTGTATTTCGACAAAAAAGAAGCTTTTAGCAGCTCTGACCAGTAGTAAGCCCAGGACCTAAGAAGTCTCATATTGCACGCTTTTGGCACCGCAGGTTGCCTCTGTATTTGGAGGAGGCTTTGCCCCATCTTTGCGTGTAGCACTCGATGTACTGCACAATTCACAGGTACGGACATGATCGTCCCCAACCCCCCAGCTGGCTGGATTAACTCGGTGTCAGTCAGTACATCTCTTCCTTTACTAAAAAAAAGAAGAAAAAGATATTTTTGACTTGCAAAACAACCCCCTGGCTATGCCACCATACCCCGCTGGTTGTACGTGACCAAGAGATGTTGTAACCTCGTTCTTTTATGTTTTCTTTTTCTTTAACAAAGGGGTGAGGCCATCTGTTTGAGAGTTAAAGAAGCAATAGGCCATATGCGAAATTGTTCAAGTGTCTGGCAACGCTGTGAGCGCTGCCATCTTTGTTGCGTGGAGATTCCCCTGTTGTTTGTCAGTTTCAAAATTTTGTCAGTAACAATCGGGGCCTACGACTCGCCGTCATCGATCCTTACCCACACCGGCAATCTGAAGTTTAGTATTGTTCTACACCCTTCTTGCGCATGTACGTGCTCGTCGCCCCGCCGGTCGCTGGTTTCTCGTCGCAACCAACATGGCGGACATACACTTCAGCTCGAAATTCGGCTTTCAGTGCCGGCTTGGGCATCAGCGCCTCGTTTTCGAAAGCGCTTTCTCTGCGCGATTTCTTGTGCGAGCGAAGGATTCTTCAGAACTATGCTTTTGCGCCCTGGCCTTTGCCAGCGCCGAGGCCAACTGGTGAGATGGAGCATGTTCTTCGGCGCCCCACTAGGTGGCGCTGTGCATTTCGCATATGGTCTATTAGGGAGGAAAAGAAGTGCGATTTTAGTAAGTGCTGCTTTTTCTTATTTGTTTCAATTTGTTTCATGCTTTACCAACGTGACGTGTTTATTCCGAGCGCCCGTCCGCCAAAGTGTAAAACTTGTTTTGCAGTTCCTCTGAAAACAGCCATTCTCCTTCTCTCCCTTACATCCCGGTACCAGGAATGACAGTTACGGAGTCACGAAAATTCTATTTTTTCCGATAGGAAATTAGCCAGAAAGCAATACATTCGTATCTCGTTAATATTAATACCTTGTTAAATGGACACCATTTCTGAGGACAAACTGGTTAAATACATGCATTTTTAGTCTCGTAAGGGACAACTCGCATTATGGATGGTCTTTGCAGCGCGTCGGGAAGAGCGTGACACGCGCACTTTTGCACCCTTCTTTATGCCTCCGCAGTCGCCCATGTTCGACGGCAAGGTGCCCCACTGGTACCACTTCATGTGCTTCTTCTCCAAGCAACGACCCAAGTCGGTCGGGGACATCGACAAGTATGGGACGCTCCGCTACGAGGACCAGAAGCGGATCCAGGAGAAGATCGGTGAGCGAGGACACGTGGCACAGTGCCTTGAGCGCGTCTTTGGTTGTCGCGCTTACTGCGTCTATCCCTGAATTTCTACCTAACGACGACGAAATTCAAGTGTCGCGCAGTCGTGTGCCGCTGCACTACGGTGGCGGACACATACGCTCGTTCTGCTGCGGTTGCTCTCTGGCGCGGCGGACCACGGGAGCTTCGACGGCTGAGAGTCAGGTTGTGGTGATGGCTGCGTTTGTTCTTGCTTTTTTCTGGGCCTAAGACTGACTGCCGAGATTGTGACATCCGACGGCGCGACACGCTGGTCCCTGTGACGCTGTTGCCACTTGGGGAGCATTTGCGATGCATGGGTGGTGTTTGATGCTGAAAACACCAGTCTAAGATACGTTCCGGGCAGCGTACCGGCAGTCTGCTTGGCATCCTTTGCTCGGCGGACGGCTGAGCAGGGGATGCCAAGCAGGGGAGGCGGGAATTGAAATCGTCAGACGGTCCGAGAAATATAAAGGCACTCCTTCGATCTTCCACACAGACATTCCACATGCCGAATGCTTTACCACAGAATACCGTGCATCTGCCTATTTCACGCTGAGTGTCCATTCCCAAATTTGTAAGATCTGAGAAAATATGCACAGTACATTGATATGTAAAATTGATAACTGGACAAGTGCCCATCCCCCATTTTTTCGCGATAAACTTTAAATATTGAGTGGGCTCTTGCCCAGTATTTTACGGTAGGGATACATGTGCAATTCTCGACAGGGGAATGTCGGGTTACAGTACTCGTGGCCCTAATTCATGGTGTTAGCAAAGTTATTTGATCTAATAACTTTAGGTGTCAAGCCACGTTACAACACAATGTCACGTGAGCATGTCATACAACCTCATGTGACGAACATCTCGACTTTGCGTGGTGACGTCATATAGCGCCGCGACGTGGCACTGACATCACATTGTCTGGCGCAGCCTGACGCACGTCATGTGACCCGTAGCGGTACGAGCCACGTGTCTCTGGCGTCGCGCTAAATTTAGCGGATAACGGCTTGGCATGGAGACTCAACGACGAAATCTGCCCAAAACCCCTCTTTGCTTCTTTTAAAATGTACTCTGCTTATAAAGGATCTGAAAATGTCCCTTGAAGTCTATTGTGTCGGGCGAGCAGACGCACACGCATGAGGCTGCTCCTCTCGGCTGTGGCCTGGCATGCCTCCGCGTAAGCACTTGTACTCATGCCGATCAACCTTTACATCGCTCTCCTCTTTGACTCCCCCTGCAGAATCCAAGATGGCCGCTGGGACGACGGCAGACGACCTAAGGGACTTCTCCACGGAGTACGCCAAGTCCAACAAGAGTACATGCAAGGGCTGCAGCGAGAAGATTGCCAAGGTGCATTCTCGCTTCTGCCTCCGTCTAGCCGTGTTTTTTTCTAATTCGGATTTAGTTCAAGTTCGAAAATTGTCCCACTATCACTTCAGGCTGGATAACGCTCTACTTGGGTACAGGGATGACTGGGAAACCCTTTGGGTTACTTTGCTTAAAGGGATGGCGAACCGAAATTTGAATTTAAAAAAAAAAAAACAATGCTGGAGATGTAGGCGGGACGCTACAATTCCTACACACTACTAGTAAGGTGATGTCTCAAATGGGCTCCGGTACTTTTGGAAAAAGAAGTCGAGACTGAACCAGGCCGACGAGGCGCGTGACGTCAAGATACCTAGTTTCCTCCTCTCTTTGCTTCGCTCCCTCAAGGCCGCGAGGCGGAAAAGACGCGAGGCCGTTCCCTCTCCTTCTCGAAAAACGTGACGTCAACATTCCTGCCAAATGCGCCTCTTTTTGTTTAAAAATACGGTCATCGAGATATCGCTGTATAAGTGATGTTCTGGTGTTTGTAGCATCCCGTTGCGCGCTTTTGCCACGTGTTTTGGGGAATCCAGATTTCGGTTCAGCATCCCTTTAACCTAGTTGAGTACTGATAGTGGAAAAGTTTGGCAATTCCAAAATGTTCTCAAAGGACAACAGTGCAGCATTTGCATTTCACCATCTTAATTTAGGGGCAATTCCAAAGCATGCTTCTGTTTCGAAACTTGACGCTGAAATATGAGAGCCCATCAAAAACCAACAAGACCTTTTCTCTTTTTTTTTTTTTTGAGAATTGAATGATTTACAGGCTTTGTTAATTTTTTCTTTTTGAATTAGCTTTCCTCACATTCAGTATGTGGGTTAAAATGTTTCGAAAACAATTCAAAAGAAATATAAAGGAGTGCTTTACGACATCTCTTTCAGCATTTGGTCGCAACCTTGCTCACTCCATCATATATAAAAAAAAAATTCCTCCCAAGGAGTATTTCTTTTTTTTTTTCCTTCTAAGTGTACAAGATGACAAGAATTTACGAGGCGATAAGTCTGGGCTATGTGAAGAGCATTCACAGTGCAGTTGCCACTCTTTAAAGGTTTACGCAAAATTCCATCGCTCACCTCTGCTATACACCAAGTCATGTATACAAACAAACCGGAGCGCCCCTAGCGGACGCCACCGACGCCGCGCATGCGCGGTGGGGGCGTGGGCAAGACGCTCGCCGTCTTGCCCACGCAAGACGGCGAGCTTTAGAGGGGGTGGTCGCTTGACTTGTAATTTGCAGAATTCCCAAGTTTGGAAAAGTTAAAAATGGGCTCTTGCACGAAGTGGGTGCTTCCGTGACATTTCTTGGTACGTGTCCTACTAGTTTCGACGGGTCACGCCACGACGGCGGGATTGCTTCGCAGGGCGAGGTGCGCATCTCCAAGCTGGACTATGACGGGGCCTTCTCCAAGATGCGGGGTCCCGTGCCCCAGTGGTACCACGTGGACTGCTTCGTTAAGAAGAGGGACGACCTCGACTACACCCTGGGGGCCGACAGGTGGGGACGCGCCCTCTCCGCACCCTTCGCCGACGCAATCCTGCGCGCGACGTCGCCGCTAGCAGATTTCCGCCCCGTTCCGTCGGCAAACGCGACGAGCTCGACAGTTTTGTCTTTTCAACGCCGTGCGCTAGCGTTCCGCTTGTCGGGAGACACTGGTGATGATGCCAACGCAGACCGGGCGGCATAGGCCTCGTCCTCTAGGTGGTATATTGCCTGCAAGTCCATGCAGGTTGCAATCTTTGGAACCCCAGAGAGCTGCAGTGGTTCACCTTTGTTTCGTTGGGGTCTGGCAGTATTCTTCCGAATTGTATGCAGAATGCAAGCTTGTCTGCTCCTCGAGCAGGGGTTGCAGCAACATCAAAATGCCTTGCTCCGGTTGGTTCCGATTGGAACGATGGTGTGTAGACGGAGGCAGCTGGCATTGAGGTCTGCCCACTATCCCTCCAAAGGAGGGAGGCAGTCGGTGCTCGGCATTCTGACAGCGGTGCAACTCCTGCGCAAGAAGCAGACGAACTTGCGCACCGCATGAATAGGGCGCCATAATTTGATTATTGCGATGAAATTTAGCCCAATTGCCGACGCGGCTCTACTTTTTCTATAGGGTTTTGTTCTTTTATGAAACATCTGCAAAAACTTTTGTGGATGTATTGAACTCCACCGTCCTGATGCACTGTCCTGGTTTTTGCTTATCTTACTTGAGCCTCTTGATAGATTGAACCATGCACTCCACTAAAAGGAGAATTGGTGCTCGGTAACCTGTGGTACTTGGGGCAAACTGCGAGGTTCCTGATTACTTCGTGTGACCCTCTCAAGAAAGCCAAAGATGACTAGACTAGTGTCAGGCGGCCATTGGGTGATGGATGTAGAGGTCTGCATGATTAAAATTAACCTAATGTGTAATTTTATTAATTACAGTTGTGACAGTCACAGTTAAAGCATGCTTGTCGTATTAAGGAGCAAATGGTGCCCTGTCATTCGAAGCTCTCGGAATCCGGAGCTATTCAGGGGCCATAAAAACCAAATAATTAAGCCAATGTATGAAGTGCAATGATTCTTTTAAAAAGGTTTCTTTAGGTGGTACATTTATTATGCTCATATTTCATGTGTGTAGGTCTCTGGAAAGAACATTTCTGTTATTTCTGTGCACAGGGTAGAAGACACAAACAAACGTCTGGCTAAACTGCTGCTTCCTGATGGTACCAGACAGAATGAAAACTTGAAAGCATCTTTTAGATGCTTTAAATTTGTATGTGTGTGGTACCATCTGTTTGTGGCAGTGTCAGCGAGACTTTGTTTCCGTTTCGTTCCCATGCATAAGAATAACTAGTTTACCACGGAGCTGTTAACGGCTAGTTTCCGCAGGATCGTGTCCGTCCTCTAAGAAATGTTGACACAACACCACACAACACTCTGGACAGCTACTGCCATCTATGAACGATGGCGGCAACCAGACAACCGGCAAGTTGTCTCCGTCGCTCATGGATGGCGGTAGCTGTTCAGAGCGTTGTCGTGTTGTGTTTGCCGGTTGTCTGGTTGCCGCCGTCACTCATAGATGGCGCAACCTTTCCAGCCTTTCTACTCTGGCTTGCCGACTTGCGGTCGGCCGTTACTTCATTCCCACCATAGTACAGCTTCGCTGGTCTTCCTTCTTCACCAAACAAAAAAAGATAAATTTTTTTTTTTTTTTTTTAATTTTTTAATTGAAATTTTTATTTATGAAATTTTAGTATGACACTATATCACCTAAAAAAGAAACAACCGCATATCTACGTGGTGAATGATGTTGATTGGGGCAAAGCTGTGGTGGTGCTTGTCTGCGTAGACGCTGAGCCGCAGCATCCCGAGCCTTTCGTCTGTTTTCATCCATGTCACGCTGCGGTCAAATGCTCAAGTGCGTATATAACCACGTTTCATACCACACATTCTCTTTCTGACATGGATGAAAACGAACCAAAGGCTCGGCATGCTGCGGCTCACCGTCTACGCAGACAAGCACCACCAGAGCTTCACCCCAATCAACATCATTCGCCACGTGGAGATGCGGTTGTGGTATTTTTTTCCCCTTACACGAGCACGGGAGCACGTGCTCACATGCTCGTGACCCGACGGCGGGCGGACATACGGACATGGCTAGCCCCTAAGGAACTTCGCCCCTAAAACATTTTTGTGTAGAGTTTGATTGCACTTCATCGGCTTATTTATATGGGATTTTTTATTTGCTACTAGCACTTAGGAGGCACTATGTGGCGAATTAAAGTGGCAGGGCTCAATCCTTTATTATGCTGACCCTTTTTTTTTTGCTTCGCTTTTTTTTTCTATATTGTAGTAGATTTTTAGGACACATACAAAGTATAGATTCATTTGATGGTGAGAGATAAAATGAATGAATCATGATGCACTATATGCACCATGGTGAGCCGTTCCACGTAGCAAGCCCAAAAGGTTGGGTGAAAACAAACAACCCTACAATATCTGACGGCAAAAGTTTGTCTCCGCTTCACATTTTACCACCGCAAGCCCCTGCGACGAGCTTGTGACCTTTCTTTTATGCGACACATCAGAGCCTGTCGAGTCAAGAGATGAGCGTACATCGGTGCCTGGTGTGTGCAGTGGTGAGACAGCATATTTAGGTTACGAGCACAGTTACAATCGCATGTACTGTCCACAATAGTGGGAGAACATTTGGGAGTTCTTGCTTGTGCGCGGGTGTACTTTTCCCTAAAGTGATCTATGGATCCGTCGCTAAACTGGCCTTCCCAAGAGTGGACAACAACGATGGCCATGGTACGGAGGTTTTATGGGGCCCTTTTTGTGTCCACAGCAATCTCAGGATTAACTAAAGCGATACTTTGGCGCTCTATGGCAAAACGTGACAGCAAAGTCGCACGGCGTGCAAACCTTCACTGGAATCATTATTTTTTTCTGCGACATGGTTCTCCTCCCGTGCAGCATCCCAGGATTCATGTCGCTGGGTGTGGACGACCAGCGTATGCTCAAGGAGAAGATCAAGAAGTTGGACAGGTGGGTGACTCTACCATGTCTGGTAGTCCTCGTTTTCAAGCCTGCTCTGTCACTTCGTAAAGTCTTCAGCGAGCTTTCAGTGATTTTTTCAGCTTGCCCGACGAATGTCATGATGAAAAAGAATCACAAATCTGATTGTGCGCAAAAGCAGAGGCAGTGGTGCCTTCTTGGTGCCAAAAAGTGCAGGACATCTCTTCCAGGGCACAAGTGGGAGATTACATGGGACATTGCCCTCTCAACAGTGAACGTACGGGGGTCGTGTAGGCAGACGAACGGATGAAAGGAGTAAGAGTAGAGAAGGAAACTCAAGTTCGGAAGTGGCGGAAAAGCCTAGTTTGAAATTGACGCATGACGTTGCACAACATTCGTTCACACGAACAGGCAATGTCGCCCTGTTTGTTCAACTAATGGCTTGTTCAAAACGGCCGCCTTGGTACTGCAGCCTCAAAAAATGTGGAAAATCCTAAATGGAAAAAAAAGATGTAAAAAAAAGTTTAGAATGAAGACTATTTTTTTTTTTTTTTTAGAGCTCTATTTATGTTACAAAACAAATTTGTAGTTGGCAACTGCAAAAGCCCAGGGATATTAAGGCAACAGAATTCTGAGCTCAGAGGAAAAATGAATACACAAAACTTTGTGAACATGCTGTAGGTGCTGAGCGATATATAGGCAAATATAGCTGAAGGCAAATACACGGAATGTGCAGGAAGAGAAAGATAATAAATGGTATTCTTCAAAAAAATCCGATACACGATAGCGTGCGGGACAGATGATTCTTATAATCCTAACATAAATCACAGTTGGGCATTAGCTTGCACGGACTTGAAACCGCAAAATAATCGGTTTTATGTGCACTTGTTTTGGGCTCTCACTTTACGACTCTGTGTGTTTTATCCATCATGCGCTTTAACATTATGTTAGGCTGCCGCGTATCACCACGGGACTATTGTATATTCTGCACAACTTTACAATTTCGGCATCTATGTTTGCTAATGTTGCAAACATCGCATCTCACCAGTGCAAATCATGCATTTGAGAGAAAAATTCTTCTTCCGTGGTGCAGCGTCGTGAGGTACGGTGCAAGCTTCTGGCAGCACGAAAACACGCTTTCTGGCAGTGCTTTTGCATACTGAGTAGTTTCCGGGCAATGCTTTTTGTTCTGTGCCAAGGTTGCAAGGCAGAGAAACCTTCACACGGTATCTTTTTGAAACTAGCCCCGCCCCCCTCGTTCTCTGTTCGTTGCTGTTCCACAGAATGCTGCTTATTCCTGGGGTACTCCCTTTACAGTTTGGGGGTGTTAATTCAACAATTACATTTGTGTCACTTGTTAACAGTAATTCTGTGTTGCTTTTATTTTGCACACGAAAGCTGTGAAGTTTAAACAAAATATGGAGGTGGTCAAAGCTTGGGTAAGAACTCGAGAACTACAGCCCTGTGAAGCGGCTCTCTGGGGCAACAAGGATCTTACTTTTCAGGTATCCCTCCCGTACACACTTGTAGTTTTATGTAATGTTGGATTAACAAGTTCAGCTCCAAGATGGCGTCAAAGATTTCGGTTCGGTTCAGTTCCTGTTTGGCTAAAAATAACGGTTCGGTTTTGGTTTTCGGTTCTAGTTCCACACTCTGATTCTATGTATGTTTATACAGCCGGAAGCTAGCTCCAATGGGCGTCTGGTGCCTCAGCTGTAGATGAGCAACTTAGCCAGTGCGGTACAACCGTTAGCCTGGGGTCTTTAAGGGGACGGGGTATTAATGCTCGCCATTGTTTTTATTGTACAGGACATATGAAAGCCCAACTACCCAGAACACGATAAAATGGAAACTTGGGCGAGTTGGTGATTCATATTCTAAGGTTAACAGTGCAAGATCAATCGCACACACCTACACACAAAGGGACAAACACATGCACTGTGTTGTTAACCTTGCGCTGTTAACCTTAAAATACCCAGAACACAGTTTGCGGCTCGAAATTCGTGGTCACGGGCCATTCTCTGTGCTTTAGAGACTCGCACCAAATATGATCAAAGTTGTGGGTCATCAAAGGTACACACTCAATATAAAAATTAAGAAAAAAAAAAATATGATACCCATTTTTTGTGGCTTTTAAAAACTGCAAACACATTGAATGCAAAAAAAAAAAAAAAAGGCACTGGGAATGTGAAGCATTTTGTGCATTCTCTGCATAATTCCCAACATGGCGTCGTATTGCGGGCTGGGCAGCTGAACGAAGCAATGGCAGTGGACGACGGGCGTGGGACCTCTACTTTAGAACTGTTGTTCGTGGTACTGGCGAATCTGTCTAGCTTTGAAATAGAAATCGCGTGCCGATCGAAACAATTGGAATTTATTCCGTACGACGCACCCAACCGCCAAGCTGATTAGCACGGAGACGTCGCCGAGTTGCGTCCTTTCTTCTGGTTGAAGAGGTCGCTTGTCTTACGAGCACGAATTGGTAAGAGTTTGAAAAACATGCAAACATCAGACATGAAGTGCTTGAATTTGGCATTTTTTGTGCAAAGAGTGAATTTTTTATCTGCCTCGCAGAACCAACCAAACAAAGGAAAAGGACAAAAACGCGGTTGGTTGCAGCTACGTGACTTCCGACAACTCTGACCTCCTGTACACTTCTCCTTCAGCAATCCTATTTCGGTTTCGAGCAGTTGCGCTTCTCGATTTCATTATAGATATACGGGACGCCGTAGCAAAATATTGAATGGGTAGTCTTCCGACACTACATTAAATCGCCTGGCAAAAAAAATCGTAGGAACAAATATTTTTGGGGTGTGTCGGCGTCCCTTTACCACGCAGTAGTGACGCACGGCGTACGACGCTAGTCCAGATTGAAACGGGCAGGGGTGGGGATTGAATCCAGGATCTCCGGGTTCTGCAGCGCAAGCTTTTGTTTCACGTCCTAGGGCCAATGTGCACCAGCCCACTCGGCCACCGATCCCCCTAGTGTCGTAATGAGGTCGGTCGCGGCCAAAGGCAAGTGCGTGAGCCAGCGTTTTCCCGACGTCGTTGCATTCCAGGAAGCGCAAGCCCAAGGCGGCCGACGAGACCGACGGGCCTCCAGCCAAGCAGGCCAAGGTGCCCGAGGATCCCGAGGAAGAGAAGGCGCTCAAGGTAGAAGGCTCTCCCTAAATTCCCCAGACTGTTGTCCCAAGGGAAATTTCTTGTCTCCGGCAAAGACCTCTTGTACCCCCAAAGCAGGGTGTGGTAGCTAGCTATGGCTTTGTTTTCAACAAACTCGCGCTTTTATGCTCCTTCTCATCCTACGACGGACTATAGCCGGATGCTACGGGGTGCCGAGTCGAATCGTGAGCCTGTTAAAAACCGCGTTGTGCGGAGGCGATTTTTTTCGTCTGCTCGTGGAGTCCTCCCGGTGGCTCCATCTGCTTGCTGGGTTTTTGTGCTACTTACATCTGAGTTCCCAGTTTTTCGTCGCAGCACGAACGGTAACGACGCTCGAAGAGTCTTGACTGCTGACGCACCTGCGTGCGCTTCGTCCGTGCCGCCATCTACCTCGTACGCGCCTCGGTTGCCACTAGGATTGGATCGTTATGGCTAAGGTGAAACGAATTTACGTCTATGTTGCCTGCGCACCCTCCGATTTCATACGTGTACTTCACCTCATACGTGTACTTCACCGATACAAAAGGGCATGCTATTCGAACCGAGAACGATATGCGTAAAATTAGCGCTCTTCGCACTCTGCGTATCGGAATTCCTCTCGGGCACTCTTTTGCAGTACGAATGCAAGCTTTTCTGAGGTTGTGCTCAGCCTGCCAGCCTTTGGATCCGAGTCCATCGTAGGGTGAGGAGGGGTGCAGGAGAGCCCATTCCCCAAACCTCTCTAGGGGTATCTCTCTGAGTGAAGATTTGTCCCCAAAAGTTAGGGACGTGGGAGATGGGCGTTCCTGGTGCCAAACGCGCCGAGTTTTTGGCATATTTAACAAAAGAGCCAGTGCCTTGTGCAGTAATCCAAAGCAATTTTTTTTTATTTATTACTAAACAAATACGCTAGTGTTCATTGAAACCTTTTTGTGAATGTAAGAAACTGCTGTGAGCAACAGCTTGGTGAACTGAACACTGATGGAAGCATGTTTTGGGGACTGAGAGTTGGAGAGCTGTTCTTGATGACTCTGAGCAGTTGTAATGAGCGGCATCGTTACCACACGATTTGCGGGGTCTCCGGACCGTCTTCGGTTTGGTTTAGTTATTGCGGCTTGTGGAACACTGTTGCTTCTTTACTTAAACATTTGAGTTTTCGTATGTTTATTTCGGCAAATGCTTTCTCCAACAAAGCGTTTATTTGTTGGATTTGTTAACGGACGTTCCTCGAGACATGCAGACTGCTGTGTAGTTTAGCGTCTGGCGCACACCATGTTTTATCCGTGCCTTTATTTCTTTGTCTTCTTCATGACCAGATTCTCTTATGTCTTCATGTATCAGTGTTTGTCCTGTTCCTTTCACTTCCTGTTGTCTTTTTTGTTTCCTCATTCCTGTATCTTTTGTTTCTGTTTCTCTCGTCTTTGGGTTTTAATAAAAGGGGCTATTTATCTTTGATTAATTCACGTCTGTCTTCCTCGAAAGCCTTCATCTCTTCTTGTGGTTATCCCAGCAAACTCTCAACAAAAAGCCTATTAAGGATGACTCGGCGGTACTCGTATGCACGTGAGGATTAGGTGCGTTCTGTATGTGCAGATGTTTCTATTTTAATTAGATTTTTCCTTTCCTAAAGCCTTGGAAGCTCATCAACGTCTATAAAAAAATAATTTCACTAAAAAGGAGATTAAGGCATCAAAGGAAAATAATATGCTTCTGTTTATGCTGTGACTACTCCCGCAGTCTTGTATACCAAGACGGCGGAAGGCCGATTAGGTTGCCCGTGTGTTTGTGAAATCGGACGGCCTCGGGAAATCTGCTAAACACGAGTGTCACAAAGCATCTGCAAAAACATTATGCAAAAACTGCGGGATCTGCCCAAGAAGTTCTGAATTCAAGAAACTCTTTCATGTCGTTAGACAGCCTCGAAATTTGTCCTTTAGAAATGATGTCTCTGACAACCCGAAATTAAGGTACAGACGTTCGAGCATTGTCAAGTTTTAGGGTGGCCGGAGTCCATGCAACCTGCACGACTAGCACTGTGCTAGGTCTGTTTCATTCCATCGTTTTTCTTCGACTGGGCAACACCCTTTTTACCAGGTGGGTCACGTCGTTGAACTTGCTTTGCTGCGTCGTTGCTGAATAACACAGCCGCTTCATTGCATAACGCTCAAGGTCACTTAGCCATTCTCGGAGGAATGGCTACCGAGCTTCCTTGAAGCCCCGGGCAGATCCTTGCATGCAAATGTTTTTAGAAACAGCATACTTAGGACGGCCGCTAACAGCAGTGCCGCCTTTTCCTTTGCCCTGCTGCTTGAATAACGGGAATTAGATTGACTCATACTGACCTCTCATTCGTAAAATAACTCTTCCAAGTCATCTTCCGCTTGCAGTGTCCCCTCTCTGTTTTTTTTTATTTCTCGCAATTTTTTTTTATTCAGTTTTTTACTTTTTTGGTTTTTGTTGAAATCGGTGATTTCTTAAAGAACTTGACATTTTCATTATTGCACCTGCTTTAGACAGCTCCTCACAGTTTAGCTTGCTGAAGAGATGGCACATGGCATCCTGGATTAAGGTGGCTGGTTAATACTGAGGGTTGCGTCAAGTTTGTGAAACATGTTTTTTGTTTTTTAATTTCTCTGGCAGAAGGGAGGTTTTGCTTTAATATTTTAAACCTATTCATATGTTCCTTCAACTATCTCGAGATAGTAATCGCAGTTTAGGTGCTGACGACAGGAGGTTGCTTTTTATGGATGTGTCACAGCCATGGTTGTTTGCTCAGGTTCAACCTGTACAAGTCTACTCTTATTTAAACTCGAGGTTGTTTTCTTTGAAATGTTATCCTCTGCTATTGAATAATATTTTGCTTGCTTTGGAATAACTATTTGATAAGCTACCTAAAAACTCTGCTTTTGATTTTTCTGATTCTATCACTTAATAATTTACTTCAACTACATAAGTGCTCTTTCCCAGATAACAAAATAACTAGATGTGCTTTCGGGCCTTACAGTCCCTTTTATGGTGATGCAAAGGCAGCGAGCGGGTGTTAATGAATGGGGCCATGTCATGTCTCTTATAAGCTAGCTGCCAACTTGTTTAACCCTCTCTAGATATGCTTTTGATATGTGATTGATTAGTTTGATTGGTAGCTTATTCGCGACCTGAAAAGTTCCCATGGCACGTCTAAAGTGCTAGCTATAAGTGAATAGCATCGGGGGCCGTGGATCTTGTATGTAAACGTAAGTGATAAACGAGTGCATGTCTGTTACGGAAGAATTTAGGGACTTTTGTATCACAATCTCGCTTGCAAGGTTTCTCAGACCTTATGTGTGTGTGTTTGTAATCCCTTTTCTCTCCGTCTGGAGAGGTTTCGTCTATTACGAACTACATGTGTTTGTCCGCTAGTTTGCGCCCTCGCATTTCATTGACACGTTACTCAGTTTATTACCAGTGGCATCTCTGGTGCAAGCTTATTTTTCGTGTTGCTAAACCAGGCTGGGAGTGCTGGCAGGTCGTCCTATTATAATTGGGGAGGAAATTTCTGCAGCAGTTTGGAAAAGGATGTGTGTACACACCTTTCGCCACACTGCCTTCGGAAGTCGTTCCCAGCTGAGGACAGCGTGTCCAATAGACTACTTTGATAAATCCCTGCATGTAACACTGCACGCATTGCACTCTGGGAACTTGTGTGCCAGGGAGGAGAGTGGCTTAAGAAATTAGGAACAGCGCGCAAAAAGACAAGGATGAGAGTAGAACACGAGAGAGTGTTGTTTGAGCTGCTTTTAATAAAACTTCAGTTGATAGTCAGCGCTCGTCCTCCGCTCTACTCCCGTTGTCCTCGTATTTTTGCACGCCGTTCCTAATTTCTTGAGTCATGAACCAACTCGCCTGCATTGCCACCTTAATTCAGGAGAGTGGCATGGTTTCGGTCTCGAGCGACACGTTTACGAGAGATCATACACAGAGTGCGGACTGTTTATTAATGGCCGTTATCTCGTGTTTTGTGGTTCCGAGCGTAACATTTTTGGTCTCTAAACTAACCTAATTGGCCAGCCCCCGAAACTTTAACACAAGCCCGAACCATACGTAAATTTTGTCTCAACACATGCTTGTTTTATTTTTGTACTCGAGCCTTAATGTTGGAGCTTCGAGGTACGTGAACGAGCCAGTGCTTTGAATCTCGACACTGCGAAGTTGCAGCTTGGGGATTCTTATTTGTGACCAAGTCAGCATGCTGTAACAACCAATAAGTAGGTGTACCTGAAGCTTTTTGCACTTGCTGTTTTCCTTAATGCGCCTGAGTATGCGAAGTAAAACTCTGAGCTGCCATTGAAAAGCTAAAATCTCAAACACTTGTCTATTATCTGTACCCACCCACATACTGCACGTAGCAAGTCCCCACCCACTTGCATTCTGCTAATTCAATATAGCGTATGTGCATGAAGTTACCCTGCAATCATATGGTCAAATTTGCGCATACAAACCGTTTTTAAGAAAGAAAAGTCATGCACTTGCGCGAAGAATGTCGCACCGTCCTCCGGACGGCACATACTGTAAAACCCTTAATGTTCGCGAGCCCTCAATTTTTGCGAATTTCGCGAATTGAAGAATTCGCGAAATTTAAGGGCGCGCGAAAATTTCCGTCCTTAAGATTTTCAATGCAAGGCGTCTGGAATTCGCGAAATTTAGTGGTCGCGATTATGTCATCTGTGACCGATTCACGAAAAATAGGGGCCGCGAAAATAAAGGGTTTTACAGTATATGGTTGTGAACCCCTGTGCGAAACACCAAACAAATTATAGGACTCGAAGCGCGTTTGACAGTTGATAATGGCCATACACTTTCTTATGTGCTTGCTTTCTTCCTGACTGAGTATGCCGAGATAATTTCAGACACACCGACCGAACGCGGACTCTGGGCGTCGGCAAAAACTCGTCCGTAAAGGCTTAGCGAGGAGTAGGGGACGCTTGCTAGGGCCTCCGTAGCTGGCCAATTTCGGTGTTTGCAAAAACTTAATCTCCAATTACCATAAAATTTGAGTGGGAGATATATATGATATGAGGGAGACTTCAACAAACTTTTGTGCAGTAGTGAGGTCGAATTTATTCTGTTTCCTTAAAAGTTCATGCGCCAACACTGGGCTCAACTTTGAGATTCCTGTGACGCTGCGGCTTGTGTTTTGCCGAATGAAGTAACAAAAAGCGGACGTTTGGCAAACAAAATATGTGTAGGGCTCTAAGTGACCAAATTTCAGTAGTGGTTCACCGGTACCAGACAGGATTATTGAAATTAAGCTCAAAGATTGTTGGGTGAGGTGACTAAGCCATGTCTTACTGCGTTTGTATACGCACTCGCAATATCCGGCATGTCGAAAACCAGGAATAGTGCCTTGGTCTTCCTTCTTTATGGCTCCAAAATGAGAGTATTGTACATTCAGGGGAAGTCAGATAATCGAGAACGCAAGCAGCGCATTTCGTCACGGCGTGATAGCATGAATTGAAACTCCTCAATCGAAACCAAAACTGTGAGGCCTACTAGTTCCCAGAGTGCACTGCGTGTCATTTCGCCTCAATGGGGCACTTCAAATTTTGGGAAAAGTCTATTAGCGCAGGACATAGAGTGTGTGGCTGCTTTTGCAAACAGTGCGGCGTGCCATGGAAGCTTTGGTGGGTCTTTGTTACAATAAGGGTCCTGTGTTTTCAATATACACCAGTAAATTACCCCCTCCCTTTGTTTCTATTCGTCAAAATTGGAGCAGTCCTCGAATAAGAACAAAAAACAGTATCGCAGAAAAAAGAACTTTATGTGAAGCTTTATTTTGCAATGACCCGAAACCGGCATAAACAGTCCACAAGGCCGCTTTGTTCGGGAAGTACACCCTTTTTACGTTTCCTTGTATTATTGGCAATGGGACGTCAATGACGGGTCACACACATTCCCTGGAGGTTAGGGAGAGTCCCACAGCTTTGTCCCGTTCCCTTAATTGTAAGCTGCAATAAACAGTCTTTATATGTGACACCAAAGATGGGCACTAGAAGACATCAAATCGCGAAGGGAGAAGGGAATGAAATCCGATAAAGCACCCCCCCCCCCTTCCTTGAACTCTAAGTGAAATGCAAACCCCGAAAGCACGAAACCCTAGCTCTCATCAAGCATGTTTGCGCAGATTGGCATTGACTGTGCTCCGTTTCAGCTTACGACGGCTTGCAGCGGATGCCGCGAGCCGTCAAAGCCAATCCGACGCCTCGCGAGCGTCGCATGACCCTCGAGGGGTACACTGCGATGCTTTGAGTTCGCGGTCACACGATAGGCTCGCGGCGCCGGACTGGCTGCTGTCCGTCGCAACGTGAAACCGAGCGAGGTTTGCTGCTGTCCGTCGCAACGTGAAACCGAGCGTAGCCTGGTAAGGCCTTTTACGGCGGGGCGTCCTTCTTGACCCCGCGCGGTGCGTCTCGGGTGGTGCAGAAACAGTCCGACCTGGTGTACAAGCTGAGGGACGACCTGCAGAAGAACCTGTCCAAGAAGGAACTGCAAGAGCTGCTCGAGTTCAACGAGATCGACATTCCCGCCGGGGAAAGCAGGGTGAGTGATGCGCACCTCGGCCGACCCGCTACCACGTCGACAGCTGGCCAAGCCGGTGCGTGCTTGGTACAACAAAAGAGTGACGGGAGCGCAAGTACAATGCGCTCGACTGCTAGATGTGACACTGGAGCGGTGGCCCAAACCGGCGTTGCCGCCGCCCAACGACGAAAGTGACGGTGCCGTCGCTTTCGTCGTTGTCGCTGTTGACTGCCGCCATTCCCCGACACAAGTTGCACGACCTCTTTGCGGCGATGGCTGCTGCAGGTTCCTCCTACCGCTGGAAACGACGTCTGTCGTGGTCCTTTGACGTAGATGTGGAAGTTTTTGTCGTCGATTAACGTCATAGTTATTGTCGTTGTTGATGTTGTAGTTGTTGGCATAGTAGGGTGTCCGTCGTCGACGTTGCTAAACCCTCAAACAAGATTGCCCGCCACCCGCGAAAATTGAACCAGGGTTCGCTGGGTGCGAAGCGTAGGCGTTGCCACAGAGCCACACCACAGTGTTGACAATCTGCTTTATATTTGGGGTTTTTCGTAGTACACAATGCACGCTACATGTGCTTTCTAAAAGAAAAAAAAGAAAAAGTTGACAAAATGGAGTAGCACTTTATGCCAAGAGCTCATGCAGGAAGATGCACTTTCACATGCTCCTCAACATAAAGAAACGAAAGTGTTTAAACAAAATGGTCGGATGTCTGTTTTGTTCTGAACGCGCTTTTCTTAATGCACCCCACGGTGTGTGGTTGCGATGCCGGTGCCCAACGACTTCGTCGTGACGCGTCGCCGACTGAACTGTGGATTAACACTGGACTGCTCAGTTCTTTTTTTCTGTCTGCCTCATTTCAATTTTTTTTCTCCACCTGTTTTGCTGTTTTATCACAACTGCATTGCTGTCATCATCCTTGATAGTATGGTGAAACCACTGCAACAGAAGGTGATGTTTGTGCTCGACATGTCTTGTATTGACGAATGTAGAACATCCTCTGGTAAAAGCAAACAGAGTTTAAGCCCCACCCCAAAAAAGTCAAAGAACGACGTCATCACCTAAGCAAGCTTTGGTCATTTTGTCCATACTAGGGGCGTAACACTGGAATAGAATGGCGGTGTGAGCTGCTAAATTGCGGCCGCAGGCGATGCCGGCAGTCTCTAGTTGACGTTCACACGTTATACTTAACGGTTGAACGCAATGTTCAAGTAAAGCTTGGACAGGGCACTGTGCTATGTAACCTAAAATTAGTCAAGCTGGCACAATCTACCGGCTTATTACGCTGCATCACCGTAAGTTGCGGAGCTCGTGGTTGGCCAGGAAACCAAATAAAAGGCAACAAGTAAAATGCTTGACGTGTTTCATCGATTGCGATATAACTCTTTGTTAGTTGTGGGTTTGCGGCATGTCGCAAGCATTCTCTCAGTCGGAGCATTGAGCGAGTCTTTCGTTTTTTCTTTTTTTGTCCTTCTCGCGATTTGTATGCAGCGGTACTGCAAGGCTAGTGGAGCTCTGCTAAATTTGTTGATTGTATGCGCTAGCGTGATCACTTTCCTTGCCCCCGTGCCATTTGCAACAGTGCGCTGAACTTCTCAGAATTGCAATTGGCTTGACGGTCTTCTCTGGGGTGTCATTACATTGAGGATAGCTAGCCTCGGTCACTACACTTCGCGGTTATGTGACAGCACTGACTTTGTCGAGTCGAAGGGATTTGCGAGCTAGATCTAACTCTTGCGTCGGCTACTTTTCTAGTTGTGTGAAAGATGGCAGCTAAAGGATCTACCCAGTTCAGCATTTGAGCACGTTCATCATCAGAGAGAGAGTGGGACAAAGGAAGGGAGCGCTGTGGCAGTTAAAGGGGCACTGACACATCAAAATCATATTTTTTTTTATTATCCGAAACAATTGAAAACGATGCCGGGACATTACCCTCAAAATTTGAAATTTGGGAATTCAGTATTTGTGAAGTAAAAAAACAATTTCCAAATGCCGAATTCGAAGTTCCCGTGCGATCGGCGCCGGTGCCTTGACGTCAAATATTGCGGAGTCCTGAGAGTTCACTTTCTTTCACCACTCCCTGCTGTTGCCATGGCGACCCAAAGCGAGGAAGAAAGGAGCGAGCGCCGGCGTTGCGGCGGACAGGTTTTGAGCGGTGTCGCCTGTTTTCCGTTGGAGGACACAAATCCAGGAAACGGCACCACAACGAAATCCCGACTTTTGGTATTTCAAAAAGAAGGGCCGTAGTGCATTCGCAATTGCGTTAAAAAACATGTTTTAGGATTGCCGTTATTAAATGTTATAAAGATGTCGCCTACAAAGCTTCTAAATTTCATGATTCTTGACGTCATGAATCAAAAGAAGCGAGGAGGCGAGAGGCGGGACGTTCAAACAACAAAAATAAAAAGGCGCGCGCGCGCGCAAAAAATTTTTTTTTTGCGATGCGTTTTTTTTTGCGTGTCTATGACTGCAACTTGCATCGTTTTAGACAATAAAAATAAATACGACCTGTGGGGTGTCAGTGCCCCTTTAAAGGCGAGCTCCGGAGGTTTTACAGCGAAGCTGTTTATGGCTAAGGTTTTTGGGATTTTTCGTGTGCAGTGACTAAAACCTCCTCACTTGATCTGCCGCAAGCGCCACGCGCTCACGCCTTCCTTGTATAAAAGATTCTAAGTAAATAACCAAAATAAAGCGTTCACGAACGCGTGTGCAAGATGCCATTTGTTTTAGGCTTTTGCTTTAGAACAGTTACTGCTGCAGACGCCAGCGCGTGGAACACCATTCCCTGCATTCTGCTTGATGCTTTGGTAATTTAGCAGTAGGTCTATACAGTAGACTAGTCATCACTAGGCACCATTTTTAAGATCACTGGACTTTCAGGTAGATAATACAGGTTTCTCAAAGATTTGCCGCTGTGCGACCCGCCTCGGCCATGTCTACACTCGCACCGCCCTCTCTGTTGTTGTTCCAAGTGCTTGCGTGCCTAATTTCCTTTCCTTCCGCTCTCCTGGGGTGGTGGTTTGGTCATGCGAGTCTACTTTCCGTTGGGTGGCGGTCCCGTCACAAGTGTCTAGTTTCCTCCGGTTCCTCGGGCTGGGTCTGTGTCGTGTGCTAAACACAGGGGTGGAACGGCTGCGCCATTTGCGCCATTTTGCGCCAGACGCATCTGTCTGCGCCATCCTGCGCCATTTTGCGGAAACTGCGCCACAGCCAATACATCGCGCCATTGTGCTCCAAATCGCTGAACGTGCGCCCAATTTTTTTTTTTTTTCATTTTGTCTTGGTTTCGGTTTTTATCGACTCGATTGGCAACAATGAGCGCGTTTAGCTTGGTCGGCCTTGAAATCCTTTGTTCTGTTTATTCTTCCTTTGTATCCCAATTCCCGAGTCGGAAGCGCGCGAAAAAACTCGGGGTTCAAATTCCAAGTGCTACACCACCTGCGACTGGATTGTTGTTCTTCAACCATAAGCGGCTAAGCAAGTCGGCCGAGAAGAGGTAGAGCCGTTAAGCGTCAGATTACCTGAGGCTCTGCGGCCCGGGTTCCGGAAGTCAGCCAGTTGAAAACACATTAGCAAACGATTCCTTTTAGTACTTCTTCGTTAGAAGTTGGAACCGCATTCCTGCAAGATAAATCGTGATTTAATAGAACTGAAACGCAGTCCGATCCGAAACCTTGCCGGCCGGCAGCTCTCACGCGAGCGATAGATCTTGCTTGATAAACTTTGCTCCTGCTTATCGCTAAGAACACGATAACTCCGTTAATCGTAGTCTGCTGCTTCAATATTGAGTTATACAATAGTATAAACTCGGAATTTGTTGCCCTGTTCCTCCGCGCAACTGCACGTCCGTTTCTCACGCACGTCACGTGGTTCGCACATATAATTACCATCTCGAACAGGTGTGAGTTGTGCCATAAGCAGTGCTGGTTTGCATTTTGAGCAGTTGAAAGCCACTCAGAAAATATCAAGGACACTATCTGCAGAAACATATGGTACTTGCTTTTTGGTTCTCATTAAGGCTCACAAAGTTTCAAGTTTTCGCATCTGTTACACTGTTATCCCACCTACATAGGTCCCTAACCACCATCTGTGTTGTTCTTTTGTGCTGCTAAGCACAACTGAAATTGCTCCCGTGCTTGTCTAAAACACAAGCTGAAGTGCAATGAAAACTGATCTGAGCTGCTCCTAGCCTGCTCCAGAACATCGTTTTAGCTGCTCCCAACCTGCTCCAAAACAGCTGTTTCAGCTGCTCCCGTGCCTGCTCCCAAGTACATTTCATGAGTTCCACCCCTGTAAACAGCTTCGCTGGCCATCCAGCTGCACAGAGTGGAATGGCTCATGATTTTTTCTGAGTCGCCCAAACTAAGTACATTTTAGGAATGCCTTCGCTTCACACTTCCCAGCAGGTTATTTATTATCTCTGAACGCTGAATAGCTACTCGGAAAACGGCAAATGAGGGTGATGCCAAAACCAGCGTGCTAATTTCGCCACACACACTGGTAGTGTGACACCGCGTGCTGTAAAACTTGCAGGTCAAGCACGGCGTTGAAAATACTAAGCTTGTCGCACATTTGTATTATTTTTTTGTTGAGGTAGTGAGTTTTTCCAGCAATGATTTCATGCCGTCAGACTTCTTGTAATTTGTCGCGTACTAACTGTACTGTCCAAATTGCAACATCTGGTTTAATTTTTTCAGTCTTGCCGTAGAGTTTTTCAATTTATAAAAAATAATGGTGAGGACCCAAACAAAACTTCAGCAAATGTGTCCAAAGAAAAATAATACATATTATTTGAGTTACTAGTTAAGCCGTGTCTATTGATGTGTTGAACCAATTTTGAGGGATTTTCATGACCATCAGAATTTCAAACTATTGGTCTTTTCGGTTGTAATAAAGGTCCTTGGTCTTGGCCGGAACCAATGCTCTTCTCTGCCCACTGTCCAGATTCTGGACTTGTTGGGAGACTGCATGGCCTTTGGCTGCCTGGAACGCTGCCCCGAATGCAAGGAAGGACAGCTTAAGCTCAGGTGCGTAGTTCGGCACGAGAAGGGCAGAACTGGTTGGCTAACGGGGAGCTAGTGCCACGGACGGTAAAGTTACCTACAACTTGATTTTTTCTTTTTATCTATTTATTTATTTGTTTATTTCAGTACCCCAGTGCCCTGAAGCATAACAGGAGGGAGGGGTAAAAACAATACAGAGTACAAACGAGACTAGTTCAAATATGCAAGGGAAACACGAGCGCTCAAGGATCACACAAGCACGTCCGGCACCGAAAAGTGACTTAAAAGAACGCCGAATCGCTATAAAAAAATGAAACCCTTAAAAACGCCCCCAAATTTGTAAAAACAAAAGAAAAAGCGGTAGTCTCATAGGTTGGGTTGTGCTCTTAGTTCGGGTGGTGCCCTGGGCAGGATGACCCCTCAGTATCTATGTGCCTGGGATGCGGTGATGCTCTCAGTTGAGGTGGGGCCTGGGGCAAGGTTTTGTTTGAGAATGGATTACGTCTCACCATTGTTTCTTCGTGACGCTGCGTGCACTTATCTTTTGTGCCACCTGGATACAAAGCCTTTGTGTCGAATTTTCTGTGTCGCGAAGAGAGGGGAAGGGCGCTTTCCTCTCCATTCCTCTCCTCGTTCTGCATGCTCTTTGTACACTACCTTTTTCCGCTCCTCTCTTTCTTGCCCTTCCAACCCCCTCCGCTTTGCACGCTTTCTCGCACCACCTGGTGCTGCTCCTCCCATTCCTGCATGCTGGGTCCATAGGTCAGTGAGCAGCGCACTTGGCTTCCACGCCGGTGATCGGAATTAATCCGTAACATCGTGTGACGCTTTTTTTTTTAGATCTTGCAGCGGTTACGGTTTGACCGACCTACACATCTGGTGCTTACGTGGCTTCTGAAGTTGGTTGGCGTGAAGTCTCAATAAAAGTCACGCTTACAAGCACCACCAACCATTGTTGTATAAATGCTCAAAACACGTGCCATGAGCGGGTGCTCCGCCGTCATTTGCTTTTAAGGGCCACTCAAAACACGGGCCTCATGCACTTGCACATTCGACGCCACTTGAAAGATAAATGCAAGCACATTGAAAGGCTTTAGTTTGGCCCTATAAAGCTACCGCCTTAACAAGCCTTGAAAAGCACCAATTTTTTGTTATAAAGGTCGCATGTTTGCTTGACCCGGGCCGACTGACGTTGCACACACCATTTTTTTTTCTTTATTTGTTTGGCGGGTTTTTTCCGCCCAGGGGGCAGAGATATAGGCGTGAAGCCTGACAGTCTCTGCCCCCCAACAGTAAACAGTACAATGAATATAATCAGCAAAAGGTACACTCAGTAAAACTTAAAAAAGGCACAATGAAACAGGTACTTTAACATTCAACATTGTGAATTGTAAAATAAAATAAAACGGCACAATCAAACAACCAGCAGAAACATGTTACACAACAAGCATGATTCGAAGCGTATAACAAATGTAACGTCATATGATACAGAAGCATCATATCACTAATATAAACATTAAAAAAAAAATTTACACAAAAAAAATGAGAATGACACAGCATAAAATAGGATTGATGGCCGCCATTTAGTATAGCAATGAAGAATGATCTAATATATGTCAAGAGCCACATTTTTCTTTTTTTTGTTTTTTTTGCAGGACAGACGCCTACGCCTGTACGGGCAACATCAGCGGGTGGACCAAGTGCCAGTACCTAACCCAGGACCCCCAGAGAACGGCTTTCAAGGTGCCCCCAGAGTTCAAGGAGGCCTACCCCTTCCTGTGAGTGCACCACCACAGGGCGACCCCACGCAGACATCCGTCGACGGAAAATGTGTTATATCGGTCGAATTCTTGGAATGGACCGTCGGGAAGGCCTGCGACATCTTGATGTTGGATGAAATCGCCTGTCATCGTGACCTGACATCACGTCATGCAGACTTGGACGTAGTTCAACTACTCTACTCAAACTACTGTAGTTTAACTACTTTTTCGAGTAACTTGGTAACTTTCAATTACAACTTGATTTGGGTAATTAGTAGTTTAATTTAACTACTTTTTTCAGGTAACTTCTACTCAAATTACTAGCTACTTTCGAAATTGTATAGTGCTAATTTTGCCCATTCCGAAAGTTTGAGCGCAGAAATGAATAAGACGCCGGCAGATGAAGAGGCATTCCCGAACAAGGGGCCCCCTTGTTCGGGAAGGCGTCCTTGGGCCAAGGTGGCGACGAGCAGCCAAAAGAAAACACCGGCACGCACGAACGCAGGAAGAGATGCTTAACAAGCCATGGTCGGGTATTGACCTAATCCGGCAATGCACGCAGGCACCGCGTTTCCAGCTACAACCGTGAAAGACGGGGAAACTCCGAGAGTTGTTGTTGTTTTCGTGATGTCTGTCTTTAGTGAGTTCTGACTCAAGCGGTAGGTTCCACAGGAGGCGCCACTGGAATGACCTCGCAGCTGGGCGCCTGTTCCCATGGTTGCCTTGTCGTCAGCGCATACGCCTTTGCAAAGCCGGACTCCCCCGCGCACAAACCCTGGCGCGGATAATCCGTTCATGGGAGCACGTTTCCGCTTCCAGCTGCAACTGTATACGAGCGACGATGCTTGTTCACGTAATCCTTCGCTTCCTTCCAACCATCCATGCCTGGGAGACCTCCTCTTTGTTAAAAACGGTTTATTGTCAGGTGTGTCAGGCGCGTAAAAATATTGTAGTCGCCGGCGAGGATTGCGAGTTACCCTTGGGAGATTCTTTTGTTGGACCCGGCGTCAGCGGCGAAGTATACTTCGGTTCACCTTCTGTTAAACCAAAACATTTTTTCTTTTTAGTAGTGTAGCACTAGCACTACAACGGGACGCGCAGTCGTCCGGATGATCTCATCGTTGTGGCGCGAGACTTGAACCCTTGACGGTCTGGTGCACTCGCTCAGCGTACTCTCAGAATGACGTCTGAATAAAGAGGGGCCATTTATAACAATCTCAACTTGACGAAGAAAAAAGAAAAAGGAGGAAAGTTTGTTATAAAAGACCCTCTATACCCGAGGCAAACCACGTGTTTCGTCATGGACACCTAAGATGCCGACACTCGCTTACCCGACCCTGCACAGCCTGCTTCTGAAATTGAACGCTTTCTTTGCATCCAGCCCGTCGGTGGAACGTCTATTTAGCTTGGCTGGGGACGCCTTTAGAAGGAAAAGGGGAAAACTCTCCTATCAAGTACTTTGAAAGTCAATTGCTTCTGCGAGCGAATAAACTATTTTGGCAAAAACGCAAGCCATAAATAGACTGCATTTATTTTAGGCTCGCAGGGTTTTTCATTGATCAAAATTGCTGTTCATTTTGCTACCACAAAAATATAAAAAAGTAACTTCGAAAGTAACTTCAAAGTAACTCGCTACATTTTACAGTAGTTAGTAATTTACTCAATTACTATCACAAATGCATAATTTTTACTCTACTCCAATTACTTTTGGCGTCGATACTCAGTAACTTAACTACCTTTTTTGAGTAATTTGTACATGTCTGACGTCATGCGACACTGAAGTCTGGTGAAATCATGTCGTGCGACATGAAATTGAGAGGACACGACTCTGGTTCATTCACTGAGAACGCGAGTTCCATCCAAGTGCAGTTTGTGACCCCACGCAGAAGCCCATGTTTAGTTTGCGTCGTCGTCCGGTTCATTGCGCGAAATATCTAACATTGCTGCCCCGTTATCTGGGAGATGTTGAGCGAGTGCGCTAGCACGAACGATGGGAGAGTGTGCAAAAGGGGAGAGGCGAGAGGACGAGTGTGTGCTTCGAGGAAGATGATTTATCGGGCGTCGGAGGGAAGCATGTTGGAGCGGCATTAGAGCCACCGAGGAAGCCATGCTTAGCGTGTAGGCACTGCATTCAATGATTTTCCCCGCGGGTGCCACGATTTTTGGGGCTTAGTTGGAGCAGGTGCAATCGGAGATAGCTAAAATTAGAAAATGCGACTCCCCGAACTTCTGATTCGATGCCAGAAAGATTGGGAGATATTGCTTCGTTGCTTCACAGACTGTTGTTGCGATTTTGAGGGACAGACAAGTGTTTCCCGCGATTTCAAATACAGCTTCGGATAACTGGCAACAGTAATTTTAGAAACGCCAAAATGCCTGGATCTTTGTACAACGAAGTGTGGCTTCTTTAGTGGCTCCAGCGTGAACCCGTCTGCAATTGCTCGTGGGTCTCAGAATACGCTATACCCCCGCCTAAAAGTTTTTTGTGGCCTGCAGGAAGAAGTACAAGTATGTCGCCCGCAAGCGCGTCTTCCCAAAGAACCCGGCTTTAGTGATGTAGATTTTATGTTTGCGCGTGATCACCGTATATAGCGGCGGCGACGAAGAAGAGGAAGTAGAATAAAGCCAGTGAATGGGAATGGCTGCCCGATTCTTATTCTGCCCGCCGCGGTAGCGCTCTGTTTGTTCAGCACACTTGCAACGCTACATTGGCGACGAGGATGTGTTAGGCAGTCTTCAGCTACTGTTCTGGCAAGTGTCCACCCTCTACGACCTCGCAGCGCGCCGCCGCTGTATCACAAGTTGCTAGCTTCACAGCCAAGCCTACTGTTCTCCACTAATGATGACCCTCATTCCAACCTCACTGCCCCCTTTTGACTTGGATGCCACTGACCCAACTAACATCGGCACCGAATGGCGAAAGTGGATCACTCGCTTTGAAAACTTCCTCATCGCTTTCGATGTGAAGAATGACGCACGCAAACGTTCTCTCCTGCTCCACTATGCGGGGGAACGTGTCCATGAACTCTGCGATACCCTTCCTGACCAGCAGAGTGGTCCCACTTCAAGTACGACGCCAGATGCTGATACACCCTCAGTAACGACCAGAAACTCATACCAATCTCTCAAAGACAAGCTTGACGCATACTTCAATCCCCGCATGAACACCACTTTCGAGGTCTTTCAGTTTCGTCAGGCAAAGCAACTCGAGGGCGAATCTGTCGGCCAATTCTCGATAAGGCTTCGACTGCTTGCCCGCAATTGCGGTTTCGCGAACGCTGACGAGGAAATCAAGAACCAGATCATATTTGCAACGACATCTTCACGCCTACGACGAGTAGCCCTAAGGCAAGACCTTAACCTTCCATCACTTTTGAATCAGGCTCGACTCCTCGAGGATGTCAACCGAGCAACAACTGCCATGGAAGGGTCGTCAACAACCACCACGGTTCAAGCAATCTCTGGACAGCCTCGCTACGGCCATGCAGGCACATCCAGAAATGCCCAACAACCTCGCTGCTTCTCTTCCCGTCTGAAATATGGAGGCAGCGCACAACAACGCACCCACGTCTCGCCTCCCCAGTGTTTCCACTGTGGTGCTCCCTGGCCCCACGAGGGAGGACAAGTAAACTGCCCCGCCAAATTTGCCTCTTGCAAAGCATGTGGCAGAAAAGGACACTATGGCAAGGTGTGCCAATCAGCACACAAGCCTATCTTCCAGATTTCTCATGATTCTGACTCCGACGAGAGCGTTTATGCTGTCGGAACTATATCACAAGTATCGCACCAAAACCTCCCAGAGGTTCATCTGCAGGTTAACAACACCCCTATAACATTTCTTATTGACACAGGTGCTTCAGTATCGGTCATTGGAACCTCTACCCTTAACAAGCTTGGAGCACTCACAAAACTCCAACAAGCAGGCACGCGTATTTACGCCTATGGATCGGATGCTCCGCTACCAATCATAGGAAAGCTCAGTGTCACGCTGAAGTACAGGGACAGCGACACAACAGAAGACGTGTTCGTAATAGAGGGAACTGTGAAGTCACTGCTGAGCTTTGCTGCTGCAAATAGACTGGGCCTAATCCAAATTACTTACGCCATCCAAGGACACTCACAAAAAGATGCACCTCGAATGGAGAGGTGCCCCCAAATTTGCTCGAGACCCCACTCGCTGCTTTTCCCGAGTTGTGTGCGGGTGTAGGCAAACTAAAAAACCTCCAAGTGCACCTCCACATTGACAAAGCCATTGCCCCGGTTGCTCAGCCCCATCGCAGAATCCCTTTTGCAGTGCGAAGCAAAGTAGAAGAGAAGATAAGCCAGCTCTTGGCCCTTGATATCATCGAAGAAGCAACCGGACCTACTCCATGGGTTTCACCAGTCGTAATTGTGCCAAAGCCGCACAATCCAGAGGACATTCGCCTATGCATCGACATGAAATGTGCGAATAGGGCCATTCTTCGCGAGAGGCACGTCTGCCCTACCATCGACGACGTGATCACAGCGCTGAACGGATCAACACTCTTCACGAAGCTTGATCTAAAAGATGGGTACCACCAACTAGAACTTGATAATGAATCAAGAACAATCACAACATTTGCAACACACAACAAATTGTACCGCTACAAACGACTTATGTTTGGAATTAACGCAGCTGCCGAGGTTTTCCAGGAAACCATCCGTCAAGTACTCAACGGCATACCTCACGTCCTCAACATCAGTGATGATATACTTGTGTTTGGCAAGACAAAGGATGAGCATGATCAGGCTCTCCAGGCAACTCTCGAAAGGTTGACAGAGAACGGCCTCACAGTTAATCCAAAAAAATGTCTCTTCGCACAGAAAGAACTCTGTTTTTTCGGCCACATTTTCTCTGCTTCTGGAATCAGAACAGACCCCCAGAAAATCGCAGCACTAAAAAAAATGCCGGCCCCTGCCAACGCTCATGAAGTTCGAAGTCTGCTTGGTACAGTAAATTACAGCGGACGCTTCCTACCTAACCTTGCTGATATAACGTACCCTCTTCGGCTTCTCACAAAAAAGAACACCAAGTGGGTGTGGGGACCAGAAGAGCAAGGTGCTTTGGATACGCTGAAAGAAAAGCTGTCTGAAATCCCCAACCTTGTCTTTTTTGATGGTACAAAAGAAATAATTCTCACGGTCGACGCGTCGCCTGTTGGCCTTGGTGCCATACTAGCACAGAAGGAAGGCAACACAAGGATTACGAAAATCGAAAGAAGCACAAGATTTACGCAGATGAACACAGACATGCGAGAGCCCACAACTTCGAAGTCGGAGATCGGGTACTGTGTAGACAGCCTCCGTCGAACAAGCTCACTCCCCCTTATGACCCGCAGCCATATAAAGTGATTGAAATCAAAGGGACGCAGGTAACTGCTCAGAGAGATCAGAAAATTATCACAAGGAACTCAAGTTACTTCAAACTTCTTCCCACGAGTGCGAAGCTCAGAGCACATAATGAATTGATCAATGCGGATGATGCTGAGGAAGAAAACGCCATGAACACGCGTCATACTCACCCTCACCAGGAAGCTCAACAACACATCGACGTGGGGGAGAGACGAGACCTGCAACCCAACGAAGCTCAAAGATCCAGTGAAGGACCACGTCCGACTCCGGAATTTGAACAACAGCTCGACGTGGAGGAGGACGAAAGAAACCAGCGATTCCTTGAAGCCCCTGGCCCTGATCTATCAGGAACAGCACGACCGGTCCGTACAAGGTACCCTCCTACAAGACTCAGGGACTACGTCTGCTCCTGAAAAGCGTTTCGCTCTGTTCATTTCTTTGCTCCTCGGGGGAAGTGATGTAGTGATGTAGATTTTATGTTTGCGCGTGATCACCGTATATAGCGGCGGCGACGAAGAAGAGGAAGTAGAATAAAGCCAGTGAATGGGAATGGCTGCCCGATTCTTATTCTGCCCGCCGCGGTAGCGCTCTGTTTGTTCAGCACACTTGCAACGCTACATCTTTGTACAACGAAGTGTGGCTTCTTTAGTGGCTCCAGCGTAAACCCGTCTGCAATTGCTCGTGGGTCTCAGAATACGCTATACCCCCGCCTAAAAGTTTTTTGTGGCCTGCAGGAAGAAGTACAAGTATGTCGCCCGCAAGCGCGTCTTCCCAAAGAACCCGGCCAAGCCTTCGGAGCCATCGACGTCTGCCAAGTGAGTCTGTGGGAGCGCTGCGACACACTGTGCTAATTTCGGGTGGTGGACGCTGTTTCTGGGGCTTCCTTGTGAAAAGAGGCATCGGCCCAGAAAAAACGAATCATCTCGTTAATGTACACATCTCCATTTGCGAGACAGAAATGGATGCGTTAACGCAGTTCAACCCCAACAAGTCGGTTTATGTAGTGGGATGTTCGTATCAACAGGGTCCTTAACGGGCACGACTGCAGTAGGTTTCCGTTTGTTGAGAACTTTACGGAAGCCACAACAGCTGGGACCATGATGTGGGAGTTCTCATTGCTCTGCTTGCGTTCCAGTGGCAAGGCAGGCAAGGATCTTCCGCTGGATGGCATCGAGGTTGCCCTGGGCAAGACCAGCGCATCTGCGGATGAGCTGAAGCAGAAGCTGATCCTGCTGGGAGCTAAGCCAGTGTCCAAGGTCTCCGAGAAGACGCTGTGCCTCATCTCGACGGAAGGTGCGTCTCAGAAAAGGGGGGAGATCCGCGACGTCACGCAGGTGATGTCACAGAGCTTACAACAGTTGGTGTCTGACCATGGGGCTGAAACGGGGACATGTCCTACGAGGAGAAACACGTAGGTCGCTGCTTTCCATGCGACACTGTGGCGTCAGATGACACCACGGCACCGTGCAACATTGCAAAGTCACTCGAAACCGATATCAGATGACGCTGACATCAGATAAGACGCTGACATCAGATAAGATCATGATGTAACTCGTTGCTGACGTCGCGTGACCGTCGGGAAAACTTGTGCCTACGTCTCCTTACGTCGGGTCATGTCACGTGAGGTCACGCGACCACATGCTTTCCCGACGGTCACATCATGTCGTGTGGTTGCTTGACACCATCTCGTCAGGCAACACCGTGACTTGATAGAGAACCTATAAGTCACACATTTAGAGCACTTTCGGTATAAACCGAGGGAACGGGCTGTTTTTTTTTTTGTTTTTTTAGGGTTTTTCGTTTTGGCAGACATTTTTGACAGTTCCAGCAGCCAGCAGAGGAAGGCCTCTGAAACCCAGGAACGTCGGAAAACTTTAGTCGACTTGGCAACGTCTAGTTTGGTGGCGTCTCTGATCACTTTAAGCCGTAGTGTGTTGTGTGGACCTTTATGCATTCTGAAGAGACCTTGACGCCTCGATGCTTTCCAGGGAAACTGCCATCATTCTCACGACCGCCCTTGCCTGTCTAGTCTCGTTCTTAATGAAGGGATTGTGAAGGGACATTTAAATGTGTAGCATTTATAAGGCCAGCCCTAGCTCTTTCGTGTCAGGGTCTGGGATTTAGCCTCAGTGGAGCGGGTGGTCGTTACGAGAGCGAGCGGGGGATAGCAGCAATAGAAAGCCAGTTGCCATTAGGGGGAGACACCCCCTGGGAGGGTCCACTTTTGAACCCTTGCCTTAAAATTAATGAAATTTACAGGGTAGGCTGGTGGTCATGCTAGAGGGTGCATAATAAAATTTTTAAAGTAACTGAGCTGGAAAGACTCCTGCAACTCATGAGCTCTTCTACATCCAAAATAGATGGTCTCGACAGCACGTTAATTTTGCTCCAGACTAACACAGCACAACAAACTGAAAAACTTGTTGATCTTGAGGACCGTAGTCGTCGCTCTAATCTAGTGATTTATGGATTACCAGAGCCAAATAATGAAACTGACCTTCAGCTTAAAGATCACGTAGTCGGGGAACTGTTTGAGAAGAAACTTGATGTGAAATGTTGTTCAATTGGTAGAATTCACCGACTCGGTCGAAAAAAAGCTAATCGTCCGGTCATTTTGTACCTCCAAGATTATAACGAAAAGCAGGCTATACTGAAGAACGCTAAAAAACTGAAAGGCACGCACATTTTTATTGAAAATGACTATTCACGTTGTACACTTCGAAAGCGTAAGCTGCTGTGGGAGAGTGCCAGGAGTGATAAAGCTGATGGAAGGCGTGTCTTTGTGGTTAACGATAAACTTCGCATTGATGACGACACGTTTATATGGGATGACAGCAAGAATGCACGGGTTAAAATTTCATCTACGCACCACCAACCTCAAAGCACGTGACATCACCGGCACTCTCCACCACAGTACTTGCGCCTTCTAAACATTAATGCCAGAAGCATAATAAACAAAACTGTGGAGCTTGAAAGTGTAATGCTTTGTCATGATCCTCACGTGACAGTATTAACTGAGACGTGGCTAAGCGATGAAATCGATGACCGTGATATAGTTGCTGGTTCATACAATATATACTGAAGGGATAGACCCTCCCGTGGTGGCGGTGTAGCCGTCATTTTATTGCATGCATGCTATTGGTTGGTGATTTTAATTTACCTAACGTTGATTGGCATAATTTATCATCCTCCTCACCCTCTGACCAAACCATTTTCGACATTGCGTTTGCCTGTGACCTTTCTCAAGCAGTTAATGTACCCACACGCGTCCAGGGTGATTCATCGTCCATTTTAGATCTTGTCCTTTATAGTAGGTCTCTGTCTGAGGTACAGGTATCAGTGGAGGATGGGTTGTCCGACCATAAGCTTGTTTCTTTCTCCTGCCTCATGGGCAGCTCGGATGATTTTGTGGCCCAGAAGCGCAAAACTATTAAAGACTTTTCTAGGGCGAATGACGAATCTGTTCTAGATTACCTTGAGTTATCCTTAGATACATTTTCTGGGAACGACGTTAATTATTTATGGAATAAATTTAAATCAATCTGTCATTTTTGTCTTCGAAACTTTATTCCTAATAAAAGTAAATATGTGCGCCGCAAAAACCCCTGGATGACACGCGAAATAATTAATCTAGTACGGAAAGTAAAAAGAACCGTAGAAGTCGAGTTCACAGTTCCTCCCTCCCCTGCCTAAAGCGAGCACTAGCAGCTAAAATTCGCACAAGTAAACAGTTCTATCATTCCAATACACTCACACGATTCCTTAAAACAGATCCAGCGAAGTTCTGGCGACACCTCAGCTCAAATCAACAAAAAACTGTCGATTATGTCAAAATTGGGGAAATGTTGGTTCACGACAAACAACAAATAGCTACGGAGTTTAATCTTTTCTTTCAGTCAGTGTTCTCGAAGTCTTACACTAGACATTCCTCCTTTAACGAAGAAACTGAAATAAGCTCAGAGTTCATCACGTTTGAAGGTATCTTTTCTATGCTACTTAACCTCAAACCTAAATCGTCAAATGGTCCTGATGATATACCAAATGCATTTCTTCGTCGTTACGCTGAGTGGATTTCTAGATTCCTTGTTGTTATCTTCCAGATGTCATTTTCATGTGGCGTTGTTCCCTCAGATTGGCGAATTGCTCGGGTTGTACCCGTTTTTAAAAAGGAGACCGTACAATGTTAACAAATTATCGCCCAATTTCACTCACCAGCTCTTCGTGTAAACTACTGGAACATATAATTTCTAATTACATCAATGATTTCCTCGATAAACATGAAATAATCTCGCCTTTTCAGCATGGGTTCCGAAAGGGACTTTCTACTACTACTCAGCTCATTTCAACTATTCATTCTTTTGCTTCTATAGTAGATAGGCCTGGTCAAGTCGACGTCATCTTCCTTGATTTTAGCAAAGCCTTCGACAGAGTTCCTCATTCCGGTCTTATATACGAACTTAATGAGATTGGCCTTCCCAGCACAGTTGTTCAATGGATTTCATCTTATCTTCAAATGCGAAAACAATTCGTCGATGTAGTCGGTCACCATTCTGATCCTCTTCCTTTAATTTCGGGTGTTCCGCAAGGGAGTGTCCTTGGCCCTCTTCTTTTTTCAATTTTTATTAATGACCTCACTTTTTGTATAGATAAAAGCGTGAGTATTCGTTTATTTGCGGACGACTGTCTATTGTTCAAGGATATTAACTCTACTAGGGACCAAGTTGTTCTGAACGAAAGTCTTAATGCAGTATCTAGCTGGTGCGATCGTTGGGAGATGAAGCTTAACCAAGAAAAGTCCTTGTACATGCGCATCACTAACAAAAAGTCCTCTCATCAGTATGAATACTTTATTGGTGATAACTACATCTCTCGGACGATGAGCTTTAAATATCTTGGTATAACAATTTCTAGCAACTTATCTTGGTCCTCACACATTGAACACGTTTGTGCAGCTGCCCGTCGAAAACTAGGTATGATAAGGCACAAGCTTAAGCACGTGCCTTCTCATGTGAAACTTTTAGCCTATAACACATTGATAAGAATGAAGTTAGAATACGCCTGTACAGTCTGGGATCCATTCACAAAAAAAGATATCAAGATACTGGAAGATGTTCAAAAGCAAGCAGCTCGTTTTATATTTAATCGCTACCACCCGCATGACTCACCTGCTGCCTTAATTCAAAGTAACAACATCATCTCTCTTGAATCACGAAGGAAGCTAGCTAGACTAAAATTTCTTTATCAACTCTGGTTTAAAAAACTCCGGCTTGAATCGTCGTCCTTTCTTCACCCATCATCGACTAGGCGCACAAGGCATGACCATCCGCATAAAATAACTCCAGTATTCGCTCGAACAAATGCATTTAAATACTCCTTCTTTCCCAGAACTATAACAGAATGGAACAACCTACCTCATCACATATTTATATCTGACAATGTTTTGGAGTCGATTGAGCGTTTGTTTGATGTGTAACTCTTTGCATTGTTTTATTTTCCTGTTCCCCACTACCGCCACCCCTCCCAACTTTGTTGTGAGCTATTACATGTGCGTTATTACATTTTTTGCATAAATTTCCCCTGTTCCCCTCTCCCATTTTACGGATTACCTGGTGTTGCGCTTTTTTGACTCTACTTTTGTAACCCCCAATCCTGCTTGGGCCGCAATTGGCCTGCAGTATTCCTAAATAAATAAATAATAAAAATTTTAGGTCTTTTGGTTGAGTGGGAAGGAAATTAGGGCAGCTTCTATCAGCAACACCCCAACACTGTTTAGTTAATCTATCGTCAGAAAACTGTCACAATATTAAAAATTTTTATTCGCTAGATATGTAGCAGAATGCCTAGGAGGTGCGCCTATGGAAAGGCTTTCGCAAAAAGTAATTGATTTCTATCAATTTTCTCTTCTGCGAAATTGGTCAACTTTTTGGTCTTCTGTGTCTCCGACAAAATGTCAACATTTTTTATAAAAGACATCCGTAAAGTGACAAACAAACTCCATAGGCGCATTCCTTACTAAATTTCAGTCAGGAAAAGTGAAGAACGAGCCTTGCCTGTTTTTCCATTCTCAAACGATAGATTGACTAAAATGGAATTTATACCAAAAAGTGGAACGGAGAAAAATGTGTTCAAAGTGCTCCAAACCCTACCTTTCCTTTAATTTAGCTTTGGTGGACAGAAAATAATTTATAAAAAATTAACTATGCAGTGTAAACTAGTGAAAATGTCTGGGAATACTCTCTGGATGTAGATGGATGTAAATATGTAATTTTTCAAAATCAATGTTTTTTGAAGAATCTTTTTTTCTCCGGGTAGTGTCCCCCCTTAAAGGCGTGCAATGTGTGCACGGCGTGCAATGTGTGCAGCAGACTGGCTTTGGGTGGACGCGAGCAAAGGCGTTCTTAATTAATGCCAGGTATTTAGAAGGCACTTGAAATGTACCAAAAAGACTGCCAATACTTCTTTTTTTTTCTCATTGTTACAGTGCTGAGTATAAACAGACCGCACATATAAAGAATAAAACAAGAAGGTCTTGTGTTACAATGCTGGAGGTTTCGTTGAAGCGCGACACTAGTGCAAACAGCTGGCGGATCTCTGAATACGCCGTACCCCGTGAGCCTTGGCGGTCCGGTTACTAAGAGATCCAACACTAAGGAGACAATGCTTTTATTGTGGGCAGGGTGTGGATAGTGACAACCCCCTGTACAGATTCGGAGCTCACAGTTGTCACCGGTCAGATCGAGGGACACGTTCTGCGGCCTCTCGGTCCTCGAATATCGCAAAATTCTAGTCGACCTAGGGAAAATGCCAAAATTTCTTGGCTGTCATCCAGTCCAGATGGGGGTTCTTTCAGGATTGAAAATTTTGAGAATCCCCGTTTGATACGACCACGACGTCGACGTGGGCCTTTCTAAAAACTGGTAATTCTAGAAATGTTGAAATGTTTCGTTCTTTTTTGCTGATCTAGTTCTGTCGGTGTGTTGCAGAGGACGTGAAGAAGAAGTCCAAGAGAGTGAAGGACGCCGAACTGCACAACGTGCACGTGGTCTCGGAGGACTTTATCGATCACCTGGCGAAGAGCAGTGGGGCCGCTGAGGCCGTGGTGGGACAGTTCAAGATTGCGCCCTGGGGTGGAGACGTGAGTCTTCGCACCTTTGCCCGTTTGCCAACTTCTCGTCGGGTAGATGCGCCGGTCGCGTTTTAAACCAAACCACATTCTGACTTTATGCACCGTTGCGTAGCATTTTAGTGGCCGTTGCGTGACCTTAGCTGTAAATGTCGTGGATCTCTGAATACGCTGTACCCCGTGAGCCCAGGTGGTCCGGTTACTAGGAGATCCAACACTAAGGATACAATGCTTTCTTGTGAGCAGGGTGTGGATAGGACAACTCCCTGTACAGATACGAAGCATACAAGTGGAGAAATCGAGGGAACTGCTGCTTGGATGAAATTGAATGTTGTTGGCATTTTATTTTACTATTTTTTCTGTACTCTGAATGTTCATGTCCAGTTTTCGTTAGTGTAACGCAGTGGTTTCAAACTCATTTGAGTGTGGAGGCGGACAGCCCACATCGGAAAGGTCACGGGCTAGCGTAAGACGAGTGGGGGGGGAAGGGAATTGGGATTGGGGTTAGAAAATTTTAAAGAGAAGAGACCTCGCTCTCTATGCTTTTTGTAAAATCGCAGTTTTGCCACTGACGTCATTCGATTTAATTTGTTTTATGACTCCTTTGGGCCCTGACCCAGTGTGATAATAAGAATTAAAATGACACTGCCCTGCCAATGTGCTGTCATTTTTAATAGAACAAGAGAAGTACACAGTCGTTCCCTTTGCTCAATTAATTTAGGAATTAACCAAGCTCAACATGTTTTTAAAAATCATGAGCCATTCCACTCTGAGGTGGATGACCAGCGAAGCTGTTTAGCACACAGCACTGATGTGGCACAGAATTTTGAACAAAGGTACCAACGCATTTATTGTCTTGATCGGTGGTCATCGTGACGAAAGGTTTGCACACACATTTATTGTTGTCTTGATCAGGGGTCATTATTTCGCGTTGACGACTATCATTGCCTCGAGGAGTGGGAAGAAACTAGATACGCGGGACAGGATTGCTACCCCGGAAGAGCGGAAGGAAAGGAAACTAGGCACGCAAGCGGGGCTTGGAACGACGGCAAAGACGGTGGTGCGAGTGTAGACATGACCGACGTGGGTCGCTTAGCGGCACATCTTTAAGAAACCTTTATTATTTACCTGAGAGTCTACTGATCTTGGAAATGGTGCCTATTGATAACAAGTAATCTACTGATAGACTTGTTTCTAAATTACCCAAGCATCAAGCAGAATGCAGGGAATGGTGTTCCACGCGCCGCATGTGCAGGCGATAACGATAATTCTCTCCTTATCAACGGACTCCTCAACGCTGAGGCCGCTGCCTTCTATGTTCGCGCATTATCGCCGAACTCTGCCAAGAGCACGAAGCACGTCCGAGCAGGAGCACCTTCTCCTGCAGAGCGCCGTTTTGCTCTGCAAGTTGGCTTTCCCCTAAGGCTGGCGGCTGTGTTGGGGGAAAGCCAGCTAGCAGAGCAAGCTGGCTTTTGTTTTTCTTCCGGGCGGCCGCGTCAACCGCCCGGAAGAAAAAATAATGTTATATTTTGCCGACGGAGTGGGGAGAATGAGCAAGGAGCACCCCTCCGCAAAAGAGATTTTTTTTTTTTTTCTTCCAAGCAATCGATGCGGCCGCTCGGAAAAGAAAACAAACCAGCGTGCTCTGCAAGCTGGTTTTCCCCCAATGTGGTCGCTCGCATTGGGGGAAAGCCAGCTTGCAGAGCAAAACGGTGCTCTCGGCAGTTCGATATATCGGCAGTGGCTGCTATTTTTTAGAGCGCAGCTCTTAGGGGCCCGTTTCCGGCTTGAGCGGCGTCGCCGTCGCCGTCGGCGTAACCGCGCGGTGCATCATGGGAAATGTCCCATAATGCACCGCGCGACCCCACCAAGGTCACGTGACCTCGTGGGGGTCACGTGACCCCCCGAAGTCACGTGACTCCCCTGAGGTCACGTGGCCCCCTCCTCGAGGTCACGTGACCCCCGCCGATGTCGCGTGACCCCCCGATGACGTCATCGTCACTGATGACGTCACCGGCATCCACATCGTCATCGTCATCATCACTGATGACGTCACCGGCATCCACATCGTCATCGTCATCATCACTGATGACGTCACCGGCATCCACATCGTCATCGTCATCACTGATGACGTCACCGGCATCCGCATCGTCATCGTCATCATCACTGATGACGTCACCGGCATCCACATCGTCATCGTCATCATCACTGATGACGTCACTGGCATCCACATCGTCATCGTCATCATCACTGATGACGTCACCGGCATCCGCATCGTCATCGTCATCATCACTGATGACGTCACCGGCATCCACATCGTCATCGTCATCATCACTGATGACGTCACCGGCATCCACATCGTCATCGTCATCATCACTGATGACGTCACCGGCATCCACATCGTCATCGTCATCATCACTGATGACGTCATCAGTGACGTCACTGATGTCGTCACCGGCATCGTCATCGTCATCATCACTGATGACGTCATCAGCGACGTCACTGATGACGTCACCGACATTCGCATCGTCATCGTCATCATCACTGGTGAAGTCATCAGTGACGTCACTAATGACGTCATCGGTACCCGCATCGTCATCGTCACTGATGACGTCATCAGTGACGTCAGTGATGACATCGGCATTGGGGGTCACGTGACCCCCAAGGTAACGTGACCCCCCCCTGGTTAGTTTAACCCCCCCCCCCCAGTGCCCCTCCCTCCTCCTCCTCAAGAGCTGCGCTCTAATTCGGCGTTACAGGGAGTTGTAAGCGGCTTTTTTTTTACTATGTAACCATAGTTTTTGCTATATATTATCACTGTAACTTTACTGTGCACAAAAAGTGTTCGATATAAGGGATAATTTGATATAAACGGGTTCGATATAACCGGGTTTGACTGTAGCTCGCACTTGCAGTCTAGTAGAGGAACAGTTGTACATTGCAAAAAAGCTGGGAAGCAAAGAACAAAAATGAACACAGATAAGTATAAACTGTGTGCATACAATAAAAGAGCGGAGCTACTTTTCGAGCGAAAATGAGTCGGCGAGATGAGATCACTATGGCGCTTGCCATTTCTGGCTCTCGAGGCGTGGGAGCCGGGACTCGTAGAAGGTTACCTGTGGGCCGCGTGTTTGAGACTCCTGGTATGATGCATGAGTCAGCCAAGGTGGCATAGCTGAAGTGTAGTAATATAACAGGTGTCCTTAAATATTTTTATGTAATTAGCTGCGTGTAAATCTTTTAATTGGTTTTCATATTTTCAGGTCTAATATTTGTATTTGATTCAATGTGCAGTTAGTTTCACTGAACTTTTTATTAAATTCATTTACGTTTTAAAATTTGAATTCAATCATTGACGTCTTTCTCGCCCGTAAATGTCAGCTGGCACGCAATTTGTTTTTCTTGTCACTTTCTTCGACTTGGTTTTAGCTCTTTTTGGCATTTAAATTGACTTAATGCCCTAACTTGTAAACAATGTAGGTAATTACTGGCGGAGAGCTGACTGCCGTTGGCTTACATCCAAGTTATCTCAAAGTTGTTATGTGCTTCAGTTTTAATTCAGTCGATACTCGTGCTGAAGGCTTTGTTCCCTCGCAGGCTGGATCTAAGATTGAGAAGTACAAGACCAAGTCTCAGAGTGAGTATCTTTGGGTTCTCTTTCCGTGTCTACTTTTTTGCTAGACGGTTCAGCCGCTAGCGTCAGGCAGTGGTGAAGTGTATTTCATAAATAACTGCCTAAATTCGGTAACGGTTCCTCCACAACAAGGCTGCTCTATTTGACACACTTGGGGAAGGCTTCCTTATATCTGGTCAGTAAATATATTACTGGTCAGTTTATATTTTTATTAGCTAAATTATATATCCTTTAGACGTGGCCATTTCGCTGCTCCTAGCAGTCGTTCAGCCACCTCTCCTCCTTACAACGCGACTTTCTGACTTTCTTAAAACTTTTAGACCATGAGACTTTTTTTTTTTTTTTTTTTTATTAGATTTTTTAAGGGTTTTTTCAGACAGGGCAACTTTCCCAGAAATTTTATTGTTGCTTGCGACTGCGGTGGAAGAAATCGGAAGAACTTTCAGTAGAAGGAACAGACACAGAGACATTGAGACGTTCTCTGTGTCTGTTCCTTCTACTGAAAGTTCTTCCGATTTCTTCCACCGCAGTCTCAGGTGTAATACGACATGATTAGCTACCACCAGCTCGCCTGCACACTCACCGTCTTGCTTGCGAGTTGTTCCTTAGCTTTCCCTAGATCCTAAATTAAGTTGCTGGGAGAAACTTTCCTGTCTAAAGACAGCTCTTTCAAAACGCCCTCGTTAATTCTTAATTATTCCTAGAATTGCGTTAAAATTTCCATTTCCCTTTCCACCAAAATTGAGACCTAAAATTCTTTAAAGAAGGGAAAGATTTCCTGCGTGGAGCATCACTGGGTGCCACTGTTTGCTGTCTCCAAGGACTGTGGCAGGCAACGGCACAAAACTCGTGCGACGCCATTGGACGGAAATTGAGGGACCACCCTTGACGAAGCAGGGATCACACCAGTCGGAGATTCCGATCACCGTAATTTCTAATAACGAGTGGGATTTCACCAGCAGTCCTTAGATGCGGTTTGATTCCCCCTAGGTCCGAATATTTACAGATTCTTGGCTCGTGCACACCGCGATAGGAACGACATCTGACTGTGCGCTTCTTCCCCAATTCGCAGTGGACAGGATGTTTGCCAAGAGCGGCCCGTCGACGATGAAGCTCACGGTCAAGGGTTTGGCGGTCGTCGAGCCAGAGTCGGGTGGGTGGAGTGTCCAGTCGTTCCTCTCCGTCTTTTGAAAATATCGGTGGACCGCCGACAAGAAAAATTAATTGAGAGGGGCCTTTGTGGCAGTGATCTTGCGCTTCGTGCAAAGATGTGGACAATTTCCCGGCCTCTGGGGCCTTGACAATCGGCCGCAAATGCATACTACGCGATGCGTTGCTGTTCTTGTGACGCGCGAAATGGCCCCCTGTTGGGCCTGGCCTTGCAGGCGGTCGTGCCGCCGGTTTTTAATGCGAGAGCATTAACTGGTCCCATGGAGTGAGCTGACGTCATTAGTTTGAAGCACGACAACAGCGCCTAGTTTCCTTGATTCCAAAGGAGCAAAGTAAAGCGGATAGATTTCGCCTTCGGCTTCATTGGCTGGCCCGCGTCAATGGGGCTCCCATTGGCCGCTGCGCTTGTCAGTTTCCACGACCGCTCACCCCATGGTGTTGCGTGGTCCATCAGCGCCCGTTAACATGGAGCTTCCAAGGTCAGCGTGGGAACACGCACGCTGACTGGCGGCGAAAAGTATGCAGCAGATGAAAAAGGGAGCAGACGAGCGGCTTGCATGCTTTTGCATTCACAACTCATAAGAAGTGCTTAGGTGTACCTCAATTTTTTTTAATCCGCACATCGTTTTGGCAGATGGAAACAATGTTTTCTGGTTGCATTTGGTCGCTTTGACATGCATCTTGGTGTCTAAGGTTTTGGAAAATTTTGGACATGCCCTCAGAATTGTCTCGTAACGAAAGCCATCATACTCTAGCCGCACGACCCATATAATAATTTTGAGGAATGATGTGGCCTGGTAGGGTTAACTTTTGAACCCTTTGTTCATATTGGTTCCAATTTTCAGGGTGAGTAGATTCCTATTCAGCATGATGACATCTAAAGTAGCAGTCTTATAGGCCAATTTTCCTGCATACTACACGTATCAAGCTCAAGGAGAAAGGAACTTCATTAGGAAATGTACTGAAATGATAAATGCAATCCACAACATGTTTGATTTAATGAGAAAAAGAATACCCATAGTGCAAGGTAAGGTACAAATTAAATGTAAAAAATGCAATTCTAAAAAAAAAGGGAAAAACGAAAAATATATTTGCATTTTAAAATTGTATTTTGTTTTTATCGTGAGGGGGTGAATTTTTTTTAGATTGTGAGTACCTTAAAGAAAAGGGGCTTTCAAGCGGATTCTCAGATCGAACAAGTATTGTCATAACTTAACCTACGGGCTCTAGGCATCGGAAAAAGATCCAAAATTACATCCGTCCGATGGCCAATCATGAGCGACAGCTTCTGGGTGGGCATTCGAAAAATGAATTTGCTGGGAAGCCGTCCCTCGTGATTGGCTGTCGCGTGCCCTCACCTGCTGTCTTTGCGCCACGGCACAGAAACAGGGGCGTGGCACAATCTTTGATTGGATTTTTCATGGGGAAATCGGCCGCCCTTGAATGTAATATTGGGTTTCTTACGATGCCTAGAGCCCATAGATTGAGTTTTGACAATAAATGAACAATCTCAGAAATTCCTCGGGAAATTTAAATACAGGGCAACTCTGAATGAAGTATTCTTTTGCACTTTCAAGACGTCCAATGATGCATCGCCTCATACAACATTTCCTGTCAAACAGTGAAACTGAGAAAAATGCATTTGAAGTTTCAACTTTAGTTTTCTCACTTTTTTACGAGTCCCAAGCACACAAAAGCTTCCTGGAGTATATAGGTAGGACCTTATTCTACGAGACTCCATTCTTCTCCTGACAATAGCCACCTGCTTGCGTCGTTTGTGGGCGAGCTAACTTTGGTAGTAGGCATTCCTTGACAAATAAATTGCCCTCGAATCAAGGGGCAAGCAATAATACTAAAGGAGAGCGACAAAGTAGCAATACGATCTGAAGAGGAAGATACTGCCAAAAGGGCATTGCCAAAATATGTTTTGTTGACCTTTTTTCTTTTGTCCACTCCATGCATTGGCCCTCAAAAGTTGGCTGGTAGTATCTTTAAAAGTCTTAACATCTTTTTATTAGGGCATCAATAAAGTGAAAAAACAAAAAACAATCCATGTGTGCATTCTTTATTAAGTTGCAGATGGGAAACATAACGAATTTCTCTTTCTTAATTGCATTACCAAACAATAAATTGATTGAAAATTAAATTCATATTGAAAAAGAATGGAAGGAGGTGCATTCAACGGGTCCAGATCTCTAACTTTCAATTAGCACCGTGGCACGTAAAATAGTTCATAACATGGTAGCTGTACAGCAGACATTATTGAAAACTGAAAATGCTCTTCAGACGGTGGGTGAAAATACGGCATTTTTTAAGATCAACTCTTCTTGCAATAAAATTAATTTTCTGGTCCACGTCCCCCATTAAGGCTTCTGAATACAGCCTAAAGGCGTAATTTCCGTCAGTGTCCTCACTTGCACGCACATGTTTGCAAGTACCTTGGATCTGACATGAGCCCCGACAACGCAGGCCTGGCGGACGTGGCGCACGTGTACACCCGCGATAAGGAGATCTTCAGCTCGGTGCTTGGCATGGTCGACGTGAGCAGGGGCACCAACTCCTACTACAAGCTGCAGTTGCTCGAGAGCGACCAGCGGAACAGGTGAGGGTCGCTCCACCCGTGCGTTACATTGCTGCACGCATACTACGTACCGTCGTCATCTGTCGTCGTTCATAATTTGAAAAAGGTGCGACAATTACATTGTCTTGTGGCGTCTTAGTTTTCCCACTACGTTGAGCCGAGATGCACCTCCCGCTGAATTTAGCGGGGAGGTCGCGTGGCATCGTATAACAGCGACATCACATTGTTGCATATTGTTACAGTGTGGCGTGACGTTGCCACATGTTCCTTGTGAAAATTGGTGGAATTTTCATGCTACATCTGGTCGCGTCACAATATATTTCTCCGTTAAATTTAGCGGAGAAATTTCTCCGCTAAATTCGACGGGGAAACTTCGATGTCACGCGACGCCGATTCCCCTCTAAATTTAGTGGAAGGCATTTCCAACCAAATTTAGCGAGCCACGTTGTCCACGCCGAATCCGCTGCAATGCCTCGCCTCGTGAGTGGCCTTTCTCTTCATTGGGTGAAGAGTGTGTTGCCCAGTTTAGGCACTACTTTAGAATATCCGAGCCGTCCACCGATGCATAACCTTGTGCTAAACACTCCCTAGCGCGGGCATTGTTGCATACAAGGTCCGTGGGCTTCTCCGCAGCTTTACTTTTTCAATGCCGAGACCAGGAGGTGTTCCTCGAGAACCCCCGCTCTAGAAGACTGCCGCCTGCCACAGGTACTGGGTGTACCGGGCGTGGGGCCGCGTGGGCACGAGCGTGGGCTCAAACAAGCTGGAGCAGATGGACACCCTGGAGGAGGCCAAGCACCACTTCAAGGCCCTGTTCGAGGAGAAAACGGGCAACCCGTGGTCCCAGCGCAAGGACATGGTCAAGCAGCCCAATCGTTTCTACCCGCTTGAGCTGGACTACGGGCAGGTGAGGCCATTCGAGTCGGGCTCTTTCGATTCCGTACCTTCTGAGAACTCGCTCGCGAGTTCGGCCACTTGCCCTCGGACGGGAAATGAGGTTGAGCGAGGGCCGTGAGTTAGGTGAGGGAATTCAGGTGAAGTGCGAGTTCGTTAGTTTGGCTGAATTCGTGAGCTCGGTGAGTTTGATGTGTTCATGAGTTTGGTGAGTTTATTACTTTTGGTGAGTTCATTTGTTTGATGAGTTTATGAATTTTGTGAGTATGGCAAGTTTAGTGAGTTTGTTAATTTCAGAGTTTTTGAGTTAGTGAGGGTTGGTGGAGTAGTGGGTTTGAAGTTTGTGGTGAGAAAATGGCTTTTCTTAATTTTTGGCTGGCTGTGTGCGAGCGAGTTCATTTCTAAAGTGCCGACCTCTCCGCCGGGTCTATTCTTGCCCAGGTGTTTTACTGAAACAATCTGCGAGAAGGTTTTATTTCGTCTTAGATTTGTTTCCTTGTTTGTAGCATGTACAACATGGAGTGTATTTCATATTCTGTTGCGATCCCAGGAGAGTGGTGGCAAGATGGAGAAAATGAAGCCCAACAAGAACTCGAAACTCCACCATGCGGTGCAGGAGCTCATCTGCATGATCTTCGACATGGACAACTTTAAGAAAACAATGGTTGAGTTTGAGGTGAGGGGCCAGTTCTTTTCTTTGTCGTGTTGGCAGCAAGAAGTCTTTTTTTACCCTAATCATTGTAGCATTAAATTGTTATGGATCTTTCCAATGTGTTCTTCAGAGGGGGTAGCACTAATTGTTTGACCTTGCAAAGTGCTTCTCTAGCCTCGAACAATACCCTTGTTTGCTGGGATTCCTTCCTGCGTCAAATTGTCAAATTTCTTTATTATTGCATCTAGCAGGTGATTTCGGCGTCGTTTTGTTTTCTTATTTGCTTGCCCAGAATAGCGCAGTCCACTAAGGAAAAAACCGTGCATAAAATGAATGATGTAGTAACAAACATACAATGAAGTGCCTTCAAGTCTATAAAAAGTGACACTGCTCTCCGATGTCAGAGTTGGCAACGAAAGAAATGTGTATTGCCTGATAAAAAAACTTTGCTATATGTTACTTATATGGCAGATTTAGATATGATTGGAAAGTAATTGATGAAAAGTATATGACAGAGTGCTGGCAGTTTTTTTAGGGTCCTTGCTCAAGGATTAAGTGAGTCCATACAGAACAGAAAGGCAGCAGAAGCTGGTTTAGGGCATTCAGAAAAGTAATTCCCTGGAGAACTGCCGAGGTGTTCCGTTATATTTGGCTGTACATGTGGGGAAGTGGGCATCAAACTTTTAAGCTTTTTTTATTCCTATAGATATCTGTATGAAATCTTCAGGGTACATTCATAGTGCATATATAAGAGTAACTGCCACGTTTCATAAAGTTGTGCCTCAAGTACAAACATTTCTCAGAATGGTCCATTTACTTATTTTTGTCTCAGGCCTGGCGAATTTGCAACATAGTGGGGATGTGATATTTGTTATAACTATTCCTAGATAGGCACTCCAGGGCATGACAAAGCCCTTTTTATTCATTTAATTGCGAAACAATTTTAGCGCAATATTGAATCCATGGCTTTTATTTTTTTGTTTTCTCTCGAGCGAGCAGCATTACAAGCGAAAATCAGTAAAATTGCAAGCAGGATTGTGCCATGTGAAACGGCTTTACACCGTAGAGTAGTTCGAAGTGTCCTTATGCACTTTCTCGTTCTGCTTTTCTGAATTTGCATGAACTGCACTCGTGCGCCAAATGCGTACACCGTCTCATACTTCATCTTCCGCATTGCATGCAGCCATGAAACACACATGCAAAGTATGCAAAACTACTAAAACAAAGTGCTGCAAACGATCATGAAAGTGGCGAAAAGTGAAGCGGAGTTTACAAAGCGCGGGAGCAGCAAGCAGCCGTAGCAGACGACGCGAGGTCGTGGAGGCGCAGTTGCCATGGCAACGGAGGGAAAACAAGCGTTGCAGCCAATGGTACGGTCAATCTTGGCTTTGGAATCGCGAGGCGGGAAAATGCCGATTACGCCGACACTGCGTGGCGGACACTGTTTTGTAGGGCGGGAAAAAGGGGAGAAAACTCCGCTTCAAACCAAGACCAAAATGGCGGTCGTCCACCAAGTTCGAACGTGAGCGGCAGTTGCTCAATGTCCTTCTCGATTTTGTGGCTTCTGCGCGATTTAGGTGCCGCCAAGGCCTTGTAAATGTTGTTTTCAACACATTTTCTCGGTGAAGTAGGTGCTAATAATTACAGAGAATGTAGCGTAGATGTAGAAGCCGGCGGGTCTTGGACGAAGGAACGCTGATTGAGCACGACCGCAGACGTGGAAACGGGTGGAAGGACGCGCCTCCACTGGCACTCGTGTCGCTCGCCCGTCAGCAAGTGGAAACCGTCCGACGTGCTGACGACGGGGTTGTTGTCGCAGATTGACCTGACCAAGATGCCCCTGGGAAAGCTGTCCAAGAGGCAGATTCAGCAGGCCTACTCGGTGCTGACCGAACTCTCCGAGGTGAGTCGGCGGATTTCACGAGTTGCTTGAAGTTGCATTTTGTTGTTCCTCCCCTTGTATGGAAAGGAGCAGTTGTTCCTACTACGGTGGGCGTTCAATGGTGAGGCTTCCCAGCGGATTCTCGGGTGTGTTTCCGTAGGGTCATCGTGATGCAGAAATTCCTTTGCTACATTTCACGCGAAAATTTCCCCTCCATGTTTGGTGGGGAAAATTCTCGTCTCAGTACCAAGTGACGTCCTGACTCGGCGCAGTGATGTCACTGCACGTGATGACTTTACGTCGCGTAGCACTATGATGCCGCGCAACACCACGACCACGTCCTGGTTAGTGCACAGTGCCCTGGCTGTCGCCGCAGTTGATTTGCTGGACGTGGCAAAGAGCCGCGAAATTTTTCTTTCTTTCTGGTGCAAACCTCATTCTCTTTGTGCGTCTTGGGATGTCTGAATCGCAGCTGATCAAGAACGGGGGCAGCGAGTCAAAGTTCCTGGACGCTTCCAATCGCTTCTACACCCTGATCCCGCACGACTTTGGGATGAGGAAGCCCACCATCCTCAACAACGATGAGCTCATCAAGGTCAGTCCCTCCCTCCCGGAAGCGTGCGGCAGCGTACTCCGTAAATAGGCGCTTCCCGATCTCTGTCAGCCTGCGATCCATCAAAAATGTTAAATATTGTCGTCCCAGTCGTGCTTCTATTTTTAAGGGATGACGTTTTGAAGTAGGAGCATTCTTCGGAAAATTGTTCGTGACTCAAAATGATCAGCGACGCAAATATTGCGCTAAAAATGTATTTCTTTTCCATAAAACTTTTTTTTTGGTCACATTCTGTATTTATTTGCATAATGAACGCACTCGCATAATAAACGCACCCCCCGAAGTGGGTACCAATAGGTTCTGGGAGTCTCTAATTGCGCCCAGTTTAGCTAGCCACCAAGCCAATTTGTTTTTTTTGCCGCCAAGCGGTCGGGTTAAGTCAAGTCAAGCCCAGCGGCTCTCTTAATGGCTGCAAGTGGTGGCAAGTGCGTAGTTGCGGAAGTGATCAACCGTGAAACCGAGCGGCGCGCACACTTGACGAAGCTTGGGGTCGAGGAATTTCCCAGCCCCGGACATTTTCGCCTATCGGATGCATTGATGATGTCAGCAAACACGCCGTCACCTGTAATCGGCTTTCGGACAGCGAGTGAAAGTGGTTAGGCCTAAGAACGGTCGCGTTGCTGTCCGTGCTGAGTGAGCTTTGTAGGGCGCTTTCCCTTCAACAAAAGGCGTGCCAAATGTGCACGATTCACAATTTACAAGACATGGTTCCCGTGGCGCACCCCTGACCAGCAGCGGGTGTGCCTCCATCAGTGGAGATGTGTCGCAGTACCTTGCCGCGTCATAGATGGCACCTACTATGACATATGCACAAAATGTGTGAATGCAATAATTTTACCCCACGTAATGAACGCCTCCTCCCCCCCCTCCAAATACATTTGAGCCCGGTTATATCACATTCGGGTATTTCAAATTATTCTTTGTATCGAACAGTCCAAACATGGCCGAACTAAGCACACTAAGCACGCCCTCAAACTAAGCACGGCCGCCCGCGCCCGTAGCTTTTTCTGCGGTCAGATTTGCGCAGCGAGCACAGAGCTCGCGTTGCGGGTCCGGCAGACTGCCAAGCCAGCATACGGGCACGGGGATACATACGCAGGGAAAGAGCAGTTGTAAGAAAAAGAAAAACAACCTTTAAAAAAAAAAAAGTAGAATAACAAAAGCAAAAAGCAAAAAAAAAAAAAAATTGAGGATGGGAAGGGGGCGTGCATGCAGGGAGGGCAGGCAGTGCCCGCTGAACGATAACCTGCGCTCTTTCCACGAACACTGCTGTTGCTGCGCAACTCCTTAAAGGACACATGCAAAGGAAAAAAGCATTTTTTTTAGACAGCTTAGATGGAAAAACGATGTCATAAAACAATTTTACAACGAAGAAAAAAAATTTTTAGAGCTATATTTACGACGCTATACGAATTTGTAGTTGGCGCTCGCGGGTAGGCCCGCGTCTACCCGCGGGCCCACGTGGTAGGCCCGCGCTCCGCCGCGCTGCGTCGCCGCCGCACGCTGAGCGTTGTGCGAACGCCGCTTCAACGCGTTTCTCCACACCGCCGTCGCCGCCGCCGCACAAGTTCGTCTGCTTCGGGGCGCCGCCGCCGTCGTCTGACCGGCGCACAGGTCTATCACGTCTGCTTGCGCTTTTTCAGGAGTCTCTTTTGGGCTCTAAAAGTTACTTATTCATCTTAGTTTTTTTTTATACTTCAAACAAAGATGAATAAGTTACTTTTAGAGGCCATAGGAAGCTTCCGAAAGAGCGCAAGCACCACGTGATAAATAAGGACCAGTCACGTGATAAATACGGACCACTTTTCCGCGGTGCCCGCGGGCGCCAACTACACATTCGTTTTGCGCCGTAAATATAGCTCTAAAAATTTTTTTTTGTTGTTGTAAAATCGTTTTATGACATCCTTTTCCATCTAAGCCGTTCAAGAAAATGTTTTTTTCCTTTGCATGTGTCCTTTAACCCCAAAACAAAATGAGTAAAAAAAAAAAAAAGAAGTTTTCGTCAAGTTGAGTGTATTGACTACAACGGTTGAGCAATCACACTTTGAAGGCTTTATTTTTGTTTACCTTCTCTTTTCCCCGTTATTGCTTTACCCATTTTTTTTACCTTTCTTTTTTTTTTGCCTGAATTTAGTGAGGTTTCCTTTTTGTTGTTTGCTTGACTTTATTTCATGAATCAAGAGTTTATTTTTTTAATCAGCTCGCTTTTTCCGGTTTTTCATTTTTTAAAATTATTCTTGTGTTTTGTGTGGAGGTCGTGGCCAAGCGTAAATGATCGCAAACATTTGTGATATCCACTCACTAAACTCTACTGTATTTGGTGGCTCTTAGAGGCTCTATTAGGTCCCGTTTGTCGCGGCCTTAGGTATTAGCAGAGATGCGCGGAATTTTCAACTGGGAGGAGCTTAAATTAACATATTTTTGTATGTCAAATTATCGATATATCAAACTATTTCACGATCCCCTTTGAATTCAATACAGTGTAATCCACTTATAACGATACCAGATATAACGATATATCGCTTATAGCGATCAAATTTTTTAGATTTGATCGCTATTTTTTTAGATTTGATTTGATCCAGATATAACGATAATCGGCTATAACGATTGGATTTTGCGGTTTTCTCAATATCGTTATAAGTGGACTGCACTGTACATTCGGGTTCAACTATGTGTCAATGTTTCGAGAAAAAACTGTGTTTATTATGCGAGTAAATATAGTACATGTTTTACCTAGGCACTTGAAATGTTTTTTTGGGAGTTCTGTGTTGTAGGAGGGATTTTCAGATGTACTACTATTTGGGGGAAGCGCCTTACTCAAAATATCTCTCAACTTAAAGGGGCCATGAAACGATTTTTCTGCTTCTTCTTGGCTTTCCTTCTCAACTTACAAATCTCACAACATTACCAAACATTTCAAGAGGAGGGAAAGGAGCAACTCCCTCTTCTCGCTTGGACCCTTTAAGTTGTGTTTGTGTACCCGGGCGTCGCCATTCTCCCACTACGAGTTTAGTCCGTCGCTCAAAATTTGGACAGAAGTTGCTTTCCCCTAAGCTGACAGTGCTGTGAAAGCTATGTGTTCGTTGGACCGGCCACACTTTTGTCTTTTTCCACGTGATCACACGCTCCCTCGCGTGTGCGCACGAGCAGAGAATGGGGTCAGGCGATGATGGGTCCTGCAAGCACGTAGCTCCCACCAGACTGTCCCAGCTTAGGGGTGACCGGAATATAGTGAGGCCAGATGTCTTGTGATGTGCTTTGGGGCCGGGTGGCGTGCCTTGGGTACTGCAGTGAAAAGGTGGAGAGCTTTCGAAGGACATGAAGTACGAAATAGTCCGCTGTTCTAAAATTTTTGTACCGAAAAGCAGTCTTTTGGTTTTCTCTTGTCTTTCTTTTGGCCCACTAAACAATATGCTATTAGTAAAATCACAATCTGAATTTATGTATCCCTACCCAAAATTCATTTCTGGCCCCTTCAATATATTGCTCTAAATAAAGAAAAATTTATGGCAAGACTTTTTTTTTTTTTTGCTGATATATGTGTTTTTATTCTGGCAATTCTAAAATTGTGTTGGTGAAGTTTTAAGTTCAGGAGCTTGCATAGGAATGAACAAATGGAGGAGGTAGGAATGAACAAATGGAGGAGGGGAGCGGGCCGTGAAGTAGAGAGCCTTTGCTTCTCCGACGCAGCAAAAGATTGGCATGGTGGACTCCCTGCTGGAGATTGAAGTGGCCTACAGCATGCTCAAGGCGGAGGCTACGGAGACTGGCACACACCCCGTGGACTTCCATTACAGTCAGCTCAAGGCGGGCATCGAGGTGGTCTGGAGGGACTCCGACGAGTTTGCCCTCATGAGCAAGTATGTGGAGACCACCCACGCCGAGACCCACCGCTCTTACAAGCTGCAGATCCTGGAGGTAGGTTGCGGTTGCAGTTATGGTTGCGGTTGCGACCGCGTTTGGGGTTCCGACCATGGTTGCGGTTCTGGTTGTGGTTGTGGTTCCAGCGATGGTTGCAGTTGCGGCTATGGTTGTGGTTATTGTTGCAGTAGCGGCTACGGTTGTGGTTGCAGTTGTGGATATGGCTGCTGCTATGTTTGCAGCTGCGGCTATGGCTGCCTATGCGGCTGTGGCTGCAGCTTTGGTTGCGGCTTCGGCCATAGTTGCAGTTGCGGATATGGTTGCGGCAATGTTTGCTTCTGCGGCTATGGTTGCAGCTATGGCTGGGACTATGGTTGCGGCTATAGTTGTGGTTACGGCTAAGGTTGCTGTCGCAGGAATGGTGTCTAGAACACGTCTTTGGCTGGTGTGTTTAGCGTCCTATACCGAGCATGCATCGAAAGTCATCCCATAGTGGCAGCAGACAATTTCACGAGAGCTGGCGTGCCATGTTGTCAGATGCCGCAATCCCGGTAATTAATTGTAAAAGTTTTGGAAAAAAAACAAAAAAACTGGAGGGTTGCCATTTTTACGGCGTCCCCAACTCCAGGCTGCCGGAGCTTCCGTGGGCCGTTAAGCCGAAGTGCGACTCGCAGGAGTCGCACTTCGGCTTAACGCACACGCCAACCTTGTTGGCGGCGCTATGCCGCCAACAAGGTTGTGGCCGGCAACGGCACAACAGTTGCGACGTTGTCGGGTGGAAATGGAAGGCGGCACTTTTGCGTATGCAGTAAACACCAGTCGGAGACACGTTCCGAACATAGTGTCACGCTACCGTGCCCGGTACACTTGTCTTACCGGCGCGTTTACTGCTCAGTCGTTTGTGGTCTTTCGATCTCCACCTGTCGATGCCTATGTCCCACTGTTGCCGACTGTGACCTTGGCAAGTGCGCGGCAGGGGGGTCGGATGCGGCAGACTTCGGTTCTGTCGCAGGTCACTCTTCGACTTTGTGCTCCGTGGAAGTTCGAGCAGTTGGGAGATGTGGATGGTGCGAGGACGGCTGCACTCGCGTTCGCTCCTCTTTCTTGCTAAAACTCTTACAACCCACTTTTGGGATCGCGACGTCATATTTTGCCGCTTTGAAACCCCTTTTGTCGACGCATTCCGGACACCGTACTCGTATGACGGTTGGCGCGTTCCGTACCTGATGCTGGAAGTTTGCCCACTCGTGCAGCTGTTCAAGGTGGCCAAGGACGGGGAGGCCAAGCGCTACAAGCCCTTCAAGAAGTTGCCCAACCGGAAGTTGCTGTGGCATGGCTCCCGGCTGTCCAACTATGCTGGAATCCTGTCCCAGGGGCTGCGCATTGCTCCTCCAGAGGCCCCCGTGGTGAGTGGCCAGGCAAACGTCGTCTGCTTGCCGGAAGTTTTGGACAAACCACATACCTCATTATAGGGAAATGGTTATTTTTTAATTATCACTCTTGTCGAAGTTTATTGTGGTCCCGACCGATATGCACTCCTTTTGAACCGGATTACTCGAAGTGTATCGGTGGCCGACCATGCTTATTATGAAGGCCGAGGGGCCGAAAGCACGCAAGCCTACACTGAGGCGCACAGAGACCCTTGCGGCAAACAAGAAAATAGAGAAAACGGGGGACGGAGGCCGGAGCACGCAGAGCGCCGCTTCCGATGCGTCGTTGCGGGCAGGGAGCAGCGTCCCTGTTCCGACGCTGTCCGACTCCTGTCAGAATTGAATCGGGGGAGCGTTGGAGCCCGGAGCAGGCCATCCCTTAAGGTGCCCCCAACGCTTGTGCCTGTGAAGGCAGACCTGCGGTATACACGTGTGTCGTATGGAAAAGTGGGAGTGTTTTGCCGAAAGTCGCTTAGATGCGAGAAGCGGCCAGCCCAAGTTCGTAATCGCCGAAGGTTACGGCATACCGGCATTAGCTGTTTGACACTGTCCACCATTTTGCAGAATGAGCAAAACATACTGGACGGGTTCGAGAAGTTTCTCATGCAAAAAAAAGTGCGCCTGCGTCCTGAAGATGAAAGATAGCCAGCCGCTTTGCTCACGTCCTATTTTTTCTCATAAGCTTGTGCGTGAAAATCAGCGTAAGCATCACTTTGCAATTTTTCATTTACAGCAGATACCCATTCACCCTTGTATTCATTCTCCTCGGACATGAGTCGATTGTATCCCATGGAAAGGTATTTAACTTCCTAAAGGATACCCATATCTTTAAACTTGTTTAAGTATCTTTTAAACTTTGTTTACTGACGTTAGGGAATAATAATAATAGCAGCTATCAATAACCATGCCATTGGTGCTCTTCGGCCAAATCTGGCCCTTGCGCTATTAAAACATGTTCGTTCATCCTCACAAGCGTGCTTGCCGAGTTTGTGCACGATTTTCAGAGGTGCAACAATCTCTACAGGAGTGTGTGCAAACATGTTGGCAAAGCTACCGAGGATAGCTTTGATTTGTTTGCACTTGTCGATCCAAACTCCCGTTGTTTTTTCCCGCCACGATGCTGCAGTCTTAGACCTTGCGTGCGGCCAGGGTAAACACGAAGCGACGTCGGAGAGGCACCTCGGGAAATGCCCACGACTGCAGAGGCGCGAAACGTCCTACAGCTGCTTTGAAACAAAGTGGAGTGCAGCGGCGGTGACAGCGTTCTTGGGGTGCCTGGAGCAGTTTGAGGAGGGCCAATGCCCGGATAAAATTACAGTCTAAGCTCGTTATAACAGACCTTGATTTTGACCAAGATTTCGGTCTGTTGTAAGAGGAGTATGTTGTATGCAGATATGAAGTTGAGTCAACGGTATGTAGAGGAAAACCAACCGAACTTCACAAATCGGTATGTTATATCCAAATGTCTGTTGTAACCAGGTCGGTTGTAACGAGCTTAGACTGTATTGGCGAAATCCTCCTAATTATTTTTTACTCTGTAAAGCTGCCGCGAAATGTTCATAACCAAGGTTTGTTTGATAAGATATATACTGTCAGAATGTTCCGGTGTGTTTCCGTCCACCTTCAAGGCTGCTGGCGCTGTTTTTTTAGCTCTATCGCTTTTATCGAGTTGCCGCTTATATTGATTTTTTTTTTTGCCATCCCATTGACTTTGTTATAATGAGGGATTTACTGTATTGGCAGCTTTAGTCTTTAAAGTACTGTGAAGCACGGAGCAGTTTTCGTGTGGGCGATTCGGGGAGTGTAGGCAAATCAATGAGGTAGAGGGGCTTAGAGCGATAAACCGGGGTTCCGGTCTGCACTCGAAAGTGACCCCCATAAGGCGGCTGCCATTGTACGCAAATTTGACCACTCGTCATATGACCAAACCAAAGACGTGACGTCACAGGAAAGATGGCAGCGCCCATGCAGCGGCTGGTCCCAGCTGGGCCGGAGCATTGGCCGGAGCTTGTCGGATGCTTTGTTCGTTGTCGTTCGTCTCGGCGAGTTGATTTTAGACGCGGAAGCCGTTGTATGAGGTTGTATGAGGCCGGTCGAAAGCGGCTTCAGAGTTCAGCGTGGTGTCCGACGTAGGTATAACGTGAAAATACGGTGGAACGGTGAGCATTTCGCTAGTGACCTACGAGGATATTGCCACGAAGAAGACAATCGGCCCTACGTTGCTCGGACCTCGGATTGACTCGGACACCGTTAGGATAAATTTTAAGGCGACGTTTTTGCGCTCTCGTTGACCATCGGAACCTTCGAGATCTGCAGTAAAGCGTGTGCAATATATTTGGAAACACAGTTTAGCGACGGAAATTGCGCGAGTCGTGCTTGACAGTGTGCAATCGTGGTGTCACTTCGTTCAAATGCCCGAAGGCTCACTTTGGTTGTGCGGTACACCGGAGAGCTGCCTTGCCGCTTGTAGTTCCTGTGCCGTGCTAAATGATACTGTGCTGCTTCCCAAATTGTTCTGGCGTAGACGTGCACTTTCACGGAGCACAGGTGTGCGGCGCGCCGAAGAGCTGCCTTCAAGCTGGTAGTTCCTGTGCCGTGCTTTAGGTGATGCTGTGCTGCCTACTAAATTGTTCTGGCGTAGACGTGCACCTTCACGAAGCACAGGTGTTGCAGTTGGTACTGATTCCGCTGGTCGGTCGCACGTTTTGTCGACACCAAAGTTTCATCAACACTCGTTACGCGAATTGCAAGCTGTATGGACATTTCATCGCGCGTGTTACCTACCCAGTCCAATTCACGCCGCTTTGCGGCGGCAGTCTGCTGCGGCTCATTACCAGAAAAGTGGTCTCACATCGATTTCAGTTCTGCTCGTTCACGGCAATTGCCAGACCGCGAAGGAGAGGATTTATTCGGACAGAATGCCACTAAAGCAGTGCAACTGCTTTAGTGATCAGGATAGACTCTTTTCTGCCTGTTTTATTATATTGTCGCGGATGCTTGGTCCAGTCCTATTTTCTATCAATATTTACTATTCTGGAAAGTTCCAGGCCATGCTCAGCTGTCATTGTATGTTCTGGTTAGACAGTCATTTCAACTGGAGACTTCTTCGAGCGAAGCGGCATCTGACGAAACGAGGGCGACTTATGCCACAAAGTCACAACGACCACCACCGGCTACCTGTTACTATTCAATGTCAATTCAACGAGACACCCCAACGCCAAAGCATTCCCAACATCGGGAAGAACCAGTGTAGGTCCGCACTGAACAATGTGCACCGAGGAAAACGGAGGTACTGCGAATGGCCGACCGAAAACCACTCTGCTACCACTGCATGAGGCCGACCATGTCTACTGGAGGTGCCCGTACCAATGAATTGGCCTGCAAGGGTTCGTGCCGAACGACCCTCGACCACGTCTCGACGAGCGACCGGAGAAGATTGAGGATTATCTTCGGCGGTCTTTGTCCCTGGTGCCGACATTACCCCGAAGCTCGTGATCTACTTCATCTGGACGGGAGGTAAGCACGACAAAGCAGGTGAGCGGCAATGCAAGGAGAGTTGATCTGGTGTCGGTTGTCGTCCAAGGACAATACCTAATAATTTGCTGACACTAATTATCTGTCTCCACGCCACGAAGCACACAATTTCCGACTTTGAGGGAGAATGCCGCTGAGTGACTTGAAGAAATAGAATGGTTGGTTGCTCTCAAAAGTGGACTGCAAGCATCACCAGACTTCACTTTGCCACATGAGACTTACACAAGTTGCAGTGGTCGTGGGATGCAGAATAAGTCTCCATTACGAAATGGAAGTGAAATGGCTTGGATATCAAACAAACATTGTCGCCAGGTATCAAGTCAATGGTATAGCAAAAGGCACAGCCACATAACCAATACATGCCCGAGCTTGCTGCATTGATGCAGAAAACTACCAGGAAAATTTTGCGGATTAGAAGCCAGCCCTGCAGCTTCAGTGCATCAGATGTCAGTGGGCGCATATGACATATGATTACAAGACGGCATCAGTCGGTCAAAAGTTGCTACTCGACCAAACTGAACACCGACGTGCCAGGAGCGTCATCCCACAACAAGGTCCACAGGTATTACGACTGAACGCCTGACAGGAGACTGTCGCAGAAAGAACTCGTTCTGAAACCATTAACTAAGGATCAATAATTATGTAATCCAGTAGAAATAAACATATTTAATACACTAACCAGATAAACCTATTTCCGCTTGCCTTTACGCCTTGAGAGTTTATACACCAAGGATTGTGCTCACCAAATGCGCAGGTCCTTTTGAGGACACTCGCATCTCTGACCCTTCAATATTAATTAATGGGACATACCAGACTGACAGACTTGTTGCATTGGGCTGCACTCATTCCACTTCTCCTGAACACACCTCTGAGCATATACTTTAATCGTATGTGTTGATGCATTGTTATATAGCAGGACACTTCCTATGCGTATGACACAATAGACCCTTTGCAGAACCCCATCAAGCAACATAACTGTCACAATTTTTTTTCGGCGTAAAGCACACAAATGGACCCCAGTTCACGTCGAATGCTACGCAGCATTCGAGTCCAATAGGCGCTGAGCCGAGTTCACAGTGATGGCGGACATAACATTCTTGTCGAACAAATGACCAATGTATGAAAGCCTGCGGTAATTAGAGTAGTAGCTACTGTAATTTGTTTCATCACAATTTGGCAAACAGCAAAGGCTAAAGTCTCGGCGAGCCAATATGCATGTTGGAGAGAGGCACATGGCAACATGTCATTCAGAGTGCTCGTCTGCACAGATTTGTCACACACCTTCGCTCTGTCTCTCCGATTGGCTCGAGGGGGCTGTGGCGGTTGCCCTTTTCCAAGTTACAATGATACAAAGTATAGGCAGCCCACACTTTTCAAAAAAGTCTATTAAGTAACCGGAAAAGAATGGTCAACATTTTTTAACAAGACTGCTCTTCAGGCAAGGGATGAACACAAATATGAATAATCTTATCCAGGTAATTAGAACAAGTAAATAATTGATAGACTAATACAATGCACTCTTGATGAAAAAAAGTATTGCTGCAACAAATCCTACGAAAGAGAAAAAGGTGATGTTAATCTACGCATACAGAAAAACAGTTGTTCTTATTGCAAGTCGAATAACTTAGACGCTGGTGCCTCCAACGATTTATTCATCCCCACACTCAATAAAACGTCATTCTCGTAGCTGAAGATACGTGTGTACTTCGCACTCACCAAAAAAGGATGAAAGCGATCGAATGTAGAATCGTCGATTAGCACAAAGGGTTAAAGATCGCAGGAGCTTCCTCGCTAAATGTTGCTATGGTTATTCGGTGACGCAGGCCTGAAACAACTTCTCCTAGACAACTTCTCCTAGACCCTAACCGACGTATACCTTTCGCATCGATTCTCAGACATTCCAACGTTCAAACAAAGCTAAGAGAATACGAAAATTTTATGCTAAAACCACTCAAAGTTATATCGATCCTCGAACAGATCACGAATCCGAGCACTGGTACGGCGATACGGCTGATGCTGTCTCACAGTTGTTAATATCCAGATGATACAGAGCGATCTTGAGGAAAAAAGGTATAAAGTCTCATTCCTTCATATTTTCACATTATACCTGCGTCAGCGAGCACGAAAAAGCCCGAAATCGTCGGAAAGCCGCTGCACATCACGGCTGCCGCGCACCGAACAAACTCGCATCCGCCAGCTCTGGGCGCTGCCATCTTACCTGCGACGTCACGGCTCTTGTGAGGTCACGTGACGAGTGGTCACATTTGCGTAAAACAAACAACCGGGGAGGTGCCACTTCCAAACTTCCGGTTTATTACTCTAAGCCCCTCTACCTCGTTGAGGCAAATGTACCGTAAATGCATTGCGTGTGCGGGAGCATTTCTTTCACTGACATTCTCCCTTTGTACCCCGCTGCATAATAAGGTAGGAACTGCGTACCGTTAGTGCTGCCGCGCCTCTATCGCATTTGGATGAAAAAGCCAGGGGATTCTAAGGAGAATGGAGACTTACCTGAGACACTAGCGTTGGGTTGCAGACGAAATCCTAAATTGCTGTTGCGCATGCGATGCACGCAGTTACGCATTCTTTGCTATTCTTAACACTTTGACTGTGAAGGCTTAAAATGTGAACCCTGGTAACTGAGTGTCTTCCCGCTTTTCTTGCAGACGGGCTACATGTTTGGCAAGGGCATCTACTTTGCGGACATGGTGTCCAAGAGTGCCAACTACTGCTGCACCTCCCCCAGTAACCCTGTGGGCTTGCTGCTCCTCTGCGAGGTGGCCCTGGGAAATATGTGAGCCCAACCCCCCCTCTGTCCCTTTCTGTTCACTCACACATGCGTCCTCCATCCCCATTGGCTACGCTGCATTTGCGCTAGTTTCCGATCAGTCGGTTGCGTTTATGATGACGGAAGAAAAACAGTTTTTTTATGGGTCTGAAATTGAGGTTAAAGGGCACTGGCACCTCTAAATTAATGTTTTTTTCTGTTCTTTATCAACTCGGAATCTTTTCATATACTACCCCGAAAAATTGCAATAAAAAAATGTTTTAGGGGCGAAGCTCATTAGGCCCTAGCCGTGTCCGGTGTCCGTGCTCACATCGATTGCACTACCTCCGGGATCGGCCCACTTTAAAAATGTACGCCTGCACGGGGGTTTGAACTCAGGACCGCTTGCTTACGAGGCAGACGCCTTAACCACTATGCTACACTCTAACATTGCATGTAGCCGGTTAAGGTCTATACCATGGGTTCTCAAACTGGGTTCCGTGGAACACAGGGGTTCCGCGGAGTGCTCACTTGGGTTCCGCGAGCACCCAAGTCAGTCCCCCCATCCTACACACACATACGGACACGACGAGAAGACGCGGGGCTTTGAGCTCAAAACGCGATTTACTATTCATCGAAGTACGCGGCACTCAGCCGTGCGGCCGCACGGCTGAGTGCTTGTTGAGCCTTTTGTGGAGGGCTCTTTTCTCGTGAGGCTAGCCTACCTGGTAGACATGTTTGAACACCTCAACATACTGAACCAAAGCATCAGGGCAGGCAGGTAACCCTAGTTAGTGCTGCTGACCAGGTCGGGGTCTTCTGCAGCAAACTGCAGGGCTGGATGAGCCACGTGAGCAGGGGAGACCAAAGCCCTTTCAAGAGGCTCTGCACCTGTGAGGCTCAACTTGCTCTGTCTGCTTCTGACAGAGCGGTGATCATGGCTCACATCAGTACGCTCAGGGCTCATTTAGCCGATTACTTTCCGGAGGTGGCCAGTGCTCAGTGGCTTGTGTCCCCCTTCCATGTGGGTATAACAGCATTCAACAATGAGGCCGTTGAGACTGAAAACGAGTTCCTTAAGCTCACTGCACTCACTGCAGTGAGCTCACTATTTGAGCTCACTGCACTCAAAGAGAAGTTCAGCAGCCAAGGTGTGGTTGCATTTTGAGTGGAGACTGCCTCACTGTTCCCACACCTCTTTGGCAGGGGAGTAGACATGCTTTTTCCTTTTGCAACTACATATGTTTGCGAGGAGGCATTCTCAGCACTAGGTTAGGTGAAAAACAAGCACAGGAATTGACTGAACCGGGCAGCAGATATGAGGCTGGCCCTAAGCGTGACTGAGCCACGCATCGATTCGCTGATGCGAGCAAGGCAACCCCACCCTTCACACTAATATGTATACTGTCTGACATTTTAATCCCACTCTTTAGTCTAAGGGGTGTTCCACTTTTTATTGTTTTATTTGTGCAACAAATATTTTGTGAACTCTTCTATTGAAAGTGTGTCCAGGCAGCAAAACAGTGGGGAAGGAGGGGGGGGGGGTGGGAGGGGTTCCTCGGCACTCTTTAAAGGTTGCTGGGGTTCCCCGAGGCCAAAAAGTTTGAGAACCCCTGGTCTATACAGTAGAGGGCGCTGCGGTCAAATGCTTATATAATCGCGTTAAACTTTGCATGCATTGGCTCAACGTTTATAGACGAGAGGGCGCTGCGGTCAAATGCTCAAATGCTTATAACCACGATCCATACCACACATCCTTTTTCTGACATGGACCGTTGACTTGAGCAGTGGAGATGCGCTCCCACGGCTTTAGCAAATCCAAGCTGATCCGCCAGAAGAACCACTGGCTCTGCATTTCACCGACCATAAAGCAGTAATAATGAAGTCGAAACACAACCCGGAACTCAGCACTACCATGAGCAATAAAAAAAAAAAAAAAAAAATCAGCACTACCTATGAACAATAAAACCAGTATCATCAGCACCACCAGAGCTTCGCCCCGATCAACATTATTCACCAACGTGTAGATGCGTCCATTTTTTGGGGGGCGTGCGTGCACTTTTCAAGTGTCGCCGTTTTTTTGTTTTTTTTTCCACCGAAAGCTCTTCATTTATTTTTTGGCAACGACCTAATGGACATGAGAATTTAGGGGCTTCCTAAGCTACCTTTCGAAAACATTTCATAACGGCATTTGTGAAACACATTTTTTGGCGCAGTTGTGAATGCACTATGTTCTTTCTTTATAAATATAATAAGGTATACTCCTGGAGTATCGGTGACGAAATCTGTCGTTGCAGCTCGCCGCCTCCTCGCCTTTCGTCAGTCCTCGCATCATGGCGACGCACGGCAGTTTACGGCAAGGGTGATTGCGAAGTCGGCAGCGGATCGGCCAAAGTTATATTTTCGGTGCCCGAAGACCTCTCGAATTCAGAAAATGATATCGTTGAGCGTTCCAAATTGCCCGGCTGGGAACGGGGTGATGCTGAAGGTGGTCTTCGCCGAGTTGTCATCACTTTCGACCCGCCCCAATCCTGTAGCCCTCGTCGACGAAGTGTGGAGAGCAAACCACGGAGCACGAACCCAAACCCTGCAGCATTCTTCTCTTCCGCATCTTTTGGGAACATGTGCATCTTTTGGGAACATGTGCAGCGTGCCGTATTTGCACTAATATAACGTGAGGGCAGGTTTTGATGCCTTCAAAAGGAAATATTAGTACTATTATAACGCGAGCCAAGGACGCATAAAGTTAATGCACTCAAAGGCATAGCAGAAAAAAAGGGAATGGAAATGGAAGAAATATCATTTTACGTTTTGACTCCCACTGCTGAGGTTTTTCTCACTGTCGTATTTGGAATCCGCTCGAGGACTTTGCAGATGCACTGAACAGCAGAGGGGCGACGCTTGCTCGTCTGGTAGCTCGAACCATTGCAGCCTCAGTCTGGCCTGCTGCTCCCAACAATGGCAAGACCCTGTCTTGGAACGAAGAACCGGACGGGCGTCTCTGATGGGCGTGCGCGAGCACAGGACACACCCTTTCTTTCCTCGAGCCGTCTATCGCAACATTGTAACGTTGAGCCTGGTTCCGCTATCGTCCTACATCGAGCAACTGCTCGCTGCCCCGAGGAAGTCGTTCCGCACTCGGGACGTGCTGAAACGGAAATGTGTGCATGGGCCTTTAGTCTCCGTACCTCTTGACAATGTCACGCATTCTGCAGCTTTTCGGAGTGGTCGGCGGGCTGTGCGTCTTTAGCCAGCAGCCCACTTTTTAGACTCTGTGATGGACCCCTTGCGCCTTTTGTTTCAGGTACGAATGCAAGACCGCCGAGTACATTACCAAGTTGCCACCCAACACGCATTCCACCAAAGGTGGGTGCTCTCTCCTGGTTGTTTGACACGCCGCCTACCAGTACCATACCTAGACGTACGTCTAACAAACATAAACGGCTTGTTTTTGTATTTCGTGCGAGATTGTTTCTTTTTATGCGCAAAGTTCGTACATCGTCTGTTTGACATCTGAAATGTAAAATCACGTTCTAGATTCATTTATCCCAGCCCAGAATTAATTTCATGGGCCTTTTAACGAGGCTTTGCTATTGGCAGCTGACGTGTTCGTTGGGACGGCACATAAAGTGTGCTGCGATTGATAGCCGCAGCTGCCGCATGGTCGAAAGATGTGCTTTAGGGTATTTGCTTTTAGTAGAGTAATCGTAGGGGACGCTCTTTAGGAGATACGTAAAACGTGCCGAGATGCTGCCTCTCGTGCACAACAGTCAGCATCTCGCACCCTTTGCTGTTCTTGCACCCAGCGGAAGATCCTTCCAGAACCCCGAAGCAGCAGGCGTAAAGCGTGGACATGAGATAAAGGGGGCGACAGTGCATCTAGCCATGGATGACATGGTTGTGTGAATGGAGACTGCGGTAGAGGGAGGGCAATAGCGCGGCAGCACCATCACTCTTTCTTCGCGATCACGTGAATTTTTTAATAGGGACGCCGTGAAATGTATGATCTGGGAAAACTCTTGGGGGCTATAGATGAAAGAGGGAGGTACTCTTGCGCAGGATTTTGTTTTCAGTTGAACTTTCACGGCCGTGGAGAACTGCTGTCCAGACCAGTTATGACGAAGTCTAACGGGAACCGGAAATCACTTTGCTATATCCGCTATTTCGTTATAACCGACTTCGGTTATAACGAAGTGCAAAAGGTAATGGGAAATCGTGATTGCTTCGCTGTAGCCGCTACTTCGTTATAACCAACTGTAGCCGCTATTTCGTTATAACTAACTTTGTTATAACCGGTCTTGACAGTGCAATGTTTATTTGGACGTAGGTTGAATTTATCTTGTCTGAAACTGGTCCCCAAAGTTAGGAGCCTGTCTAAAATTGTAGCCAAAGAATCTGGGCCCATGAGGGTGAGCAGAATTTCTGAGCCGATCGAGCTAAGCCAAGCACTGCTCCGCTTCAGCCACTGCTCCTATCGCGCCGGTATGGTAAGAGACTGAAAAATGTGTCAGTCAAGAATGTACCAACAAGGTTCTACTCTTCTAGCAAAAAGTACCCAAAGGAATGCAAGAATGAAGAGAGGCCAAAATAGGAAAAGGTCTTTGCCCTAGCGTTTCTCTCGGCACTTTTTTCTAACATAGGACGGACCAACGGCCCCACACAACCACTTTGCTGCATTTTTACTGTTGTTTGTAAGGTACATACGAAAAAATTATGATGATGCAATTAATGCAAATGTGCAAGCGAGCTGGACAAGAATGAAGATAATAATCCCTGGATAAGGGGAACAAAAGGACAAAGGACAAACATGAATCTCCAAACATAGCTACATGACTGGTGCACGAGCAAAAAGATTTGTTTGTTTGTCCTTCGTCCCCCTTGATCCCCTTTTTCGGGGATTATTATCTATATACTAAACAATCTTCATTTTCTTGTTTCAACTCTGTTTTGTTTTTAGAAGGGGAACACGAGAAACTTAAATTTTTTTTGTGCCCTTCGCAATTGGTGCGTGCACGGATCGCTCGGTAACCGGCCTGCCCTCCGTTGCGTCTCAGGTGTCGGCATGACCTACCCACACCCCAGCAACAAGGTGGTGACCCCCGACGGGGTCGAGGTGCCCCTGGGTCCTGCGGCCAAGGACGCCGGGCAGGGAGGTTCGTCCCTGCTCTACAACGAGTATCCTTGCGGCAGTGTGTTTCACGTCGTCTCTCGTCGCCAATTCCCGTCTCACGACCTTGGGCGGCGGTGCCTGGTCGCGTATAATCGAAGCCTGCACACTAGAATGTAGACGCAGATTGGTCGCGAGTGCTAGAGCGGGCTCGTGCCAATATACGTGAGCACTGTTTGGGTTCGGGCGGGATTCGGGTCGACGTGCCCCGAACTGCGCGTCGGGAGTTGATGGCCCGACCTTGACAGATATTTCGGAATTGTGGGAAATATTTCTTTCATATTCGAAAACCGAGAAATGTAGCAGAAAGTTTGTTTTAACGCAAAAAGTGCCAATCTGGATATTGTGCCGCGGGTCATTATGTTCTGTACGGAGCCCACAAAACATGTGACAACCCTCTAGGTCAGGGTTCTCGTATGGGGGACCGCGGCCCCTGCGAAGGCACTTCTAGGATCCAGGAAGCCTTGCTCATCGGTGAACGTAATAAACATCTTTTTTTTTCGTATAGGGAACAGGCACCCACCTTTGCGCAATTTTTTTTTCGTATACGTCAATGAGAGAAGTCCAGTTTACGAGAGCGTTTAGCTACTTAATATTCCTTTATGCCTTCATAAACGTAATTATCCCGGATTTTTCTCTCTTCCCCCACTGCATATCCATCCCTTCCGCCGATCCACGAGCGCTTCCCGAACCGTCGATGGTTGAGAACCCATTGGTCTAGGACACAGTCATCAGCATCAATAAGTCTGCTCCACCAGACGGCTTGTGTGTTGAAAAAAGCCGGTGTGCACAATCTCTCGCAGAGCACGCAGGAGTCGAGCCTTGCAAGGTGCGGAAGGTCGTAGCGAATGACGAAGCTCAGGATGGGGTGGGATCTAAAAATGTAATCTGCGCGCGGCAGCGATAAAAATTAGTGTGACGTTTGTTGCTTTTTTTTATTCTTTTTTATGAGCAGTTTGCATATTTTGAGTATAGTTCTACTCTGAGCTCCATCCTACCCCATCTTCCGTCCATGGGGGCCAAGTCCGACACTGGTGGGCTGGTCCAGAAGGTGTTGGTCGCAGCAGGTTCGCCGCCCGCTTTGATTGGTTGGCACCACACCTGACGTGATCGCGAACGCTCTGAAAAGTTGCAATACGTCGTCATGATGCAGACGTCACAATGTCACTAACATTTGCAATCGCACGAGCAAGACTCGCCGACGTGTAACTTTCCGTCGTCTTGCGGGAAAGTACATACCAATTTGTTTAAGTGTGTTGTTCATTAAATTCTTCGTGCTCCTTTAAAGCATGTCTAGGGCTGAACGACGACTAAAAAATTTATTTCGATTATTGGCCGACGCTAATCAAACACTTACTAAAAAATCGTTGACCTCTAGGCATAAGATGCAACATTATAAAAGGACCAAACCATCGCATTTCCTGCCTATTTCTTGCTTTGCATTAATGGCACAACAAACAATCAATCAAAACATGCATCGTCATTCTAGAAACAGCGCGAGTAAATACAATGGCCGCGCTGACCTTCGAAACAAATCTGTTTAACTTCCGAGATTGGAAATTTTCGTTCAGTATGAACGTGCTACGTAGAACAAAGGGATACTACAACAAAATTTCGGCGCTTATTTTTTGGTCTATGTGTGTTCAAAGGAGCAGTATCATATCGAACATACCTATATCTTGTTAAAGAAGTCTCGAAAAGGAATTTTAAAACAAATTAAACTATTAGCAAAGAGCACCTGGTGGATGTCGCTAACGCCTCGTTTGTAATGCCCGTCTACAAACCTTGACGGGTAGGGACGGTAACTGTCTTGCCTCTGGCCACCACGAAAGATTAGGGGAAGGAGGAACTCCCCTCTTCCCAGGAATCCCTTTTGTATGCCCCAGAAGTTGCTATTGTCCCCCTACAAGATTATAGAAGATTAACCCGTCACTCAAAATTCATACAAAAGCAGCCGCTTCGTTGGCTACAATGACTAGGCCATCCCCTCGACGTCAGCCTCGCCGTAGCTTTGCTCGTCCCGAGACAAACAACGTCATGATTGCATCAGGCCGCTCTGGCTGCGCTCCGATCGTTCGCCAGAGTGGGCCGTCTATAACGAAAAATACGGCCACCCAGGCTCAAAATACAAACGTGCAATTGTCGTTTATGGATATTCTGGATCATATTCAGCCTATTTTTGAACACGACGGGTATATTTCAAATTTCGTTGAAGGATCCCTTTAATAGAAAACACCGTCAAGCTCAGGCCGGGTTCGGGCCCAAATTTGTTTTTTTCTGGTCGGGCTCGGGCCTGAAATTTCGGTCCAATCTGATCTCTAGCGAGCGATGCGTCGGTGTTTAGCTGGGCCTCGCGTCCAATGAACGCGTCGAAGGGCTCTCGTCGTCGGGTCCAACTGCCGAGTTTGCACCGTCCGACTGTGTTGACGTTCCGCGGAGGAAGAGGAAGTAGTTCGGAGTCCTCGATTATTCGAGGATGCCTTATAGCTCCGGCAGTTGAATTCGGGACGCCGCGACGGCGATGCTTGCGGTCGGTCATACTTTTTGTCGTAACTTACGGGATCTCGACGTCGGACGGCTCGACGCCCCGGCTTTTGCGATGTCGTTTGTTGGCCACTTCGAGGCCACTTGGGATGCACGGGCGGGATGGGACAATAAACGCGCAAGCCGAACTCTCGGTCCAGTCACCTTACTTCGTACGGGCTCTGGCAGAGTAACTGCTGAGACATCGGGAACAAGGTTATCATAAATGCCAAGTACGATAATTGTCACATTGTCCGTCTGTTTTCTAAAATCCATGCGCGAGAAACTTTGGCATGCATTTCTCGGCGTTTTTCTGGAAATCCCGAAAGCCCCAAAGATGGGAAACTTGCTTGTCTGCATGTTTTCTCTTTTTTCATTTGCTTTCTTGTTTTTGTTTTTAAAGTTGGACTTGTTTCCTGAGCTTTTCCCTTTAGATACATTGTGTACGACACAGCTCAAGTCTCCATGAAGTACCTCATGAAGGTCAAGTTTGACTACAGCCGCTGAAGGACGTCGCGTTGAACCTCTGCTCGGAGAGCGCTGGGAGGAGAGGTGCCTGAACGCCTGCTTGGGAATGACGGCACTAAACTTTGCCTAGTGTGTGCACGTGTGGAAGCTTTGTTTGCAGGATCCAGTAACTACCAAAGGATTGCAGCAGTACGATCCCTCTAAGCAGCTCGTTTCATTTATCACATTCATTTTGAGGTCACAGCTGTAAATAAGAGCACCTTTCAAGATTTTAAAGTTTTGATTGAAGCGTGTCGCTTGGAGGGTAAGATACCAAACAAGCTAGTTCTAGATTGTGGTTTTCTTTGCCTCTTTCATTCCAGGAGCACGCTCGTGCTTCAAAGTTTGTTATGTCCCTGTCGACAGTGTTGATGTTGTCGGCCAACTTGCGGTGCTAGCCCGTTTCTATGCAAGGAAAGGTTTCTCGCATTTCTGTTTTCTACACAGTTCAGAATGTATCGTGCATAATTGCATTTTTACTACTGTTAGGCTAGTGAGGCATTTACGGGTTTGCTTTTGTGCCAGTCATTGTTTTCCTGGGGGTCTCGAAATACAACCGTGGATAAAATTCAAAACGCTTCTTAGTCAATGCTACATCTTGTTTAATCTTCCCAATTTTTCTCTGGGTTTGTTTTTGTCATTTATGACTATTCCTCAGCTGCTTCAAAGGCACAATCTCAGGGTTGCCAGCATTGTGCGGAATCGTAATTCCAACCGTGCTTCAGATCTTCGGTTAACTTGTGGACTTTGTTCGAAGTCATATCGGAGTCCCCATGTTTGATTTGACTGCTTGTGAATGCTTGTTCTGGGTGTAACTTAATATTGTGGCACATTGAAAGAATGCAGCCTTTTAAGGCCCCTGTTATTGTTCCAGCATTGTGCCGAATCGTAAATCCAGCCATGCTTCAGATTTTCAGTTAACTTGTGGACTTTGAAGTCATATCGGAGTCCTCGTGTTTGATTTGACTGCTTTTGTACGATTTTTCTGGGTGTAACTCAATATTGCGGCACATTGAAAGAATGCAGCTTTTTAAAGCCCCTGTTATTGCTCCTGTGTGTATGGATGTAGTTGTAAGCTGCAGAAGGGTACTCAAAGGCAGCAGAAGTAACAGAATTTTAAGCCAATATAACAAACTGTGTCAGTATGGTGTGTTGTAGGTTAGCAACAGCAGAACAAGGCTCTCCGATAAAGCTCTCTACATGCCACGGTCGGCAGCTTCCTTCTCTCCAGTGTTCAATCTGCTAAAGTTGAGAGGGTGTAGGGCTTTGTCCGAGGAGCCTGTTTTGCTATTCTTAACCTGCAGCAGACTGTAGGAAGACCTGTGGTCAGTTGATAATGGGGAAATGCCAGGAACAGGATCTTGTTGTGTCTGGTTGTCTGCGCTGCGTGCTGTGTTTGGCTGACCTGGCGTGTGGGCTATGCGACACTTGGCCCAAACATTCCATGGCACTGTCTTTGCAAAGACGCGTCCCGAAAGGCTTCGCAACGCCGAACGAGGAAACTCGCCAATGAATGCAGCGGCGGACACTGGGATTCCGACGAGGTACGTGTAGAAGACGCCGTGGAGGTCGTGGATGTGGAGGGCCTCGACCGTGCCCTCCTCTCCTTGGAGACACTTGGTGTAGTTGAAGACTCTCGTCTTGACCATGCGGTCGAGCAGGTGGCTGTCGATCATGTACGCTGCCGTGTGGAAAATTGGTTTTGTGTGCAGTTAACCAAAGCAGCTTGTGATAACTACGCGTTACCTTCGGGGTTTTTGTCGAAATGTTTCCTCAAATAGTTTGTCGTTTTTTTTTTTTTTTTGCTTTAGTACAGGAGACATAACTTGAAGATTTGAAATGTCTGCAGTTGCAAAACATTTTTCGAAGTTTGTTAATAAAGTATGCCAGTACGAACACCAAGTGTTTACCTTGAACTTTTCTTTTTGATTGAATATAGAGGGTGTTTTTATTTACAGATTGTTCCAGAAAAAGCTACTTAAATGAGGTCTGCAGGGGGCTTGTGGACATGAGATGGGGGAGGGTAATCGTAAGCGGTGTGACTGGTCTTATGGTAAAAAGTTGGGGAAAAGTAATTTGTGAGAAAATGGCTTTTCTGATTATTAGACACACACACCCAGCTCTGTGAAAAAAATATTGCTCAATCTAATTTTTAAATATGAAAGAAAAATATGAAGTCTTAATTTTCTATTAACATTCAGTAGGAATACGCAGACTACAAGGGCTTTTTCTCTCTCTACCGCGCGACGAATAACAGTTGTCTGTTATTGTCTTTCCTCTCGCTACCACGTGACATACGCGTGCAGGCGCAGGTTACCAAGGCAACACCGCGCGAGCTGCTGATATCGTAGAGAGACGCGTTTATTCTACGAACTTGTTTATGTAAGATATCCACCCCTCTAAAAATGAACGAGTAAGCAAAGAGAATAATGTATTCGTAGTGCGTAATGATTTCAGACACTAATAAGCGGTACTGTTTATTGCCCGCCAGTGCACCTGCGAAATCAAACGCAAGAAAGCGCCCATCTTTTGTCTGTGCTAACAGTGCCGCGAAGTGTACGTAGAAAGAGTGAACGACTCGCAAAATCGACTAATTGCACTCCGACGAGGTGCCATCCCCGCGCTCACGTCGGAGAACAGTGGGAAGCGGTGTTGATAAACTGAAAATCAAACCCGCAAGAGATATCCCGGAAAACCGCCAAAAGTTGCTCAATTTAAGGCACATGGCAAGCACATTTTACCACGATAAGTGGTTTATAAACAGTAAAATAGATGAAAGCACTGTATATCATTAGAAGGGGCTCTCCTTTTTGACCTGGACTGCTTCCAAGCACAAAACAATCTTCCTGTTATCAGTTGCGTTGCGCCATGTCTGCCAACGTACACCCCCATCGTTCCGATGGTTCGCGCAACATTTGGTGGCAGTGTGACAGCGACTCAAATGCAGGAAGTTCTATTTCACACTGGAGATATCCGACTTGTCTAACATCGCATTGAAATTCCAGTAGCCTGCAGTCGATTGTTTCCGGTGTCGTTTTCTGTGTTGGTGCAACGCAGAAACACGGTGAGTGCATCCGTCGAGGACGGAGGGCGCATTGGGGCAACATTGCCATGCTTACTCCGCTTTTTTCTTTCCGAGTCACTCCAGTGACATCTACTTGGGGGTCATTTTGGCCATAGAGTTATTATAATGTACGCTAGACGTTCAAGTGGCGCTAGTGTGCTGACGCAAATTGAAGCAGACAGCAACCAGTCGAAAACTGACTTCCGGTAATGCATTTCTATGGGAAAAATCGAGTGCATTTTCTCGCTGCGCTCAATTATATACGACAATATTAAGAAGAAACCAAACCTGATAAATAGTTTATAACATTTCTCAATCACATATACAAATAAATGTCATTTACAGAGGATTTTTCTGTCGATTTCATGGCATAAAGCAGAGCGCTAAAGTAGCTAAATATACGTGTATACTACGCGAATATGTTTGAGATCGCTGCCGCAGCCTGCTAATTTACCGTGGTATTTACCCATAAAAACGCAACCAAAAATCGCGTACAATTAAACTGCTCTCAGCCCCCCAGGTGAAAGCGACGCTAATGTGTCAAGTCAGAAGCATTATAATAACTATGGTCAGAAGAGCAGACGACAAACAACGGGAACAGCTCCAGTGGCTCGTATCAACTCTGCGAATAAAGTTTTTTCTTCGAATGCATGAATACGAAGATCGTCTTGTTGCATCGTTCGATATATGTTCATATAGTCCAAAACATTCAAAAATACTGGAAGGCACCCACACTGTACACCTTACCTGGTGGCCCGGTGGCTACCGGCACAGTGGCTACCGGTGCGCGGTACGGCGGGGGTGGTCAAAGGCGGCTGCAACTTATGAAATAATAATAATAATACCGTCTGTTAGCTCGCATACGTTTTCTGTTTTGCCTTTTTTGTTTCTTTCACTGATTGCAAACTTTTCCAAGGAGAACGGATCAAATAAAAATTACATGAGGTCCGATATGTTGTCTGCTTTCTGCTTTCCCGCTCGCGCGGTTAAAATTGACCGAGGCGCAAGCGCTTCAAGTCGCTAAAATACGGGAATGCCGAGGTTTTGCGCAGCGCTGGATTGCAAGAACCGTGAAGGGAAAACCTCAGGATTATCATTTCACACGTAAGTAGCAATCGCACATTTATTTAATTACTACATAGCACTACAAATCAAATAATAGCGCACGACCGCTTGTACATAAATGGCCTGTATTGGAGCACTTCGTTTCATATTCCAGGTTCCCTAAAAAAAATTACAACCTTCTGCAGAAGTGGTTAAAAGTTTGTCCGGACAATTTTACTCGTGCTGCACATCATGTCCTTTGCTCACGGCACTTCAAGCTCCAGTGCTTTAAGGATGGGTTGTATGTAAAAGCAAGACTTAAGGAAGATGCAGCACCCACCGTTGGTTCTGTCAAGGTAGGTACATATATACTGAACTCCAAGTAGGTTGAATTCATCAGTAAATATGATTCATGCTTTTTTTGTAAAATTTGAGCTTCATGCGTCATTGTGGTAAATGCAAAAATAATGTATAGCAGCAGAGGAGTTTGTAATGTCTTTTATTTCCAGTCCTTAGATCATATACATCAGAACAAAGTGTGTATGCGTTAATGTACACCTACTGGTCTCTTTCTTATAGGCACCAAGGAAGCGTCCAGCACCACGGATCACCAATGTCGCAGCGCCAAAACCATGCTCGAGTGACCACACCTACTTCGATGGAGAGTCCCCGAAAAGTCAACGACGTCGTATGAACAAGAAAACAGATTCGGCAAAAAAAAAATTCACACAATGCAACGGACCCTGCAAAGAAACAAACAAAAAGTTTGAAATCTCCAATCTCTTGGAATGTCTAAAGGAGGAGCATGCACTGACAGATGAGCTCCAACTAAGGATGGAAGCATTTGGAGAAATTCCGCAGGAACTACTGAAGGGCTTTGAAAAAAACGCCAGCAGGAAGATGACCGGCAGAAGGTACAGCAAAAGAACCAAGCAGTTTGCAGCCACCCTGCACTACTACTCACCCCAAGCCTATGCCTACGTTAGCACACTTTTCCCCCTACGTTCTGTGAGCTCCCTCAGGTGTTGGTTGAAAGTTGTTGGAGGGTGGCCTGGATTCACCAAAGAAGCACTAGGAGAGCTGGAGCGACGACATGCAAACTCTTCTGAACGGGAGAAGCTGTGTGTTGTGATGCTGGATGGGATGTCCATAAAAAAAGAAGTAAGCTTGGATGTCCCAAAGGGTAGGTTCATTGGGCACGTGGATTTCGGTCAAGGACTTGGCCCGGGCGAGACTGACGAAGTGCCCATGGCAACAGAGGCCTTGGTTTTCATGGTCCTAGGTCTAGCTTCACCCTGGAAGATGCCGTTTGGCCATTTCCTGACAAATGGAGTGTCAGGGTTGTTCCTTAAGAGCCTACTTGAAGACAGCATCGTCGCCCTTGAAGAGTGCGGTCTCCACGTCAAGGCCGTGGTGTGCGATGGACTGGGTGCAAACGTCGCCAAGGCAAAGCTGCTGGGCTGCCATGTTCATGAAATCAGCTATGAAGACAGGAAGACAACTTTCAAGCACCCGACTCGACCCACCGAGGAGGTGCGTTTCATTTTCGATGCCTGCCATGCCCTCAAGCTTCTCCGTAACCTGCTGGGAGACAAGAAGCTGCTAAAGTCAGCAGCCTGTGCGGTAAATAGTACCTAATGGCTTTTTAAAACATACAAGTATCACTACATCAGAAAAAAAAGACCGACTATGAACCCCGAGAACTGCAAAAAAACACAGAGCCACTAAACGAAGTGTAGTTTGGGACTTCATTCCTTGTGTTCCAATCTTGAGGTTCAAAATTCAGTTGTAAAGCAACTATCGTAAAATATGGAGTAAAACAAGGACAAATTAACCATTCTTTATTGCTTGTATATCTATTCCATGCAGTTCTTAATGTGATGCCAACCAACACACTAATGTCAACCATGCAGACTCTTTGAGCCTGACATCATAATGTAAAAAAAATAAACTTAATGTACAGTCATAGAAAAAGCAATCTGAAACAACCAAGCAGCAACTAAGAAGTACCAGTGCCCTGTTCTGACAAGCTGAACTAGTTCAAAAATAATTAGTGGCACGTCAGAACAGATGATAGGTAGCAATACTAAATAAAAACAGTTCAGCACTTGTGCAGTAGGCCATTTTCAAAATTCTAAAATGCTTAGAGGCATGCTGGGAGTCAGAATCCACATGCTCTGTGTGCTAGCCACTTCAAATGTGGTAAAACCTCAAACAACAAGTGTAGAACAGAACTGTACTCTATCACATTTAAAGTCTGCTGTAGGTTGAAGGCCGACCTACAAAACCATTTTCCGCGGGAGAAGAGGTTTCCTCCTTTCCACCCAGAAAGGAGGAAACCCCTTCTCCTCTCCACGGAGACTAGCTTCCGGACCCGCCCTTTTCAGGGGAGGAGGAGGAAGGAGTACGAGAGGGGAGGGAGCGAAGGTCGTTGGGGAGCACTTTCCTACCCTGCGGAAAATGGTTTTGTAAGTCGGCCTTTAAGGAAAGCAGGAAAATTCCATTTCAGAAGCTCTGCGCTCACCGCGATTTTCTCTTCTCCACTCAAACATTATTTTGCTAAGGTGAAAAAGTGGCAGGCTTTCCTGGAAAGGGCTTGTTCTGCTTTTCTTAACCTGCAACAGACTTTCTGTTTTGAGTGTTTGAATTATTTTCCTCTCCCGTATCCCTTTTTCCACTTGGCGGCGGGCTAGCAG